TGGGCGAGATCGCGCAGGCACGCAAGGACCTCAACTTCATGCCGGACGCATTAAAGATAATCCCGGGGGTGGTTGAAGAAATGGAAGACCAAGACCAAGACCAGATGGAGATAGACTCGAGGAATGGGCGCGGCTCGACCCAAGATGACACCCTTGCGGCGTGTGTGCAATGTCTCCTGCAATGTTTCAACCCCACCGCCGATTCGGGTGAAGGTTAGTCCCCTAAATCACCCAAATCCCCCTCAATTACCCCCCAAAATTGTGGAATTGTGGGAAACCCCCTAGCGTCACGCCTTGCTAACACTAACCACAGCGCTGGGAAAGTACGTGGAACAGATGACTGGTCCGCTGGCTCAAGTGCTCCAACATGGTGGACGACAGGTCGTCAGCACGGGCTACGATGAGCTCCGGGCTTTCTTTACACGAGTGGATCAGTGGATCGTCTTACCGGAGGCATCCGGTGAACAACTGGCCGCACCCTTGACTGCATTGGCAGAGAAGATTCTCACGGGGGAAGTGGACGGATCTGTCGAAGCCATCCGCAAGGGTCGTGCAGAGGCCATTCTAGCGTACCTGAAACTGAGTCCTCATGCCCAAGGTGTGCCTGACACACTTCTCATGCGTGTTCGTGAGTGGAGAGCCAGTGAGCGATCCGAACCGGTACAGCGTTTACTCGACGAGGCCCTGGCGTTCCCGAACTAAGAATCCCACGTGGTTTTGGCCATTTTTATTATTTTATATTTCATTTATAGGTCGATCATGAATGATGCTTATTTCCTCATTTTTTAAGGGAGGATTCGATACGGGCCAAGTAACAATCGTACCAATAGGAAGTCTGTGTAGAACAGTATCACAGCCATTTTAAGGTAAATTCCTCCAAATGCCCTCAAGTCTGCGCCACTCGCTTAATTCTCGGCCAAGTCCGCTTGGAATGCGGAGAGTCCCAAAGTGTCTAAAAGAGTCTAAAAGCGTCTAAAGTTGTCGAAAAGTGTCCGAAAGTGTCCAAGCTTGTCCAAACTGGGCCAAACTTGACCAAACTGGGCTAAGCTTGTCCCAAAACAGTGCAACAGTGTGATCTCTTCGATTTTTCCTCAATCGATCCAGACCGGGGTCCGGGCCGATCGAGACTTTAGCATTTCTTCCCCCACACATGGCCAACAGCTACATTCACCTAATTGAATTCTTCGGCTCCGATAAAAAGGGATGAGGTGATTTCTGACAAGTCCCTTGTCTCTTCTAAGATGTTTTTCCTCTTCTACCTCCTCTCACTATTAACTCTAGTTCCCCTTAGTCCGGGGCAACCCTGTAAAGTTAATAGTTAGCAGAGTACCAAGGTAATAATAGCAACTTCTAGGATTGTCCACATGGTTGACATCTGCATGCCATTCCTTTTCTTTTCTTCTGTCTTTTTCCTTGTTTTTTGGCTTTTTTTTTCTGCCTTTTTTTCTAAATTTTTTCCCCTTAGCTCTTCCTTTTCCTGATTTCCCCTTCGAATAATCAAATAATACAATAATAGATTAATAGAATATAATTTAATTTTCCCTTATTCCCGCCACCCGTTCAAAATACATGAACTCCCCTTATGCATTTTTCTGACTTACTGTCTTTTCTCCTTCCAAGGCTTCCCCCTCTATCCTCTCTATCCTCTAATCTTATTATAACTTCTTTTCTATCTTTAATTTTCCCCTATTCCTTTCTTCCTTTAACAATTGACCCTTAATATACTGTACCGAGTACCCTAGTAAGTGTTCCAATTCAGCCTGTCTGTACATCACTGATCATAAGACAAAGCCATATGACGGCCAGTCTGGTGCAAAACAGACGCAAAGTCTCTGCGAAACCACTGCGGTTACCCATCATTGCCCCCAAGGAAGATCTCTTTGATGCCTTCGCCAAGTCCGAAAAGGCCCTGAGCGCTCCACCGCGCATCCGCTTGCCTCCGCGATCTCGCACCGGTTGCTGGTAAGTGATCGTCTCTATATTTTGATTATACCCCAGACCCAAGCTTATTCATTCCAGGACATGCCGAGTGAGTTTCTTTTTATGTTTCTCTTAAATCAGAAGAAAAACAGTTGATTAATTGCTTTTTTTTTTTTTTTGTCTCTCTCAGAGTCGAAAAGGTAGGTGACTCGGACAACCGTCTCCAGAGCTCCAGGGCTAATTCCGTGGCTGACACATTTCTCCAGTCAAATGTGATGAAGGACACCCGCAATGTAATGTATGCATTCTTCACACTTGGTTAATCTCCACATTTTCACATTTCCACATTTACTTATACGTGACAGCAATGTACTCGTCTAGGCCACACTTGCGATTATCGTCCTCGGCTGGCTTTTCGTGATGATACCCCGCGTATCATGGGCCGCATGGCCGATGTGAAGACAAACGGCCATGTTGTCTGGGATCGTAAGCGACTTTTTCTTTTTCTTTTTAGAGATTTCTTTTAGTCCATACTAACTAGAGTAGTCACTTCGCCGAGTTCCAATGATGAGAGGACCGATTATTTCTCTTCCAAGGATTCCCTTCCGCCCTTTTCCCTGCTCACTTCGGACGAAGACCGGGAAAAGAAAGCAGAAGGGGTTAGTCCCGGCACGTACCTTGTCGTGATGACACCAGACAGTTTCTCCTCACTACCAGAGTATGCAGACGATGCAATCGAGAAAGCTAGAGCCAATTCCACCAGCGAGCGCAGGAGGTCTGCGGCCAGTAATCCCACGAGCGCGGCCAAGGGCGACTGCAGTGGAGGCGATGATGCTAATGTGGTGATTTTGAAGACATTCGAAGATGCCACTCGCCGCTCGCCGTCTAACGGGAAGACCTTCAGGATCTCTCCAACATCGGAAATCTCAGATCCTTTCTGCAATTTGTCTCTCTCTCCAAATTTCACTTCCCTTCCTTCACCGGATGTGAAGGTAGAGGAGATGGCGTTCTTGGACCCGCGTCTTGACCAGCAAAGTCAGGATTCTACTATCTTTTCCCACTTTCGTCAGGTCATATGGCGGCAGTTGTTCCCTCACGACCATAGACTTGATGATTCTTGTGGATCTGATAGTCACTTTATGACTCTCAGCATGGACTTCCTAGAGCAGGAAGCCACTCGTTTCCCTCCTGTGGGTAACCCATTCTATATTTCAGACGATGTCCGTGCTAACAGGAACAACAGCTTTCCCACGCTATGATGGCTGTATCAGCCCTTAGTCTCTCGCACAGCGGCACAGGACACAATGTCGATGCGCTACAATATTATCAGCAAGCCTTCCCCTCGCTCCAGGTAAGCCTACGGAACAATGATGATCTTGTTTCCGACGGGCTGTTCCTTACCCACTTCCTACTTCTGATCTACGAGGTAAGAGGTCCCAGTTGCAATTTCCCACAGTGTATATACTTACATCCCTCAGATTGCAGCCGCCGAGCCACACGGCTCGAACCTCTGGTCTCACCATATCTCCCGCCTCCTTCACATCGCCTTCCTTCGACGGGCCAAGTATGGCCAAGAGCCCCACCCGTTTATTCTCTGGTGGGTGTGCCACATCGACTTGTACGCCCTGTTCAGCGGAGCAGGGACGGGAGAGTTTGTAAGGGCCGTTATCGACCACCAGATGCTTCCTGGATCGGAATCTCTTCTCTACCCTTCTGCCCCAGAGGGCTACAGTGTGATCTACTCCGATGAACATGAGAGCTTACCGGTGATCATGCGTCTGTATCATGATACATTCCGACTAGCTGCGCAACTGGGGTTCTTGGCTACTCGCCTTCGTCATGATAGACGGAACCTGCCCTTTGCAGAGTTCGACAAGAGATCGCAGGAATTAAGCAATCTACGTCAGGCTTTCGGGAGACTGTGGGAATCGCCAGATGTTGCATTTGTACACCAACATCAGGATAACCTCCCGCGGCGATCTCGGGAAATCATGCAACAGGTCAGTTCTTTCCACTTTTCGCTCTTTCCGTATATGCAAAGAAAGAAAGAGAAACATCTAACCCCTTCTAGTCCGCTACACTGTACCATGTTTGTCAACTCTTCTCCTATAGCAGCATGTGGCCCGGACAACGTGTCGAGTCCGAGTTCTCCCCAGACGCAGAAATCGACCACCACGCAACAGAGATCCTGCGCCTGGCCCAGCAGACTACGCACACTCGACGAGCAGATCGACATTTCCTAGTATTCCCCTTGTTCCTAGCAGGTGCTACGGCATCAGCTAGTGGGATGAAGATGATGGCGATGGAGTTGATGACTAGTATGGAATACGAGGAAGACGGCATGGGCCGCAATGCTGCGACGACTCGTGCTATCCTCCAGATTGTCTATGAGCGGCAGTTGGAGCGACTTATGCATATGGGTCATACATTGGATGTTGATTGGTCTGACCTTATGGCTCAGGAGGGACTTCAGGTGGTTAATTTCGGGTTTTGATTGGATAGTGGAGTTTGGTTTTTGGTTTTTGGTTTTTGGTTTTTCAGAGCATTGGCGCATAAGGCATATTTGTATTTTTGGATGTTCATTGTATGTTAGCATGATTGATGATATATGTATAGAAAGCGGAATTTGATCCATGGAACTTGGAACTGCTCGGGCCGACCCATTTCGAATGTAAACATCTATATATCAGGACTTACATACATATGTATGTACTTACCTACTTAACTACGTAGTACTACATAGGAAATACCCAACTAGTCTATGCCAAGGCAGCAACTTGTGATGATTCTCGTCACCTGCGGGGTCGGCGTCTCGACTTGGCGGCTACAGAAAATCCGATCTTCTTCATCTTTCCTTTTTCTTTTTCCTCTTCTTCTCGGATAATTTCTATGAATAGATGAAAAAGCCCCTTTTTCCCATTGCCCCGCATCTACTTCCCAACGATCTTCGCGCTTATCTCCGTAATTGGGAGTCGCATTCTGCTGTGGCTGAATTCTGTCTTTCTGCAGCTTCCAGCCCAGCAATTTCTCAACCATGAGTGGCAGCAGCCGTGCCCTCCATCCCGAGGAGCTTTTCCTCAATGACCGCCCAGCCAGGCAAGAATCACCCACCGTCGGCCCTTTACGCATCAACAAACGGGACTCGTCATCTCCAGCATCCGCCGCGGGATCCAGCCCCCCCACCAAACGCCCCGCTACCCTATCCGGATGACCGTCAACGTCCGCAGATGCGCACCTCAAGTTCAAACGACCGCTATCACGACAACATTAGATATGGTTCTCCGCCAGCTGGTCCTGGCTCCGGCTCCGTGAGTCCAAATGAATACCCAACAGCGCTCCGGCCGCGGGACGGCCGTGAGCCCCGAGTCGCAACATTGGCCGAACGAAGAGGTGCAGCCCCTAAGCCACTGCCCGAATCTCCCAGCTACGATGCGCCAGATCGCGAGGCCTTAGCTGCCAGACCATACCCTCGACCCCCGGCCAGTCAACCACCTGGGCCACCAGAGCCACCAGCAAACACAAATCAATACGATTACCGTCAACAATACTACCCGCCGCCTCAACGCCAAAGCTCCACGTCTGCAGCCCGGCCCCCATCCAGTCTACAGCCCCCACAAGGCCCGCTCAATCGCATCAGTTCCACCTCCACAACCCGCGCCCAGCGTGGCTCGCCCCCGCCACCAGAGACTCCTGTCGTTGGACCAGGTCAGCAGCCAGGCTCGGACATAGAGGCCCGCTATGCCGCTGCGGGAATCGCAGGTACCGGGACCTTGCAGGGCATCCAGTCGCATAACGTGGCTGCGCAGAGACGGGCAGAACAGTACTCCGGACAGCAGCCGACTTTCCCATCGCAGCAGCAGCCGCGCCCGTGGACTCCTACTGAGCAGCCCGGCTCGCAGCCCCATGGCCCTCCTACGGTTTATCAGGGTGATGAGGTCGTCTCTGATAATAATCAGCCCGCTGCTGTGCATCCTGGTCAATACGGTAGTCCGCCGCCGCAGATTCCCGGGTCCTATGGCACCCCGCCGCCACAAGTTCATCCGGGTCAATATAGTAGTCCGCCGCCCCAGGCTCATCCGGGCCAATATAGCAGCCCGCCACCCCAGGCTCACCCTAGCCAGTACAATGGATCTCCATCCCAATCGCACCCTGCAGCTGGGCTACCGCAGCAGCTGCTGCAACAACAACAACCAGGACGAATTCCCCCTAACGCTCTGGAACAAGATATGGACCGGATGCGCCTCAGCTCCTCTCCTCCTCCCGCCTACTCAAGTGTATCTGGCCCTTCTGCTTCAAATGGTTACCCCAATGAGAAGCAAAGCGGTCCTGCGGCGGCGGCAGCAACAGGAGCAGCAGTTGGAGCTGGAGCCGCCATGATGCACCCGGCCTTAGCAAACCAACCCAATCCTGTTACAAAAACATCTTCCCCTGTACCTGCAGTCTCGCCGCAGGACCATCCCGCTTTTGCGAATGATCAGAGACAGCAACAGCAAACAGGGCAATCCCCACAGGCGTCTGTTGCTAACGACCTGTCCGGTTTCCATCATCAGACAGTCCAGGTGACTTCTCCGGGGCCCTCTGCCGCAGGTCCAGCGTCTCCACCACCTCTTCCGGAGGGATGGATTGCGCACATGGATCCAAGCTCCGGACAGTATTACTACATCCATTTGCCCACGCAGTCGACTCAGTGGGAGTTCCCGAAGGGACCTACACCGCTTAATCTCAACGACACACCCTTGTCCCCAGTGGGAAGTGTGTATAGCGCCCATCCGCTAGTTTCCCCGGGTCTGTCAGCTTTCGGGAAGCCTTTAGCGTCACCCGGTGTGCCTTTGACCCCTGGTTTCGAAAGTTTACAGTCTCCAATGGTGACTGGATTCACTGGGCCACCCCCGAGTAGCGGCGTGGATCTGTACAAGAACACTCCAACTAACGGTGTCTACTTTGGCCCTTATCTGCGTTACACCAACATGGATATCGAGCGTGGAATCTGGTTAGGATCTATCCTGCTTGTGACGGATGCCGCACAGCCGCCCACGATTCACATGCACCAAAGTCTAGACCTATCTCCAAACCCAAGACAATTGAAGGCAGTCAACATCGCCGCCCATCAACGCTGGACATTCTACAAGTATGAGGTTGATCTTCAGATGGACGATGCGGGTCCAGCAAAATGGACCTACGCCATCACCTCCCACCTTGGCTGCACTCGCTACGAGTTTCTCGTCGCTGGTCGACACGAAACCAATTGGCGGTTTATTGCTACCTCTGGAAATGACTTCTCGCTCAATGTCAATGCTGGTGAGCGGGCTCGTTTGGGTGGTGTCGGTTACATGTGGAAGGATATCATGCAAAAGCACAATGAAATCGGAGGCTTCCACGCCCAGTTATGCCTGGGTGGTCAGATCTATGCGGATCGCATGTGGAAAGAGATTCCTTCTCTCAAGCAATGGTTGACTATCAGCGGAAAAGAAGCTAGAAAGAACGCTCCTTGGACAGCGGCTAACCAGCAGGATGTTTCTCACGCATACTTCCATTACTATACCAGCCACTTTGATCAACCCCACATAAGGGAGTCATTTGCGCAGATTCCTTATGTCTGCCAGATTGATGATCATGATATGTGAGTCACCCACACAGCAACAATCAGCGAGCAGCACTAACATATCCGCAGCTTCGATGGATTTGGCTCGTATCCTGAGCACATGCAATTCTCGAACATGTTCAAGAACATCGGCCGCATCGGCATCGAGATGTACCTCCTCTTCCAGCATCACACAACCCTCGACATCCTCCGTAACGTCAGCAACGATATGGACCTCTTCACTATAACCGGCACAGGCTGGCACTTTGTTAAATACCTAGGTCCCGGCGTCGTGGTCGTCGGTCCAGATTGCCGCTCAGAAAGAAACCCACACCAAGTCATGGCCGGTCCCACGTACCAGGGTCTCTTCCCGAAGATTGCAATGCTACCACCCAGTGTGCAACACTGTCTCTGGATGGTCTCCGTGCCACTCATCTATCCCCGCCTAGAGACGGCAGAACACATCGTCCAGACCGTCGCAACAGGAAAGCGAGCCGTGACCGGCGCGTACAATGTGCTGGGCAAGGTAACGAGCTCGGTAGCCGGGGTGGTCGGCGCCAAAGACTTTGTCGGCTCAGGCTTCGACTCGGTGAAGCGAGCCGTCGGCAAATCCGGGCTGATGGGCGGTATACTGAGTCCATTTGGCGAGTTCAACTCCATGGACGAGCTACGCGATCAATGGACGCACGAGTCGAAGGTTCGTTTCCTCCCCCAACCCCTATCCAAACCATGCCATACTAACCCAGCACCAGGATCTCGAACGCACATATCTCATCCGCACACTCCAAGGCATCGCACACCAAAAATCAATCCGCATGACCTTCCTCTCCGGCGCCGTCAACGTCTGCGGCGCAGGTCTCGTCCACGACCCCTCAAACCCCTCAGACCACAAGACAATGTACCAACTCATCGCCTCCTCCGTCGTCAACACCCCGCCCCCATCATATATCATCAAACTCCTCCACAGCCACAGCAAGCCGCTCTACGTCCCCGCCAACGGCCACAGATCCTCGGGCCAGGTGAGCGATACAAAGGAAGATATGATGGAAATCTTCCAGACAGACGTCAACGGCCAGGCCCGTGAATACCGCAAGCTCATGGCGCGTCGGAACTACGTCGCTATTGTCGCGTATGACCCTGAGTCGGTTAATCCTTCCTATGGCCATGTGACGCCTGGTGGGGTTAGTAAATTGAGTCTTGCGGCGGACTTTATGGTTCAGGGCGATGGGGCTCTTGGAAATGTGGTTAAATTCGGGCCTGTTATTGTGCCGAGTTTGGATCATGGTCGGTGATGATGAGGATGTTGATGGTCTCCTTTCTATACTTGTACTGAGAGATCCTTTGGTTTCGATGTTTTTTGTCCTTTCTTACACAGCATTCTTATTGTTCTTTGATGGTTTTTGAATTCGTTCTTTTTGGCGTGTTTGTATATCCGCTGCTCTGTTCCTGTCTATTTCCTAGCCTGGGTGTATGCCTTCATTATATTGACACAATTACACTGCTGTTCTGACTTGATTCTTGGATCGACTTGCAATTGCTTTCGAGGAACAGTGTTAGAGATGGAATGAAAGATATCAGGTTGAAAGAGCGTGGTTTCTCATAAAACAAAGTATCTGATGATGTATAAAATGGGGGTATCCAGGGTATATCAATAGTAAACAAAGCAAAACAACCAGCGCCAGTATCTAATCCAGATAAGGTATTCTCTACCCAGTTGGATCTCCCCCCGGGAACACAAAGACCTATGCGCCAAAAATAATCCCGATGAGCATAAAACAGCTCCCAAAGCCGGTACCTCGCTGGTATAAGAGACCAATCCCACCGGAGAGGCGATAATCTATCCTCACAACCAGCAAGATCTGAACTCTCACCTCCCAAAACAGCCTGCTCCTCAGACACTCCATCGCCATTACCATCACCATCACTCGACCGACACCCCTCCCCATCAGAACCAGCCAACCCAACAGGAACATTCAAATCCCGATACAACTCAACCAAAACCCCCTCCACCCCCTCCCCCCGCAATACACCCCGGATCCTCCGCACCAAGACAATGAACCACATCCTCCCTACGCGGCGGCAACCCCTCCCTCATAATAAAAACCTCCCCAGCATGAGGCCGATATCCCCACTCAGCAAGCGGGAGCATAGGAACCGGATCCCCGACATGCGTCACACGACGAAACCGCATACCACCATCAAGGGGATCAAGCGGGGGAATCGATATCCCATCCCCGAGCCCGAATTGCTCATCGATGAATGCCGCCAACGCCCCGTTCCCAATCATAGGCTCCCCGAACGTCGTGGCCGTTACGTCCCAGCCCTTCAGACGCATCTCGAGGCCGGCTAGGGCGGCGACTGCGCCGCCGAGGGAGTGGCCTACGAGGGTTATGGCGTAGTCTGGGTATTTTTGGCGTAGGGTGGAGATCTGTGGGAGGATTTTGGGTCGGGTTTCGAGCCATGAGCGCATGAAGCCCGCGTGGACGGTGCAGTTTTCGCAGTGTGGGCTTGTTGGATTTGGGGTGGTGCTGCTATTTCCTTCCGGGTCTGGGTAGGGGATGTAGGCTTGGGGGTAGGCGGAGAGGTCGATTATGGTATTCGTTATTGAGTAGGTGCCGCGGAAGGCGAGGATTATTTGTTTGGTGGAGGGGGCGTGGGAGAGGGCTATGTAGCCGCATGAGTCTGATAGGAGGAGGCCGGTGTTCCAGGTCTGCGGGGTGGGTTGGGTTAGGTTAGTAGTTTGTGTCTTGGAGATAGTGCTTGGTTGGAGGTTGGTAACTCACGGTTACTAGTTCTAGATCTGGGAACTCGATGCAGCGGCTGAGGCACTGGAATGGTTGGTGTACTCCTGTTGTGCCGACGCAGTATGAAATGTCCACTATCCGGGATAACTCTTCCAGGGAGTTGAATAGCTCGTTGGATACATGTTTGGTCTTGCTCAGGGCTGTGGCAGGGCTTAGGATACAGGTGTATAGTAGTAAAAGGAGGAATAAAATGCTAGCCATGGCTTAACATGCTGAGTTGTGTAGGAGGGAAAGTACCTAGGTAATCTTTAAAAAGAACAAGAGCATGTGATGTGGAGACGTCCACGGGTGACTGGAATCCGGGGTAATTCCATTATGTCATCGCTTTCCTCATGTCGATCAGTCTTGGAAGGCACGAGGGATCCTAGGAAGGTATACGGGCATGGGTCGGCTCTTGTCTCTGCCAGAGCATCAAAAAGACAAACATCCTTGAGGATATGCCCACGGTATTAGAGGTGCCAGTGACAAGGCCTACACCTTGTTATGTATACTTGTAAGGTTGATTTCTACAACACATGAACGTGACAACCTTGCAATCTAAATCTTCACGAGACCCGATCCAAGACATCATCGCCCTAATCGGACTCTACAATAAAGGGATAATCAACGATGAAATTCGCCTTCCCTTCAGGTTGTTCATCGGCCGCTCCGCTTCGCAGCCAGCTGAACACGATATCGTCTTACGGGAGACATGATTATTAGGTTTGCACGACAACTGTAGCGGTATCGCCAGCAAGATGGGGTTTCAGGATAACTTTCATATTGACTGCAATGTTCAATAGTATTGCGGGATAGAATGCTTTGCTTATTTATTTGTATCTTACTTTATTGCTTCAATACCCTATAATGTTACGGGTGACGAATGTTCTTCGCTTTATTTGTACTCTTTATACAAATCAGGCATTCCAAATGACAACGCGACCGTCGACACCGCTCGCTATAGCAATATGTTAGTTTCTCGTAAGTCGTAAGTTTTCAGGAGGGAGATCTTACTGCTGAACGAGCTCACAACCCCGTTGGCTTCTTCGTGGGCCCGGATGGTGTTCACAGTGTTCTGGTGGGTAGACTTGAGCTTGGTGTCCGCCTGAGCCTGGCCCTTGAGATCCATCTGCCGGAACATGTTCAGAGCAGACTCCTCACGGGCACCCCGGACTTCCCCGGCCTTATTCTCCAGAGAGCCGGCAAGTTGCCATCCGTTCTCATCGCCGCGGAAACGGAAGGGCTCACAGTCCTAGATACGGTTAGCACGAGCCGTTATACTACTGGAAAAAGGAAACGACTTACATGTCCAGCTGCAATGATCTCAGTCTCGCCGTTCCAGATCAGGCTGTTGAGAGGCAGCAAACGGGTAGCGATGTTCAACATCGCCCGCGGAGGCTGCTCCGGAGCGCTGGGTACACGACAGTCACACTGCTGTCGTGTCCAGTAAAGGCGAGCGCATTACCACTAGGAGAGAAGGCAACACCCTGGATCCAACCAGCGGTATCATTCAGGTATTCGCCACAGATGGTGTTGAAAGGAAGGCGCTCTCCCCACGCACTGGGCTCCGGGCGGGTATCAATACCCTTGATGAAGCTCGAGAGGACTCGGGCGTGAGAATCGGTCGATCCGGCTGCCAGCAGGACGGAGTTGGGGTGCCACGCCAGGGTTGTAATAGTGCTGCGGATAGGCTTCTTGAGGTGCTTCGAGATCCACCAGTCGTTCTCCTCCTCGAAGTAGCAGACTGCAATCACTCGAGCGCCGGAGCCGACGGCGAACTTCTGCTCCGATGGGGACCAGCGTACAAACGTTGCGGCACGGTTGATTCGGAGAAGGACCAGGGTAGGTTTCCATCCGGTGGGGGTCTGCTCCCAAACGTAGGCATTGCGGTCTATAGAGTGAACATCTGTTAGGTATTGTACATGGTATAGTAAAAGGAGATTTATAAAACGTACCCTGTGAGCAAGTGACAATTCGGCCACTTTTGGGGGCAATGTCAACGCTGGTGACAGTCTTCTCGTGGCCCTTAAGCTCATCGCTCAGCGCGAACTTGTTGCCTGATTGTTGATACAGCTCCACATTGTTCTCCCGAGCGACAGCAAGTGTCTTCTTGTCGGATGAGAACGAGTGGTCTGCAATTGGTGCGTGGAAGAGATGGTGAACCTGAGGGGCAGCCATATTTGAGATAATAACGACAGGAGGGTCTCTCTACCGTCGCTCTTGTGTACTTAGTTGTAGTTGCGGGACCAGGAGGGGAGCTGGGGGATGGATGGATGACGGTGGTGCTTAGTAAGGAAGTCCATCACATGACCCCAAGCTACTTTTAACTATGTCGAGGTTTTGAGCCGTGGAGACAGCACGCGATTGAGCTTCATTTCCCCATCGTTGTCCCATTTACTCTTTTAACCAGACGACAGCGTGCCAGACATTCTAATCGTCTGAGAAATGGCTTCAAAATCTCTACCTGCCCGTGGAGGCCCTGACAGCAAGGCCGTTACTCCCGGCGCTCCTAACCAGACGTGAGCTTGCCCTTACAAGCACAGGAGACTGTCGCGCATTGTCGCTAACAATTTTTAGGCTCTACTGCACAAATTTGCCCGACAAAAGAATTCAGAAAAATGATCTCCGGACGGCACTTTATTCCCTATTCTCCACATACGGCACCGTTCTCGACGTCGTGGCCATGAAGACGAGCAAAATGCGAGGCCAGGCCCATATTGTGTTCAAGGATGTCCAAGCCAGTACGCAGGCACTGCGCGCTTTACAAGGATTCGAGTTCTTCGGGAAGCAGATGGTACGTTTTCATTTCCCTTCTCTTGTCGCAAACCCTGCTCAATTAATGGATGTTTAGAAAATCGTGTACGCCAAAGGATCATCAAATGTCATTTCCAAACTTCGCGGTACCTACGTTGCGCCAACTGAGGCTGCGGCAGCCCCAGTCACCACAGACCTCCAAAAGTCCATCTTCAGTGGTCCTCCGGGTGCACTCCCTCCACGACCCACCGGTGCCAATGGAGAGACTCATGGCTTGAAGCGACCGCGTGAAGAGGAAAGCGATAACGAAGAGGCTCCGATGGACGAAGATAGCGACGTGCCTATGGAAGCTTCCTCAGATGAGGAGTAAACTTATGAATGGGACTGAGAGAGACATGAAGTTTTCGATTTACATTTGATTTTTTTTTATTCCCCAGCGTTTTAAGCATATGAAAAAGTATTGGCTGGTACTTCGAGTGAGTATTTACCATAATATGACATATCTGATATTGATTCTATATTAGGCGCCCTGCTTTTGGATGAGACAGTCCCATGTGAAGCTGAGTGCTATTCGGCTTTGTAAGGGCAGCTTTTGAGATGGGTTCAGATACTTCGTCCAATTGGAGTGGACATCGTAAGGTACTCTATGATTTATGTATCGGTGGAATGAAGTCCACTTCGTCATCTACAAATGCCTTGTGATACGGATGTGCTATCTCAGGCTGCTAATCCTCTCGACTGTAAGATTTCTTTTAAAACTCTTTCCTATCATATATACTGCTGCGCGGCATCGTATATATTTCTGACAGATATAATATCTGTGTCTTTACATGGCCATGGGCCCTGATGGGGACTGAGAGAGGCTTGTATGTATCCTCTTTCTACATGGCGGCTGGCCATGGATATATATAACCCACACCTTCTATACTATATGACGTTGTTTTTGTCAACTTTTACCTCAGGTTGGGCATTAAGGAGGCGCTTTCACGAACACCCCTGCTATCAAGAACTGGGCATGTCTCACTTCCGCTTACTATACCCGTCCTATATAAGTTCGTTCGCTCTAACCAAAGTCCGCTATCCAACCAGGCAGTTGACCAGGCTATAGGACTTCACTATCGAGTCGTTCGGCATTAGCAGTTCCTCTAATCTTTCTATTTTCGTCCTATCCTCCACGTCTCGCCTTTTTACTTGATTGAGGGGACTTTCGATCTAGCTTTATAGGCTGTCTTCCACCCCCGTGCACCTTCTTTTACTCTACTTCCATTCGGGTAGGATATATCTAGGCCCTTTCCCCACCTTTATCTCTTCCGGGCGTTCACCCTAGACTCTTTGGAACATCTCCCTAATTACACCCCGGCCTGCGTACGTTTTAGACAGAGAGACTACTCGATCAGTCATTATCTGCCGCCTTATAGTGCCCCGGAAGAAGTTCCGACCTCTGTCGTTATTCTATTGGTATAAGGCCCTTCCAAAGCTATAGGATTTGTAGGCAATGTATATACACCAAACCGTAGAGCGCTAACTGTCTCTCACTTACTGACCTATCTGCTTACTTCTTCCAAAACTCTTCATACTGCTAAGCGCCATCGTATATTTCTAACAGATATAATATCGGTGTCTTTATATAGCCACCAGGCTATTATTGGTTTACTACATATGACTATTCATTTGTTTCTTACGTCCTCTGACTTGGTTCCAAGGTTCTTATAGTCTCTCCGCCATTGGCCGCAGCTGAACCCGCTTCCTCCTCTCCAGTTCGTATGTAGGCTAAGCAAAAAGCTCGCGTGGGACGTGCAGGCTCACGCAATGACCTACAAGGCCGAGCCAGATGAGGAGATATGACCCAGGAGTGACGCTCTGTGCGTCTGCAATGTTCGCCATGGCATCCGCAGTGTTGCATGGGTGGACGAAAAAGGCCGGGGCGCCAGAGTCAGGATGGTACTACAAGAAAAAAACAAGAAGACATGAGCTCTTGTCACGAGGTTCCGAGAATGCACCTACACCCATACTAATCCCACCCATTACACCCACACTCTTCAATTGTTGCCTGTACTGTTCTGGCACCACATACTGGTAGACTTCGTCTAGTCCGAGTGGGCCGTGGTTGTGCCACCTCAGGCCGAAGTACAAGACGGGGACCTGATATGTGGGGGACAACAAGATATCATAATCGATCTGTAAACTGGACTGGGGTTTGGCGCGAACGAGAGCTTCCTGCGGTGAAGAGTCAGGACAAGTGGACACGTCCCTTGGGGGCCAGAACTCTGCAGACCGGATCCTCGTCTTCCTGTGATTCTTCAAGGTCCAGCGCTGGGGCTTCTAGCGGGCTGGGGACATCAACACGTTTTGTTATTCTGAGGCTGGTTCCATCTGGCTAGTTTCATCCAAACCATATGTTCCCATCAGTTCTTCATTCAATACATAAATAAGGAACCAGATAAGGTTTAATGGTTCATGCATAAAAAAAGGGATACCTTTGTGAGCAGTCGAATGGCGGACCAGTCAATATGTTGGGCTGAAGTGCATCGATCAGCGAGATCTTGACATGCACCATCAAACTCCGACTGTGTCAGGAAGGGAAATGCAGAGCAAAATGCAGCCATGCGGCTGGAGGAGGCTATTGCTCCGTACCAGTGTCCGGATGCAGATGCTCAGCTGTGGACACGGTATGCCAGGATACGGGTTTAAGAGTAAGCCTGACCTGACTTGTTGCTATACGTCAAATCAGAAATACTGGAAGATAAATCCAATTTAAAAAAGAGAAAAAGAGAAAACGAGAAAGAAAAGCTGATTGCGGTGGACCGGATATAGAAAGGGAAGAAGAAAAACAATGGAGTTGTGAAGGTTACTACGTATGCCAAGAGGTAACGGGTACCTTGTTGATGTATGGTACGTGCATATTAAAGCAAAGTACTGAATACCTCTCCTCCCCGGTTGCGGTAGATGGAGGCGGTACCTTTTTCCCTCTCCCTGTCCCGCGTGGAGATATTCCTCTTTCTCCTGCACTGCATGCAGCTTCATCTGATGCAAAATGCGCGTATAGAGAAATCTTTTGTGGCAAAATGCTTGCGTCTTCTTTTGTTTCTAGCGTTTAGTTGCATATACACTTCGTTTGTCTGATTTTCTCTCCACTTCTTATGTATCGTATGTTCCCCCTTCCCTAGCGACACTATTCCCCCCACCACTTTCTACTGTTATTTTCTTTTCTTTTTGCTTTTTTTTAATTCTTTTTATATTTGCAATTTGTCTATAATCTTAATATCTGATTGTGTATTTGCCGATTTTGATCTACCCCTGGTCTACCAACCTCCCCGGGAACCGGAGATCGTGAAATCCTGAAATCATCAAATCCTGCTTTGTGAAGCAAGAAAGGGACTCCCCGGCTTCCAAGATTGGTTATTTGCCTCTGACGTTACCTCAATCCTGCCCGTCATCTGTCTTCCATCCCTCCAGTCCAACCAATTCCTGTATTGCACCCAATCTGAAACACGGACCATCATCTCCGGGATTGTTGGAGAACCCGGAGCCGCCAATCGTACACTCAATTCCAATCCCAGCGGTTGCACGAGCTTGGGGCTCGGATTGCGTCCTCTGTGGGCAATCAGGGCGTGGCTTGACGTCAGAAGTCCGGGGTGCGATCTAATCTGAAAAGCTCTATCGGGTCAAGCTTGGAAATCCCAGAGCTAGGTCACCCCGTCGTGCGGGGGAACAGTGCTCGCCAGGCTGTCACCAAGCCCTTATTCTAATTGTATATCATTCTCGCCATCTTCCCTGCACATGCCCGGTTGGATCTGGCCAGAGCAAATCTGAATCTAGCTGCATTGCATCTGCTTTTGAAGTCATGGGCAACACTCACTCGACCAAAGCCAAAGATGAGACCTACCGCTCCAACCGTCTTTCAAAGCCCTTGACGAAGAAGTTTAATGCCAGCCAAAGTTTCCAACGCCCCGAAACAGACCTCCCAACGCTCAATTCAGGGCTTATAGGGTGGCAAAACCCTTGGGTTGGCAACAGTATCTCCAGCGCCCCTGTGGAAAAACGGTGCAGTTATCCCAAGAAAGCAGAGATCCCACCTACCCTTTTTGAAACAGAGTCGTCCGAAGAGATCCCGACTGAGGATCGAACCTTGGTATATGAACAGAGTCCCACGCAGCGTCGTCTAAGCCGCCCAAGCCTGTTGAGCGCAAGCTCTTCGAGAAGGACATCGTACCAGTCGGAAACTTGTTCATCTTCCCAATCCTCGCCTCTTTATGAACAGCCACCAAGGCGGGCCAGTTCGACTCGAACTCCCCTACAGAGACATAACAGTGCTGTCTATGAAAACCACATTGGGGATGCGACATCTTCCAACACCCACTTCTTGGTTGGCAATCAACGGTTTTCGTTAACGCGTCGACGATCACTCCTGACACGACCTGGGGTTGCCACAAGACGAACAACAAGCGCAATGCGACGCGTCCCATCGCCCATTGGAGAGCCTGAATGCCCGATCGAGGATCCGACTGAGTCAACCGTTTTGCAATGGCCATTGCCTTCGACCCCTAGATCGCTGCGCCTACCATCCCCAGTGCGGCCGCCGAGTCCGATGGATGCCCGATATACCCAGCTCGGGGCACTCAAATTGGGGTCTTTGCGGGTTGTCAATGGCTCTGCCTCCCCATGTCCCAGTGAACGCATTCCTCTGGATGGGCCCTGCGCTCCAGGGTCTGGGCTTGGTCTTGAGAACATAGAAGTTGTAGGGCCTAGCAGGGGGTCGACGCTGGAGATTCCATCCTTACCGGACGTGAAGAAAACGGACGATGTTCCGGGCAGTCCATTCTCTTTCGAAAAGTCTCCCACTATCACAGTCCAGCCTCGAACAAAGTCGTTGTCTTCTGGAGAGCCAGAAGATGAAGGAATTGTCCTCTTCGACGATACGAGAATCCAGTTGGAGAAAGGTGCTATGGACGCTGGTCTTACCCGGAGCACGTCCCAGTCCCTCAACAAGTCCGACAGTGGCTACAGCTCTGCCACCTCAGTTCACTCCATACAGCGGAGCCGGACTCACAGTTCTTCTGGTTCACAGACGTCTAGCTCATGTGGTGCAGACAGCTCCAAAAACGTTTGTATCCCGAAAGACTCGGCTTCAGGTCGATCGGGCGATCAAGTGCAGCGTCCTCTGAGCCTGCAGACAAAGCCGGAGAACTACTCAAGGTTGTATCCAGCCGCTGCTCGCTGGTACGACTCGAGCGATCCAACCCCCCTCGCTCAGTCGCGGTCGCGTCGATCAACTTTGTGTGCGCCCCGATACACGGAATATTCTTCGCCGCGTGAATCCCTGTTCGAAGTCACGTCTACCACTGTGGTCTCTGCTCCACACCAGAGCCCACAAGGCTTTACCAGAGGGCCTTTCTATGGAGATCGATTGTCCTTGGGCTCGTTTGATCTTGCATCTTCTACAGGGTCTGCCGCGACTGGAGATTCACAACTCAGTCGCCAACAGTCAACTACCGAAGCCAAGGAGCGGCTCCGCAGATCAACCTCCGAGTGTCAGATTCATGAAGAGTACAATGCGCAACTCTCTCGATCCAGAAGCCGACGGGGAAGTCGCATCTGGAGCAAGAAACCAGGCGTTGATGTTCCTCCGCTACCCACTGTCGCGGCCCCAGGATACTTGCAGGATGACCTTGATCTTGATGCTGAATTAACACCCTCTGAGCCGATGCGAGGCCGGTCTCGGAGTCGGAACAATGACCATCCCCGTCGTCGGTTGACGAAGGTCCGTCGCCAGACGGATTTGTGCATATAATGACCTCTCCTTTTTTTGGTTATTGATATTTCTGGTAATGATTTTATTGACTATTCCCGTTTGGATGTTATTTTTATTTTGATCTTGGCTTATTCGCCTATGGCGGCTACAAAAGTTCATTATGGAGTTGATGCGTTTTCTTTGGCAGGAGTTTAGGACACATTTTGGATATGGAGTCTTATTAGGTATACCCTTTTGGAATTGGAAGTGGAATTGGCGTGATTAATATCTGGCGTTGAACACAAGTCCATGAATTCTGTATGCCATATACCATATGCTGCTGTTTGGCAAATTTTAGACTCATGGCCATTTAGTCTAGTCCGAAATGCATGCATATCCCTATGGGATACGATCTCAGTATTCGGCTATCTTGCCTTGCTACGCATATTCTTCACCGTGTGGCTGGTTCAGTGGTTCAGGGCCCTTCCTGGATACGAAGTAAGGTTATCGAGTCAAGCAAGGGGGTAACTACAATCGCAGGGTCAATGTGGCTCAGTTCTCTACAGCCTACCGAATAATGCAGATGCATATTACTTGTCTACATGGGATATGAAATATAATAAATATCAATTTCGATTAATTATCAAAGCAAAGCCAGATCGTAAAAGTAAACAGCAAGGAAAGAAACGCCACCCGAGATCCCAATGCAACCATTATACCGAGTCATGGATTTCAAGCCAATAACAGCCATAAAATGATTTCATGTTCCAAATCACAGGATGGGAATCTTCTTCGGTGTAGGAGTCGGCTCCTTCGGCACAACAACAGACAAAACACCGTTCTTCAGACTCGCCCGAACAGAGTCCTGATCCACGCGCGCGGTGAAGCTAAAAGTGCGCTGGAAGTCGCCGACTGACCTCTCCTTAGCCCAGAAGTGAGGCTTGTCAGTCTCTGTTTTCTCGGTGTGCGAAGCGGAAGCAGAAGCAGTCTTGGAAGCAGCGGTGTCGGCTGAGCTAGTCGATTCTGCATCCTCGTCTTCGACTGTGGCTTGGTGCCAGCCTGCAGGAGATGAGCTGCGGCTTGAGCTGGCGTCGTTGTTGTCATTGTTGTCGTTGTTGTTGTTGTACTCGCGGTCTGTGTGGCCCTTGATTACGAGTGTGTGGGGATCGGTGAATTCGATCTCGATGTTGCTCTGGTCCACGCCTGGCAGTTCGCCGTCTAGGTAGTAGGCATTGGTGAACTCGCGCACGTCAAATGCTGGTGCAAAGGAACTTTGTGCTTGGAGCTTGGAGCACTGGTAGGACTTGGGACATTTGCGAGGCTTGTATTGGTTTGGGGCCTCGTAGTCGTTGAGGAGGAAGAGTGGCGAAAGGCCGGATTGGGAGAAGAAGGCCATTGTTTTGGATTTGGAGGTTATTTGAGGTTGTAGGAAGGATAGAGAGTCTCTGAGAGGCTTTGAAGATTGTGTTCTGATTGATTGTTCTGTTCTAATTGTCCTGGAATATCTGCCATTTTATATCTTTGTTGCTTGTATATGGTGTTGCTTATAGTCCAGGCGGAAGCATCCAGAAACTTGTGGGGCCTTCGACGAGCCGCCAGCAACTTCAAGGCACAACCACCCCATTCTATACATTCTATAACAATCCATACAATAACTCCAATCTAATAATATTGACACTGACAAATGCAAACACATGAATAATCCATAATTGGTAATTACTTTGAACCTCGAAACTTCCAAGGGCTTCGCAATGAGTCAATAGTTGTACAGTAATACAACATATGGGCAGAACACTCCATGACAAAGCCATACATATGTAATGACTCAACAGTCTATGACTGGAGTCATAGTTAACTGTTACTATTATACAAGATGCCTTCAAAACCAGGCCTCAATACATCCCATCCCTTTTGCCTAACATGCTCAACATATTCGCAGGCATCCGTCCCGGGTGAAACCGGCGACCCTGGAGATCTCCGATTCTATATCAATAAGTAAACTGGTGGAGGCAGGCGGCTGAAAGGGCGTGATACATACAAATTTAGCTGTGTAGTCCACCCCAAAGAACTAAGATTCCGGGGTCTGGCCCCGTCCGCTCATCGGATATTGCGGATTCCCGGGGTAGCATACAACTCGAGCTGTCGATGGCCTTTGCGCAAGAGATATTCAATGGTGCTAAAGTCTTTCTTGTTCACCGAGAGATGCTTTTGGAACTCTGCCCTGTAGATGTCCCGTCTCAGCCGGATTGTACCGATATCTAGGGGGAACGCCGTCGGGAAAGGAAAAAGGAAATGAAAGGAGAGGATAGGGGAATATGCAGAAAGATAGATAGGCAATTGATAGAGTCTTACCGGGCATATCTCTTGAAATTGATTCTGGAGTCCTACAATAGAGTAAGTATTAGTTGATGAGTGAGAGGTGATAGAACCCACTTCAGGCTTATTTCGGATCTCCCGTAGGCATTTTCGGTATAGAGAGAGAACATCTCTCTGGAGACCGGAGAGCCTAGCCATTGTCTTCAATGTGAAGAGGGAAAGGGCCTGCGAATCATTGGACGGAGCTGGTGTGTTTCCCGCTCTGAGGAAAAAGAGGTTCTTTCCCGGCCGAGTGGAGGAGTGGAGATATCAGACCAGCTTCCCCTCGAACTTCCAACTTCCCCATATTTCATATTCCCCAATGTCTACTTTTACTGTGAGTTGAAGATCAATCTCTATTTGAATACAAATAAATGAACAAAAACAATATATATACATACATACGCATATATATATATGTGTGTGTGTGTGTGTATATATATATATGATCAACCATGTGATGGAAAGTACCATTGCAACAACATGCTGATTCCCTATATAGCGCCTCATCCGCTTCCTGGCCAAGGATGGCCAAATCTATTACGGCGATGCTCTTCTTCCATCAGGAGTGAGCGATATCGCCAGAGCCACCAAGGCCAGAGTCATCCAGGGTGACATCTTCGGCCAGCACCGGATCACCGACCAGGTCGCAGATGTGAGAATGCTCCTCGCACCCCTGGCCCGTAAGGATATTGGCACAGTCCGATGCCTGGGTCTCAACTATGAACAACACGCCAAGGAGTCGAACATGCCTATTCCCAAGTATCCAGTGTTGTTCTACAAGCCCGTCACCTCGATTTCCGGGCCCGTAGATGATATCCCCGTGGCCCAACTTGCCCAGGAAGGCGAGGGCCTGGATTACGAGTGTGAACTGGTCGCCATTATCGGCAAAGAGGCTACTAATGTCCCCGAGAGCAAGGCTCTGGACTATGTGCTGGGATATGCTGTCGGCAACGATGTTTCCCACCGCGATTGGCAGATCAAGCGGGGTGGAGGTCAGTGGGGACTGGGTAAGGGCTTTGATGGATGGGCGCCGTTTGGTCCTGGCATTGTTTCTTCCAGTGTCATTGCGGATCCGAATAACTTGGCTATTTCGACCAAGTTGAATGGGCAGACGGTCCAGTCTTCCTCGACCAAGGATATGATCTTCGGCGTGGCAAAGACGATAGCTTTCCTATCTCAGGGAACTACGCTCTTGCCTGGTGATCTCATCTTCACTGGAACGTGAGTACCCCGTGATGAGAAAGAAAATGGCCGTTTGGATTTGATAGACTGACTGTTTGACAGACCCCAGGGTGTGGGCATGGGCCGCAAGCCTGCTTTGTGGTTGAAGGACGGCGATCAAGTCGAGGTTTCGCTCGAGGGCATCGGGTCCTGTGTCAACCGCGTGGTCTTTGACAAGCCCAGCTCCAAGCTCTAAATTTATTCAAAACTTGCCTTGAGACCAGCGAACGGGTTGGCACTGGTTCAAGTTGTATATAACTACCTGTACGTTTCAGTCTTCGCAATTGATCATTGTTGTTATTCGGACCCTAAAATTATCTTTGCATCCGTAGTCCCGTGTGCATTACATGTAAAAGAAAACATAAATTAGGATCTAAGCAGTCTGGGCGCCGTATCCCCTGATTCTCTCGGCAAAGGCCCAGCTCTGACCCTGAATCTGCTCATCCTCCTTCAGGTCAATACCATCCTTCGTAATCACGGCTATCGAGTACTTGTCGGAACTTCGTGCATCGCGGTAGAACAGAACCTTCAAGCACTCCTTCAAGGCCTCGACGGCCTCTTCCTTGCTGACTTGCTCAAGGGGAGTACCCTCGGGGAACTTGCGGCGCAGGATCGGAACCGCAAGATGAGCACCGAAGCCCGTAGCGAGATGAGGAGCAGAGAATGTTGTTCCGAGCAAATCTGCCGAGCTAAGGAAGGGCTCCCCTTGCCCATCGAAGCCTGCGACAAGGACGTGGTTCCACAGCGGGTTGAACTCGGAGCGTCGTTTGTAGAAAACCTTTGCAAGGTACGTGTGCAGGTTCTTGGCGTTGAGCATGTTGCCGTGAGGCGAGTAGTTCTCCTTGATATCCATGGAGTCTCAGGAGACGGTCGAGATATTGCATGTCGGAAACGTCACCGCCAAAGCCAACCATTGCCTTATCGCCGAAATTACGCAGACGCTTCACGTCGGAGAAACGAGCCAGGGATCCGTAGGAGGCTGTATTCACACAAATCATATCACGTCAGATGGCAATGCTAAGGAAACCGAACGGGACAATGGAATGGCATACCCAGGTTGTCGGTAGCTATAGCGACTCCGCCATTAAACTTGACGCCCACCACTGACGTTCCTGTCACTGCAGGGGATGAGGTATGGGCCTTGGGACCTGAGGTCTGCAGATATGAGTGATCGTAGGCACCGTAGACATCGTTCCTGGGCTGGACGGATAGTTAGCAACAGAGCAAGGACTGGGAAAGTTGTGCCACCTACGCGGCCCCAAGCTTCAGGGAAGTGGTTCATAATGAATGAAGATGAATGACAGTTTCAAGAGGGCTCGAAGAAGGGAGGTAAATTGGAGACAAGGAGGGAAGACAACAGATGGATAGCACAGTAAAGTGATGACGATAGATGGGGAGCTATCTTAGGCAGTCGAGCTGACGGAGAGCTTGGCTGACTAAGATTCGCGGTCATCAGCCCGGAGGATGGAGACCAACTATATTAGATATCCACTAAATATACAACCCTCTAGAATTAGTTACATTATAATTGTGTATCTAAATTTACTCCTGAGGTCGTAGTACATGGAGGCACTTTCGTCTAACCTGATTTGGTGCTCGTATTCGCTTCCCAAGTGACTTTCGAAAGTTTGGTAGCATGCTTCGCCTCAAACTGATGGACCTCTCGTATAATAAATAGATCTGCGGCCCCCCGGCAGTACCTCTCTCCATTTAATAGCCTTCGAATATCTATACTTATTCCTGTGAAATCTAATGTCTTCTCCGGGTTCAAGTCGTGCTGGGTCAACGGCATCTGCCCCTCCCATTGACGACAATGTCCCTTCACGCGTGTATAACATCACCAACCAGTTCTTCCGCCGACACTATGACATCAACTCAGCAGATGGCCAGCCTCTATTTTACGGCGAAGTATCTGAGTTCACCCCAAACAAGCCAGACCTTATTCTCCATGCTGGTACCAGCAGCAAAGGTCCAATTGTGGCCGTCTCCAAATTTGCCAAGTCGTCCGGCGATTACAAAATAGGCATTGGGAACCCCGATGATGTGAACTCCGTCCAGTGGGAGGACATGACCAAGGAACTCATTCGCAAACCGAAATACCGCTTCGAAATGACAGTTCAATGCCAATCTGACCAAACTCAGAGTGGGAGGCGGTCATTCCTGTGGAAGCGAACACGCACTATTGGCGTTGAAGATTCAGCACCGTCTAAATGGACCGGTCAGAACTATAAGCTCGTGGATGAGCACACCGAGCAGCTTCTGGCCGTATTCTCAGGTGCGACGGGGCTAGACAGAGGTGGGAAACTGCAAATCAGAGTGGAATACGGAGAGGACTTTGATCGAATGGTGTTGGTTACTTGTTTAAGTTTGTATGAGAAGGCGAAGCGGCGCAAACACAGAGCCGGTGGTGGTGGCGGAGGAGGAGGCTGAAACAAGCATCATTGTTGCAATGTATGATCCACAAGTATGATAGTATACACGAGTCCAAGTGTGCGCTATGTCAATCAAAGCGTATTGTTGATCCTCTTTCCAGGACTCCTTTTGGAGTCATCGGATATACCACCAGTATTTTGCTCCGAGATGGGCACATAGTCTTGGATTTTGAGCGAAGATAGAGAAGTTCTTCTTGGATCTTAGGATGCCAAAACGGAAGTTCCCATGTAGGTCAGGCAATTACTGCGTCACTGAATATTCGAAGCATTCAGGTAATGTGCTGCAGCCGCCCTTTGGGGTTATAATATGGAATGTCCACATTTCTCGAAAGATGATACGCCCGAGGTCGTTCGGCCATACCATCCGAGAGCTGGCATACCATAAGGTCGGTCTTCGTGGTCTGGTTCCCGCCGAATGAATCCTCAAGCAGATCCAGTGACAAAATCAACCGAGCTTCGCTGGCCAGGTGCCTTTTTCTCCTCCGATTGTTTACGCAACTCTTGTTGGGTCCTCAGGAGCTCTTCCTTGAAACCCCATTTGGGCAGATTGGAGGGATGCCATAGATCGGCTGGCAGCGATGTGTCATATTGTGATTGCTCATTGATCCCAGCATGTTCCATCATCTTCTTCAACAGGGTTGGATTCTTGAGCGACGACGAGCTGGCTAGTTTTGAGTTGAAGTGGACGCCTTGCTTTTTGAGCGAGAGGAAATGCTCGAATTTCGCGTTTGCGGCTGGGTTAGGAGACCCGGGAGGTGATGGTGGGATGTCTAGATTGGGAACGGGAGGGAGAGTGAGGTCTTGAATGAGACTTCGTGAAGCCGAGAAGGGCGATGAGCGTCCACTTGTCGAATGCTTGTCCTCCGAGAGGGGCGCCATGTCGATAGCAGCGGGGCCAAGGACGGGTCCTTCTGGGACTGAATCGGTCGCAACATGAGAGCGTGTCTCTTTTGGTTGATGGAGAGATGGTTTATGACCTGGGTAAGTTGTCAGCGCCAATATTCGGAGCTTACTGGTCCCCAAGAGGATTAAGAGGCATGTTACCTTCGTTCTGGCCAGCTTGTGAGGCTATAGGTGGAATATCCTTGTTGCGCTGTTGCTTCGGAGTTAGCAGTTCCTAGATGCCGCTCTCGGGGCTCAAAATACCTGAGAGCTGGGTGAAGGACCCTTGCGCTCTGCCTCTTCCTCACTGCTGCTCTCATAGTCACCAAGACCAAGCATCACGCCGCAGTTTGTGTCCAAGTATAAGTGTCGAGACTGAAGGATATCAAGAGCACAGTAGAATAAGCTCCAAGGTATGAGCAATTTTCTTTGGAGTCAGAGAATGACAAACTTAACGTCCAGGAATAAATGAGGCACCGAGTGTATATATCGAGCCCTCCAGGGCTCTCGGGGAGCTTGGATATTTCTTACCTAATCAAAAGGCAGCTACCGCATCGCGTCAGACACTCAGCTTCTTTGCTCTCCATCTTCCAAAACTCCCCAATCTCAAGAATCTTCTACATCCAACACTTTAATTTTTGCTATCAGACTACCGTTGTGGTATTTTCTTCAGATCAAGCTCTATCTCTCCGAAAATGACGTCGCTTATGGGTAACCACTCTGGGACTATCGGATACTCCTTCTCTGAGCCAACATCCGCTAATGTCAAACAACACTCGTTCTACCCGTAAGGAACGACTTGATCAAACCGAGCAGTAACATTGGCTAATCGCTACACTAGTTACACCGATAATGGCGGTTCCACCCTCGGTATCACGGGTGCTGATTTCGCTATCCTCGCCGGCGACACTCGTTCCACATCAGGCTACAATATCAACTCTCGCATGGTCCCCAAAGTCTTCAAGATCGGCGGTGATGATGAGATCGGTGAGGGAGCTAATATCATTCTTTCTGTTGTTGGTTTCGCCGCCGATGGAAATGCTCTCAAGGAAAAGCTGGACACCATGGTGAGGATGTACAAGTACCAACACGGGAAATCCATGTCAGTGGGAGCATGTGCACAGCGATTGTCGACGATCCTCTACGAGAAGCGATTCTTCCCGTACTACGTACATGCTATTCTGGCTGGTCTGGACGAGGAAGGCGTGGGGGCTTTGTACAGTTACGACCCAGTGGGTTCTTACGAGCGGGAACAGTGCCGGGCTGCCGGTGCGGCATCCAGCTTGATCATGCCTTTCCTGGACAACCAAGTCAACTCCAAGAACCAATACATCCCCGGAAGCGGCGAAGGACATGCCCTTGTTCCCAAAAAGGCTGAGCCTCTGGACAAGGAAACGGCCACGAAGCTTGTAAAGGATGCCTTTACAAGTGCCGTAGAGAGACATATCGAGGTTGGCGATGGTTTGCAATTGGTTATTGTTACCCGGGAAGGAATTGAGGAGGTGTTCCATGCCCTGAAGCAGGATTAGACTATTGGAACATGGTAGATCGAGGCCTTCTTATCGGGGGCGGGGCTCTTTTTTGATCAGTTGATCACAAACATAATCGAGATGAATGAAATTTCCATGAATTGATATCTTTACGTTATACGTCGTCATGCCTCTAAGGTCAAGGAAAAGAAAAAAGAAGACAGCGTAAAACCTGATGCACCTGAACGCCCACACCATGCCGGATGAGATAAATGAGTCGTGGAATCAGAAGCGTTCCTTCATTCGCGAGGCGACGGTCCGAAGGTTGCCATAAACCTTGCCCTGTTTTGTGTTAGGAAAATTCCGTTTCAGGTTTATACGACCAGGACTTACCGGAGGGCTACCCAAAATCAAGCTGACAATCGCCTCTCGGGCAATGTGAATGTTCTTGAATCCACCCAGAATGTGAATCTTCTGGTCTGCAAGTACAACTCGTGTCCGACTGGCGTTTTCGATGGCAAACTTGGTCTTTCCATCCTTGCCTGCAATACGTCCAATAGCACGACCAAGATGTTCTCCGTTCAGAGTCTTCACATCCTTGATCTCGAAGGTTTGGATATACAGATCATCAAGTCGGAGAAGGGCAATCGCATCGTCGAGATCGAAGCCAAGAGTGAAGGCCTTGACAAAATCAGCACCTTTTTGCAGAGCTCCCACATCGTTGGTAAACTTGGAGGTTCGCAATTCGACTGATCGGCTTTTGATGTTCATTCGCACTTGCAACTTGAGGTGCTCGACGATAGGAGGGCAGATCTTGGCCCAGCTCGCTTTAAGCGGGGTCATACGGTGCGGTGGGACAGGCACCTTTCGTGTTTCGATCCGATATGCGGTAGCCACGTCTTTGGCCGGGGTGAAGACAGGGCGACCTTCCTCGTCGATGCGCATTTCGCTGTCCTCGGCAGTCTCAGCGACGGGGTTAATCGGAGCGTCCTCGTTCGTGGCTTGAACATCGATCAAAACTTCATCATCTTGATCTATTGATTGTCAGCTATGAAGAGGATTTTTGCAGATCAGATCGAATACTAACCATGAGAGATGGTCTCAGGCTGAACCCCTAGGGGCTGCTCTGGCTGGCGAATAGCTGTAGGGGCCGACATTGTGTTGATTAAAGAATGAAGTTTTTTTCCATAAAATCTGTTATCGCAAAATTTAATCAGTTCCCCCCTCACGGAAAAATGAAGTGTGGGCGGAAGGGAATTTTTTGATGCAAACATGACAAACTCCGATGATTTCATTCCGGTTCCTCGCAACTCTCGCAAGCTTGGAAGCTTCTTGTCAACAGGTCAACTGCTGTTTATGATACAGTGTGTCTGTCCTACTTTGCTGTCAAGTTTCTCATTCATGTCCAGTATGTAAAGACAAAGATGTCTGCCAATCTGGGACGCCGGCTGTACGCCCATATCTGGGATACAGCAAATCCAATTCTTGGTCGCATACGAATGAATCGCGTATCGGCCCCGGATGCTTATACCTCAAGATTATTCCTCGATTCGTCCCTTCCAAATCACTCGCGGCGTATTTCGACACTCCCGGCGAAACCGGCCCGCTTCACTAAAAGATTTGCTTCTGGTGGCTTCTTTGTTCTCGGCGTCTCGCCTACTTCCACTGCTGCGGACACAACTGCATCATGCATCATCTCCTCTCCCAAAATTGCCGTCCAGTATGTCTGGAAGCGAACTTTACATACCTCGGACGGCCATCAACGGGGAAAGAAGCTTCTAAAGACACTCATGAACGCAACGAAAATGACCATCCCCAGAAACTCGGCCAATCCGGCAAAGATACATCCACCACACATTCACAGACCAAACCATCCCAAGATACGCAGCAATCAACTACGAACAGTCGCCACTTGATGGATCGCTTACCACATATGCCTCACCTACATCGGCCAACCAAAGAAGAGCTCTTGGCCGCAGCAACTGGGTTCTGGTCACGCCTCAAAGTACGATTTAAGTGGTTCTCTATAAGAAGTGTTCGTCCTTACAATTTGGATGAGATTGCTGCCCTATTCTCGTGGGTTTTGCTGGGTCACATCGTCTGGGTCGTCGTGGGAACTACCACTTTCTTCTCGCTTCTGATCCTCGCAATCAACACAGTCTTTGCTCAGGGTACGTCCATTTTTTTTTGTTGCAGTAAGGCCTGGATACTAATGTGCTTGAACAGAAACATTGGCAGGGTGGGTTGGCAACTATCTAACCAGGTCTTCTGGAGTCAAGGTTGTTTTTGAATCTGCAATCGTGCCAAAATGGAAAAATGGCGTCATCACTTTCAAGAATGTCTTTGTGTCAAAACGACCAGGCCAAGGTGCTGGTCATGTCAGTAAGGGCTCGTCGAAGTCTGCGGCAGCCGCCGCCGCAGCTCGAGGTGACACTGGGCTCGAAGATTCCCAGGTAGTATCTGATGAAGAGGAAGATACTAACTACACACAATTTGATTTGTCGATCGAGACGGTCAACGTGACATTATCATTTACCAAATGGCTGAATGGAAAGGGCCCACTTCATGATGTTGAGGTGAAAGGCATACGGGGTGTTGTCGACCGTCGCCATGTTTACTGGCCGGAGGAGGACTTGGATCCTAAATCCTATCGACATGAGCATACTCCCGGTGACTTTGAAATCGACTCTTTCAAGATGCATGACCTGCTCGTCACCGTTTACCAACCGGACAACTTCCGTCCCTTCTCCGTTAGCATCTTCTCATGCGACCTTCCTCAGCTGCGGAAGCAATGGCTCTTCTACGATTTCCTCTCTGCTAACATGATGTCTGGCTCTTATGACAATTCTTTGTTCACAATCCACGCTCGCCAAACTCATGGGTTCACGGGTATTCGGCAGGATAGCGAAGTAGATGAAGACGGTAAATCAAGCCCGTGGAAGAAACATAATAGGATTCGAGTCGACGGACTCAATATCGACCATCTCAACCGCGGTGTTGAGGGCCCTTTCTCTTGGATTCATGAAGGGACTGTAGATATTGTGGCGGACATCATGTTACCCGCAGAAAACGATGAGAGCTTGGCCAAGGTGATGGTCGATTTTTATGATCGGTTGGAAACCACTGTCACCACCAATCGTTACCCGGAGCCTCTATCTTCTTCCTCCAGTCCAGAATCAGAGACTGAAGATCGACGTTTCCTCGCTATGGATTTGCGCGTGCACCTCAACAACGTTCGGGCTGCAGTGCCCATCTTCACCCGGGACCTTTCTTACATCAACAATGCACTGATCCGTCCTATCGTTGCCTACATTAACTCCAAGCGCACCTTTATTCCCATCAATTGCCGCTTAGCCAAGCGCGTTGGAGATTTCGATGGAAGCTGGACCGTCTTTGACAGTGGCCTGATGGATGACCTGTCTGCTGCAGTAAGTACCTTTTCTTTTGTGTCCTACTATACCGATCATTGCTGATGACTTCTTTAGACCTATGACGCTTTTGCCCGAGATGTCGTGGATGACCAAGCCCGGAAAAGGCGGTTCAAGAAAGTCGGGTTTTGGTCCCTTCAGCTGGCCGCCCAGGCTATTTTCATGGGCATGGCTGGCAACATTGCGTAATTGTACTATTCTGTACCTCATTTGACTGGCGTTCTTTTTCTCTTCTCTTTCATTTGGTCTGTATTATACTCATTGCGGTCGCATTTACAGGAGTCTAGGTCTTTTTTTCCAAGATAGAATCCATCTCAAACCAAATAGGAAACAGAACTTGAACCAGTCCAACTGTCCAAGTATGAGACGGTTTCCAGGTGTTGCCCTGGACATCCAATACATTATACTCAGCAACTTCTAGTAGTTCTCGATTACTTTCCTATCGCTCTGGTTCCACCGCAGTTGTGCCGAATGCCGGGGCGGCTTTGTACTACAAAATAGTCTATACATCCATTTCCTTATACGCAATACACTTTTTAATAGATAGAAAATAAAAGGAAAAGGGAAAGGAAAAAGACCGGAAAGAAACCCTGGAAGAGAATATGATACTATGATACTCATGATACTCTTACTCTCTTAGGTAACTCCGGGAGATTGAAAGGGATCAGTTCTGCATACCAACACATCTCAAATCATCTTCCTCACTTCCTCTTCTCTTGTCTTTCTCAAAAGTACTGAGTTTATCCATACCCGTTGCTTTTATATTTATCTTGTTGGTTATTGTTTATTATTCTTCTTATTAGCTCGAAACCCCCTTTTTCCCTCCCCCCCACTTCGCTTTCCTAAGCTCTTCTCATCCTCTCCACTCCCATTCTCTGTGCCACCAGGGAGTGTTTTCACCGTTATATTCTTTCGAGTTGGTTGATCGGTCAAGAATACCCCTTTTTCCCTTCCTGGCGCTTAAGCTTAAGCTTCCGGGGTTCCGCGTTTTCGCCCCTTGGGTCTTCGCCTCGTGTCGCCCCCGAACGTGGCCCCTCTGATGAGTCTCGACCCCTACAGCCATGTCGCAAGTTCCGCGAGAGAATGATGGAAGCTCGCCAACTTCGTCTAAGAATCAGTCCACCTATCCAGTCAATAACGGCCTCATCCCGCGGGATTATTTAGCTCGATCTGATCAACGCCCCGGACCTGCTCCTGGTTCTCGACATATAGCACCTTCCCCGTTGCATACAAGTTCCCTGCCGCAGTCTTACCGTGTTGACGGATCTACATCATCCCAGAGTCCCCTATCACCGAAATCCAACCCTTCTTCCCAGGATCGGTCGCCAATCTCTCGCGTGGCCAATGCACCATACTCTGCGCCACCCTTCAGCACTGGTCAGAGTCTGTCGCAATCACCAGAAATGGTAGGAGAATCGGCGAATGCCAGTGGCCGACCTGGCGAAAGCAATGCACCGAAACAATCCCGTGCGCCAGAACCCGATCGATCTGCCTCTTCCTCCGTCAGCTCTATACACTCGATGCCGGGAGATCGTACACCCAATCGTACCATGCCTCGGACCTCATCGATTGACTCCGCTATTTCATCCCTATCCTCCAACTCTCAGAGATCGACCTTTGATGTCAATGCGCTCAGTCCAGCCGACATTCACAATCTCATCAATGCCGCTGGATCTGCCGAGGCTGTGATTATGCACCTCTTGAAAGAGAAACATCAAGCGGCCTCTCAGAATGCACAACTTTGGAAATTGGTTGACAAACAGAGGACTCTAATCCTCGGCCTCAACAAGGATCTAGAGCGTGCTTTCCAAGAGAAGGATAAATATCGGAAGAAGCTTAAAGATATACAAGACGCTCCACCATTGCCGGTGGCCGAGCCCGTTCCCTCCGTGGCCGCGCCGAGCAGTGACAAAGAGAAACCGTCGCGCAAACCTGACCCGCCATCGATCGCCCCACCATCTGAAGCTTCTCGGCGGGGCTTCGAAACCACCACAAGCCCAGTCTCTGCCACAGATATCCCGTCTCCAGTAGGAGACGGAAAGAGCAGGTTTCCACCCCCAAGTCGCAAACCGCCGCCTGCTCCTCTAGATTTACGACAAGCAGACAATAAAAGGGCATCCTCAGCTTCCGATCCCGATTCCGGTTCTGATTACGGCGACGCCGAGGATAGAAATGGGATTCTCAGCACGGACCGCGGGCGGAGAAAGACGAGAGAGCAGGACGACCAGGACCGCGAAGCTGCGCTGCAGAAGGATATGTTTGGGTCGACCGGTTCTGTGGAACTGTCCCAGGCAGCATCCTCTCACACCTCCCGGGATACAGCAACGTGTAGCCCGGAAACGGTCCCTAGGGAGCTTTCTACGAGATCCCCGCCGAATGTGGGTGATTCTAATTCACTGGGGTCGCTTTTAGGCGCTCGGCCCCCTCCCGCTTCGTCCTTTAATGGGCGTTCCATCGCTGCCATGCCCATGAGCCCTGGACTACCTCTGAGCCCGAGACCAGAAGATCGACCCATTAATTCCCCAATGCCTCGCATGCCACGGGATATGTCCACTTCCATGGCACCCGGATATCAGGCTCCAGGATTGCCGCTCTCTCCAAGAATGGCCAACCACCCCACGGGCTTTGCTCCCATCCCTTCAGGACGTCCCAATGGCCCTATTCCATCAATTGATCCCACGGTCATGATTGACAGCCCGAGATCTCCAAATTTTTCGGACAACCAAATATACCGAGGATTGATGTCAGACGAATACCAGGGCCTGCTTTTGCCCCCGAATGCCCTTCCTCTGGTTCAAGTCAGAGTATCTTCGTCGCGGCTTCGTCCTTCCCGGAATAGCTATATGGCGTCCAAGCCCCTGGACGAGGAGCCTGTCTTTACTCTCAGTGTGATCCTGCGATCAGAGATGTCAGAGCTATGGCGGGTTGAAAAGGTCATCGGTGCTCTGCCACAGCTGGATCAAAAAGTCCGACAATCTTCTCCGTTCCTGGAAAATTACCGGATAGAAGTATTTTCAGCGGACACTCCCCTGCTAAGGTCGACTTGAGACGTGCCGCACTGAATGCGTACTTCGACAAACTTTTGGACACGCCAATGGACGAGAATGCTGCTCTAGCGATCTGCCAATTTTTGACAAGTGATGCCATCGAGCCTCGAGACGACGAGACAAGTCTGCTGAAAGGTATCGCCCAGGCAACGCCCGATATGCCACGTGGTCCAGATGGAAAGCCCCGAAAGGAAGGTTACTTGACCAAACGAGGCAAGAACTTTGGTGGCTGGAAAGCGAGATATTTTGTTCTTGATGGACCTGAACTAAGATACTACGAATCTCCGGGTGGTCCACACATGGGTACTATAAAACTTCATCATGCCCAGATCGGCAAGCAATCGCCAAAATTGACCGAGAATGCTTCAACTTCTGGGGCCGACGAAGACTCTGACAACCAGTATCGACATGCATTTTTGGTTTTGGAACCGAAGAAAAAAAGATTCATCGGCACTCGTTAGGCATGTTCTTTGCGCCGAGAGCGATGAGGAGCGCGATACCTGGGTTGATGCTCTCATGGAATATGTTGAGAGTGCTTCTTCCGAGAATGAAGGACGTGGGAGCGTGTCTTCGAAAAGCCAGGCTCCATCTCAAGACGAATTCCAAACACAGCAAAAGCAACTGGTCTCTGCAGCCGAGAGCAAGTCTAAAAAGTTGAACAACGGAAGCAAGCGATCCGGTCGAGGAGTCGATAGTCCCGACCAGGATGTAGGAGTCTCCGTGCAGGGTTTCAGCTTTGACGACGCAGTGCAAGCTGATCCTCCGACTATTGGTTCCACTCTTGAGCAAGCTCCCCGATCCCCACGTATTCCGGCGGCTTTGTCGACAGAATTCAGGGACATGGCCATGTCTTCTTCGGATCAAGCATTGCAGTCTCCCAGACTAATATCTAGGCCCACAAACGGCACAGTCATTCAAGACGTGGAAGCCTGGGGCAACAAGGCAAAGACATCGACGAAGGAAAAGAAACGCAGTATCTGGGGTTTCCGTACTAGGTCCTCTTTCGATCTTGCCGCTCAGGCCAGCAACGACACAGCAGTAGCAAGCAACACCGTTGAGAGAACAGGTCCTGTTAGACCTGTATTTGGTATACCCCTAGCAGAGGCCGTACAAGACTGTGGACCGCCAGGCATTGATGTGGAGCTGCCGGCAGTGGTTTATCGCTGTATTGAGTATCTCCATGCCAAGGAAGCCGCTTTGGAGGAAGGAATCTTCCGCTTAAGCGGTTCCAACGTGGTGATCAAAGCATTGAAAGAACGGTTCAACACTGAAGGTGATGTTGATTTCGTGTCTGGAGATCAGTATTACGACATCCATGCTGTGGCTTCTCTCTTCAAACAATACCTTCGGGAGCTTCCGACAACAGTTTTGACCCGGGAGCTTCATTTGGATTTCCTTCGTGTTCTTGGTATGTACACTTTCGCTGCTGCTTTCTTTTCTCCTGCTAACCCAACCGAAAAGAACTTGACGACCGCCAAAAGAAGGTCGCTGCGTTCAACTCTCTGGTACATAGATTGCCCAGGCCTAATCTCGCATTGCTACGGGCTCTATCGCAATTCTTGATCGAGATTGTGAACAACGCCGACGTAAACAAGATGACGGTCAGGAACGTGGGCATTGTCTTTGCCCCAACTCTCAATATCCCGGCACCAGTCTTCTCGATGTTCCTCACGGACTACGACAGTATCTTTGGCGATACTGATTCAAGCTTTGCCAAGCCGCCTACGGAACTGACGGTTGAAAACACTCTCTCGGCCGATGATATTCGTTCCCCGCGTCATCAAATGTTCTCTGATCTTCCTACACCTTCGTACCAGCAGACTTCGTTCCGAACCACTGGCGATGTGAACGGTCCTTCCGATGGCCCCAGATCACACTACGACACTGGTTTTACCCCAATGCAACCTAGCTATGACCAACCAACGTCTTCCAGACATGAGCAGTACAACCAACCTCCGGGTGCCGGCGCTTCGTATTCTTCTTTGAATGGCATGTTGGGGCCTAACTCGGAAGACACTCGCTCGGCGAAGACCAAGCGACGGGAGAGTTCAATGCTCTTCATGGAAGGTAAGATCCAAGCACGAGAAGATCCCCACGGCCTTTGCTAACGTATACTGTCCATGAAGATCCTTCCTTCTACCAGGGCAAGTGAATTATGATTCGCTTCTCACCGGTCTTTTCTCTTTTTTTCCGCGCCTTTCTGATTCTGGACCCAGTGGTCATGCCACTCTTGTCCGGCAAAATTACGACTTGCACGCAGAATGATGACTTTAACCCACTTGGCAATCTCAGCAAAGTCGCGAGGGAATGTTTTAATGATAATGGTAATCAAGATGCGGTACATCAAATTTGATGGTCCATCTTGGAGTTGAGAGTTCCCATGCCATGGTCAGTCACTTTGACCGTCGTTATACCCCCTTCTTTTTTTTTCCTTTCTCTTCATCTCTTCATCTCTTTTTTCCTCTTTTCGTCTCTTCATTTCTTTCCCCCATATTTCAGCGCTTCCACTATGGCTCGATGTCCGATGTCCATACATTACTATTTACTCTTATTTATCTGGAAATTTGGTGGCCCCCGGTTACGCGATATGGAGGCACGCTTTGCCGATTTATTTTTTTACCATTTACACGATATGTGACGGCGGAATGCAAATCTCATTTCATCTATATGTAACATCAATTACCGTGGTTTTGCTCACTCAGAATCGTCTTGTACTTTCTCCTCTCCAGAACCCCATGAGTTCACCAGTCTCCCTTGTCCAATCTCGGACACCATCCACTAAGGCCTTGGCCATTCCCTTGTTCTTGGACTTTCCATCAGAGGCACCTAGGCCAGTGGGTTTGGCACGCTCCCCGGTGGCATACTCAGAGCCCATGCTTGGCAACACATTTTCCCCCGCGCTCAAGCTAACAAACAGAGCGAACGGAACGAGCCAGACGCACAGGCCAAAGTATGAAGCCACTTCGGAGAAGGAGGGCATCTCATCGTAATTGACTCCATACGGCTGACGCCAGTTGTTCGACGGAGGCAAAGGCTTCGAGAAATGGCGGAACCATAGCCAGTGGTTGAGACCAACCAGAAGGCAGGAGAGAATGAAAAGAGGATCGGATAGTTTCACGACGGGGAATCGGCGCAGATTGCTGGCGTAGACCATGTGCGAAGCAATGCTCAGCAGAGACAATGACACAGGGAAACGGTCAATTATCATAAGCAGAACTTGTATCGCGACAATGCCGTAGATCAGACGGGTCAACAGACGGCGGGCAAGAACCGTGTGTTCTTCCACAAGCTCGGATAGATAGTAGAGTCCCGAAGCTGGGGTTTTAAAGTCAGCTTTTTTCCATTGCTGTCAGGATTCCATGTCCCTCCATACCTATGGCCAAGGTGAGAAAGGCAAACCCGACAACCACCCCGAAATAACCGACTAGCGGTAGAATCCACATGATGCCCAGTGAAGACAGAGCTTTCGAACAACGGTAGTGTTGAAAGATAATGCAAGAGGCAATCAGCCTCAGAGAGAGAGATTCAAGATGCAATCGGAGAACGTGGACGTTTTGGGGTACGGATGCCTCAGGCAGCACCACCAAAAATAATTTAATGAATTTCCAAACTTCAACTTACGCAACGTGCACATTCAATACCACACACCATGTCGCGCCCTGAAGATATCCTGTATGAAATACTCCAGTGACCCTGAAAAACAACAAAAAAAGGAACTAATCTCATATCTCGAAAACTCCAGCCCTCCGGACCTGTTCTACAACGACAATGAATCGCGAAAGTATACAAAGTCCTCGCGAATCCGCAACATCCAAGCCAACATGACCAGTCGCGCACTGGAACTCCTCGACCTAAAATCCCCATCCTTCATCCTCGATCTCGGCTGCGGCTCCGGTCTCTCCGGCGAAATGCTCTCCGAAGTGACTCCCGAAGAAGGCGGCCCGCACACCTGGATCGGCATGGATATTTCACCCAGCATGCTGGACGTGGCTTTACAACGCGAAGTGGAAGGCGATCTATTCCTCGCAGATATCGGACAGGGCGTCCCCTTCCGACCGGGCACATTCGACGCCGCAATCAGCATCAGTGCAATCCAGTGGCTGTGCAATGCGGAAACTAGCGATGTCACTGCTGAAGGTCGGCTGCGACGCTTTTTCGAAGGTCTGTATGCCAGTCTTCGTCGTGGTGGTCGTGCGGTGTGTCAGTTCTACCCGAAAAATGATGTCCAGCGGAGTATGATCAGTGGTGCTGCTATCAAAGCGGGCTTTGGTGCCGGTATCCTTGAAGATGACCCTGGGACTAAGAGCAGCAAGTTGTATCTGGTTCTGACTGTCGGTGGTGGCGGTCTTACTGGTGATATTACTGGTGTTGTGAATGGCATGGATGATGTCAGTGTCTTGGATGCTCGGAGGAAGGCTGCGGAGATCAATAATGCTCGTGGGCCCCCAAGGAAGGGTGATAAGGCTTGGATTTTGCACAAGAAGGAGCAGATGGCGAAGAAGGGCAAGGTCGTCAAGGCTAGTTCGAAATACACTGGCCGCAAACGACGGATCGCTTTCTGATTGATCTGCTTTTTGTCTTTGGTGGATTCGATCGAGAAGAGAAACAAAAAAAGGAGAAAAGCCTGGATGGGAAGAGTGTTCAAGTCTTTTTCCCTCATGTATACACCTTGCACATTCTGTCTGTGTATGTGCATTCCCTTGGGCGTTATCCACGCGCCTGGATCGGAATTTGGTCACATAGTTTTGTCGAGGGATGCTCATGGGGTCAGCTACATGTTCGACTCGGATCAAGTTAGTCGATGAGATGCCTGCTAGACCTCGCAACGGGTCGGAGGATTGGGAGGTTGAGCTCTTTACCATCTGGGCACCGTGATATGAAGTTGGCCGTTGAAGACACATGGCCTTGATGTTTATACCCAACTACTAATGCAATGAATGTCCACGTTATGATCACAAAGGAAAATTTGTCTATTGCTATAACTTGCGGGGAACGTTTCGAGCTAAATTGAAAAGATAATACATCAAATGAGAACCACGCCGACCAATTCAGGTGCAAAACACCAAGAACCAGCAGACATCCTCAATCGTAGCGGTAGGTATATTGGAGCGCGCGGGATTCCAAAATTTACAGAGACGCCTCCATCTTGTCCAAAACAGCCCGGGTGAACTCGTGAGTGGTAGCCTGACCACCCATATCGCGGGTCATAGTGCGGCTAAAAGAAGTTAGTATGGTCATTTTTCACAACGGTATTAGTGTCCACTCACCCTTCACCGATAACATCGTAGACAGCCTTGGAAATGCGGTTGGCGTGGTCATCGAGACCAAGGTGGCGCAGAAGCATGGAACCAGACAGGATCATAGCACTGGGGTTGGCTTGGTCCTTGCCCTTGATGTCAAGACCGACGTGACGGCAACCAGGCTCGAAGACAGCAACGTCACGGCCCATGTTGCAACCGGGGACAAGACCAGGTCCACCAACGAGGGCAGCACCCACGTTGGACAGAATGCCACCGTAAAGGTTAGGCATGACCATAACGTCAAACTGCTGGGGGCGGGAGACGGCCTGCATGGAAGCGTTGTCCACAATCATGTCGTTCACCTCCAGGGCGGGGTAGTCCTCAGCGACCTTGTGGAATGTGCTGCGGAAGAGACCATCGGCCAACTTCATGATGTTGGCCTTGTGAATGCAGGTAACCTTCTTGCGGTTGTTGGCAAGGGCGAAGCTGAAAGCGAACTTGGCGATACGCTCGGACTTGGCGCGAGTGATGATCTTCAGGGACTCGACAACACCGTTGACGGACTGGTGCTCGAGGCCGGAGTACTCTCCCCTCGGTGTTCTCACGGATGATGCAGAGGTCGACATTCTTGTGGCGAGTCTCGTAACCGGGGATGTTCTTGATCAGAGAGATGGAGGCGTAGATGTCCAGCTCCTGACGCAGGGCAACGTTGAAGGATTGGTGGCCCGAGCGCTCAATAGGAGTGTGGAGGATACCCTTCAGACCGAGCTTGTTGCGCTTCAGGGAAGCCAGGGACTCGCGGAAAAGCTCCTCGGAGTGCTTGTTACCGGCGTCAACACCGCTAACATCGACCTGCTCCCACTCAATGGGAACGTTGTCGGCCTTGAAGATGGTCTTGACCGATTCGGCGACCTCAGCACCGATACCGTCACCTTGTCGAGTGTTAGTCCAGAGCATGCGCCACGCGAGCAGAAAAGGCGCAGAATATGAGAGGCATACCAGGGATGAGGGTCACGGTGTACTTGCCACCATACTTGGTGGGCTTGAAGATGTCCGACTGAACACTGGCGAAGGCTACGCAAATTCGTTAGCGGGGGTGTTGGATGCGAGGCAGGAGATATCAATGGGCGTACTTCTGGCGGGAATAGAGCGACCGAGAGACGAAGCTGCGGAAGCACTGCGGAGCAGAGTCTATAGAGAGCAATGACAGGTTAGCGAAAGCCCCCAACTTGCATTGGAAAGGATTGAAGTCACGGGAGACGCGGAAACACGGAAAAAGCAAAAAAATTGAAAGACTTACCCGGGCAGGCTGTGCCGTTCTGGAGAACATTTTGGAATTGGATTAAACAAAGGGGAAGAATCACGAATCACCAAAAGGGAGAGGGGGGTTGGGAGAAAGGGAATGAAAACGGGAAAAAAAGGCTCCGGATGGGCTCGGCGAGCGAGTTCTGGTTAGCGCCGGCCCGATCTTATCTGAGGTGGACTGGACTTGACTTCAACTTCCAAACAATGAAACAATGAAACTTACATTCTTATTCATTTTACCCCCTCGGAACTAAATTTCTTTTGTCAATTCTTATTCATATCCTCTTCGGGTCCTCGAATATGTCATACCCCGGAGATCATGGTCAAAACCAAAGAAAGATATCTACCATCTTGACTAATATACTCTAGCTCAATTGACTTGGTTTATTAGCAGACTTGTCTGTCAAAGCATTCGATATGATGGCTTGCCCTAGACCCTCTCTATACGAGACCTGAGGTTCTTATTGGAGTGCCACACTGACATCGGTCAATAAGATCCCTATTGAGAGCTGCCGATCTCGAGTAGTACCTCTATTCAGGCTGATGTCGACAAAGGACACTATTCAGAACCCTATACAGAACCACATGCCTCTATTCAGAGCAACCAGTTCTTCGAACTCATGCCCAACATGCTCTTCTCAATAGCGAGACTATTGAACAAACGATGAGCGATGATACCTGATCTTCACGAATATATAAACCTCATTGCAGTTCGTCGTCTCCCTTATCTTTTCTCCAGACATCTCCATCATCGAGCTTTCTCAGTATCTGTCCTTCAATCTTCAAACCAACTTGCCATTTTCAAACCCCCGGTTTCTCCTCCAATCATCAAGATGAAGTTCACCTCCGTCGTCGTCGCCGTTATCGCCGCTGGCACCGTCCAGGCCGCGGCTCTTGCTCCCAGCGAGACCCTCCCCAAGTGGTGTGGCCACATCGGCCAGGGCTGCAAGCGAACCACCGATGCCTCCCTCGACGTCAAGCGCTCTGCTGATGCTCTCGCCGAGGCCATGGCCGGAGGCTTGCCCTTGTCCTTCAGAAGTGGTGTGGCCACATCGGTCAGGGTTGCTACAAGGCTAAGCGTGCCGCCGATGCCGTCGATGAGGTCAAGCGTACCAGCGATGCTCTCGCTCGTGCCTTCGCTGCTCTCGAGGAAGAGGATGACGAGTAAAGGTATGCTACAGTTTCATCTATACTATGCATGGAATCAATTGACTGACTTTTCCCAGTGTCTCCTTCACTTTGAGTGCCGTGGTGTTGCGTGTATCGATAGAGATTGCTTGATAGCTCTCTTTTCAATTACCGGTATGCACGACACCATCGGCTACCTTTTTCGATATGAAGCTTATGGAAGCACGGTTGGATATGATGGATTGCTTTACGAGAATGCCAATGGCTAACACTCTTTTGTCTTCACCGTTCATCATGGCATTGGTTTTTGATTAAATTAGCATTGAATTGTGGGGGTTGATGGATCATTCCCAGAGAAATACGTATCTAGAATCAAAGAATTCCATCCCCTTTTGACACAACCTTTCCATTCATAATCCCAAAAGATAAGGTGTCTCGGTCAGCCTAGGTAGCGGCTAAATTCGGCTTTCATTTGGGGTATTTCTTTAGATATTCCTTACGCTGAGGTGGGAATCTTTAGAATATAGTTGGATGTAATCTTTATACTAGTCGGGGCATATAGAGGCACAGGAAAGGCAAGAACAAGAATAATAGAAATATATACAATGAATTCGTCCCAATAGACATAATATGACACTACCAGTGGTATACACCACAGCTAGGGTAATATCGTCTCATCTCTTCAAATGCGCCATAGTTTGATTCCATCGGACCAGCTTTTGTCAGCTCCCACCATTGCGGACCTTGGTATACCGGGTCCTTTGAGCCAACGTAGGTTTCACCAGTGGTGGGCTCTTTCGGGATATGAGCGGCTCGATCAGCGACGTTCTCGTAGCCAGATACCATGTACGGTTCAGCATCAACATAGGTATTTCCATCTCCACTGTCGTCCATGGCAGAATCCTGCATAGCAAAGTCCCCAGCAGGGGTACTGGCTTCATTTCCAAGTCGCGAGTAGAGCTGCCATGTTTGGATCAACCGTTCTTTCTGCTCTGCATCGGCGTTCTCAAAGAGCGCAAGCTGCTCCGAAGTAAGGGCACTTGGATCAAGACCGTGATGTCTCAGAAGATCAATGCTTGAAGGTTGGTTTGTTTGCTGGGCAACTCTGTGGGCCGAGTGATGGTAGTGTTGGGTAATGCTGTATGCGATCTCTGGTACTTGAGATGGTACGGTGGTTTCTCTAGGGGCGGGATGCAGCTGCGTCATACTCATTTGCCTATCAAACAGAGCGGAAAGTTCGTCTTGTACTTTCGAGTCGCTTTCGGATGCAGACATGCCGCACTATATATATAGGCTCCTGGTCAGGTTCCTTGGAACAACATGATAAGAACGAGCACAATCTACCTGTTTACAGTGAGGGTTCTCGATGAAAGCTGCAAGTGCATTTGAGATATCGAGACGTGCCCGCAGTGCGGGCACTGATGTAGTATCGAGGAAGACATGGAGGGGTCGATTTCTGTATAGATCAACAAGATCAACAATATCCGAATGAAAGGAGAATGTCGAAACTCGATTCAAATGTTTGTTCCCTGTAAAACTGGATAGGAGAAAGAATTTATAAAGTTGTGTCATTTGTTTAGATCGAGGGGCAAAGATGCCCAAGTTCTTGTTCGGTTGGGCTGCGGTCCCGTGGCCACTAGGAGATGTTTAAATGTTATACTGCGTATTATGCCTATAGTATACCCATTAATGAGCCCATAATATGCTATAGTGTGTTTATGGTGTCCATAATGTACCCAATACTACAAGATACGAAAGGGGTACCTCGTAAGTGGGTAGAGAAGAGATACAAACCAAAGTACCGATTAGGTATCTCGCGGTCATGTGATTGGAAGCTCTGCCAGGCAACCCCGTGACGCGACAGCGTCACTGCTTAGCCTAGGAACCTCCGTTATCATCCCCAGAGCTTCCAACCTCACCCTACCTATCCACATTCCCCCTCCAAACCGGCCATTCTCTTCCCTTATCTGTCCAATACACAGATTAACTCTTTCGATCGGCCCACGGTGACGTCTGTTGTTCTTGAACCTCACCGCATCGCATCCTCACCAAGATCATGGTCAGTCAGCTTCGGATCTACACAATGTGTTATGTTGTATTCCAATCAAGCTAACTGGATGATTATTTAGACGTCAATCGGCACAGGCTACGATCTCTCCAACTCGGTGTTCTCGCCAGACGGCCGGAATTTCCAGGTACCCAAACACAACCCAGCTCATGAATGAGCCACATCCAGCTTCACGCTGCTGACTATACCATCTAGGTCGAGTATGCTGTCAAGGCAGTTGAGAACGGAGGCACCGCCGTCGGCATCAGATGCAAGGATGGTGTAGTGTTGGCAGTGGAGAAGATCATCACGAGCAAGCTCCTAAAGCCAGGCGCGAACAAGAGAATCGCGACAGTCGATCGCCATGTCGGAATTGTGAGACCCCGTTTCCCCTTTGCCCTGCCCTATCACCTCCCAACGCAATGCGTTTTCATCGAAACCATGCTGTCGTGGAAGGCTTCGAAATACCCCGTTGCTAATCTGGCTTCTTTCTATGCAGGTATCCGCTGGACTCGTCCCCGACGGTCGTCACTTCGTTTCCAGAGCTAGAGATGAGGCTTCCTCCTGGAGGAGCACATACAAAGGTCCCATTCCGACTTCTGCAATCGCCAATCGCTTGGGTGGGTATGTGCAGGCGTACACTCTCTACTCCAGCGTACGGCCCTTCGGTGTAACTGCTATTGTTGGTGGGTGGGATATCGAGACGGAGCTTCCAGTTGATGGACAGGTTGGCAATGGACCCAAGTCCGGCTCCGGTGGAAAGGTTGAGGGTGCCAAGGCTGGAGGTCCTGGCCTATACATGATTGAGCCTAGTGGATTGTATTGGGTACGTTGTGGCTTGTTTGTGTGTATGAGAGTGGATAGATATGCTGACAAGAATTGGTAGGGCTACTACGGTGCTGCTACTGGCAAGGGACGACAGGCCGCCAAGGCTGAACTTGAGAAACTAGACCTCAGCTCGGGAAATCTGTCTTTGGCAGATGGTGTGAAGGAAGCTGCTCGCATTATCTATGTTGCTCATGAGGACAGCAAGGACAAGGACTTCGAGCTCGAGATGACGTGGATCAGCTCGGTCGATGGACCTACCAAGGGCCGCCACGAGGAAGTGCCCAAGGAAATCCTTGAGGAAGCAGAGAAAGCAGCAAAGCGAGCTCTGGAAGGAGATGATGAAGAAGAGGAGGATAAGGGTGAAGGCGAACAGATGGAAGAGTGAACATGTAATAGATTATGCTCCCAAAGAATTATGGTTCTGTGAAGAGGTGTTTCCTTTCTTACTCCAACGAAAAACAATCTACCAAGGACCAAGTTGTTCAAGTACCAAAAAGCCACACCAAACATGTTAGAGGGTTCCATCGTAGCCCTCAAAAGATACAATAGATATGTGTCGAGCTATCGCAAGAATTACAAAATCTTGCCCTCAGCCCAATCTCTCCTCTTGAGACCCAGCTCCACAGCAGCACTTCCCCAGTCCTCACCGTGGTTGTGCATCCCACTATTTCCAAGACCAGCCCGTTCCAATCCCTGTTCTTCCGTGAGGACAGTGAGCAACCCAAAGATGACCGGAACGCCCGAATCAAGCTGGACACGCATGAGTCCGTGGCTGACCGCGTCAGCGATATATTCAAAGTGCATAGTAGCGCCCTTGATGAGGACGCCAATGGCAATGATAGCGTCGAAGGGTTTCTTCGGGCTTGCGGCGTTGGCAGAGCCGGTCACTTCGGCGGTGGGCGAGGACAGGAGGTCTGTGGCACTGATGCCTTGGACGGAGGAGTTGGCCTGGAGCTGGGAGGCGGCGTAGAGGCTGCGAGGTGGTGTTAGTTAAAGCTATGGATATAGATACAGTACACAGTATACAGTACATATGCGTACGGTATGTAGTATATAGTATGTGGTATGGCATGTGTGATATCATCCCGCACTCACCGTTGCACTGCGAGAGGCAGCTCGTAGCTGCCGGGAACTGTCTGGACTGTGATGTTCTCCTCCAGCACGCCGGCTGCCAGGAGGTTCTTCTTCGCTCCTGCTACCAGTTGGTCGATAATCACTGTGTTCCATCTGGCGTGCACGATCGCCACGCGGAGTCCGGAGCCTGTTGTTGAATCAGTATTAGCGGGGGTGTCTCTCCAAGGGCTGTTGTTTGCTTTTACCATCGTGGGTCTGGGCAGCGCCGGGGCCTTTGATAGTAGTCATTTTGTTAACAGGGGTTGATTGGTCCGAGAAAAGAAAGATGATGTCGTTTCCTTGGGTATTGGGAGAATTGAACTTGACACAAGTGTTTATGAATCAGAAGAGCTCGAGGGGTGAAATCCCTCGGTCCCGCATTTGGTGGGGGGCGGAATGTCATCACCCACGGCAATTGAGCGCCAATGGGATGGAGCGGTCGATTTGGTTCGGCTTAGACGACATATAAGGACACAGACTCTTTACGGTAGATAATACTACGTTGTAGTAGGTAAGGGGCTCATAAAAGGGTATTTTTCTTAAAAAAATAAAATAACATGAGATTCCATTGTCCCGAAGCTGAAAACACCTAAAGATAAAAAGATGACTGGATCATAAGAATCATCTAACCTTGCCCTAAAGAAAAATTTACTCGACAGTGACCGACTTGGCCAGGTTACGAGGGAAATCGACATTCAGTCCCTCGGCAACGGCAAGCCAGTAAGAGATCAGCTGCAATGGGATCACATTGAGCAGACCCTGGAGACAATCCACAGTCTTGGGCACGTTGATCTTCTCGGTCAGGGCGGAGGAGAACTCGGGGTCATCGTGGTTGCAGATGACAATGGGGCGACCACCACGAGCAATGACTTGCTGGTAGGCGTTCAAGGACTTGGTGAACAGGTTGTCACGGGTGAGAATCATAATAATGGGAAGGTTCTCGTCAACAAGAGCCAACACACCGTGCTTCAGTTCGCCGGACATGACGGCTTCGCAGTGGAGGTATGAGATTTCCTTGATCTTCAGGGCACCCTCAAGGGCAGTGGGGAATTGAGCACCACGGCCCAACAGCAGCAAGCTCTTCTGGTCCTTGAAGAACTTGGCACATAGCTCCTTGATCGGATCGTTCAGCTTCAAGATCTGCTTGAACTGCTCGGAGATCTGTCCAAGACCCTCCATGATCTCCTCACGTCTCTCCTGCTTGGAGGCACGATCCTCACTCAGCGACAAAGCGAACATGACCATAGCCACAAACTGAGAAGTGTATGCCTTGGTCGAGGCCACACCGATCTCGGGACCAGCGTTAATGTGCACACCACAGTGGGTGAGTAGAGAGATGGAGGATCCAACAACGTTGACACAGCCAACGGTCAGGGCGCCACGTTCCAGACAGTAGCGAAGAGCCATCAGGGAGTCAGCGGTCTCTCCAGACTGAGAGACAAACACGCAGGTGTCATCACGGAACACTGGGGCCTGTCGGTCAAGGAAGTCGGAGGCGAGCTCGACTGCGATAGGAATCTCAGTGAGCTCTTCGAAGATACCACGCACAGCCATGCATGAGTGGTAGCTGGTACCACAGGCAATGAAAATGATTCGGCGGCAGCGACGGATAGTCGAGATGTACTGACGGAGACCACCGAGGGTAACCTTCTTGTTGGCCACATCCAGACGACCTCTCATGGTGTTGACAACAGACTCGGGCTGCTCGAAGATTTCCTTCTGCATGAAGTGGTCGAACTTGCCCTTCATGATCTCCTGCAACTCAAGTTCAATAGTCTGGATGGCACGGACGTTGGAGGTGCCATCATCCTTGGTCAGACGGTGGATGTTGAGCTGTCCCTCGTGGATGTGGGCGATATCGTCATCCTCCAGGTAGAGCACCTTCTTGGTGTGCTCGATAATGGCAGATGGGTCAGAAGACAGGAAGAACTCGACGGGCTGGGGGATGCCATCGTCGGACAGGAATGCGCGAGACTGGGAGCGGTGCAGCAGCGACTTGTCGGGAGGGGCAAGGAGGCTGGTGGCAGACTTCTTGGCTGCAGCATTCTGGGAGGCCTGCTCCGCGGAAAGGACACCATCTTCGGAATATTCAACATCCACGAAATCCACCTTCATCTTCTTGGAGGTCTTCACACCGATAACCAGGGGGGAACCCTTACGGGCCGCAATAACCTCATGGGGGTAGTGGACCGACTTGAGGAGCAAACCAAAGGCACCCTCAAGCTCTTTGATGACGGCCTTGGCGAGGACTGTGAATTCGATATCGGGGTGTTGGTCGTAGAGGTACTTGGCGAGCTTGGCGATGCACTCGGTATCGGTCTCGGTCTCGAAGCGGAAGCCCTTGCTCTCCAGCAGAGCCTTCAATTCCTTATAGTTGGTGATGATACCATTGTGAACGACGGAGAACTCCCAGTTGGCATCGGAACTATCACAAATCTAATTAGCTTCTCAATCTCTCCCAATGATCCGGATGTTTCTTTGTATGGACTTACCGGTGGGGGTGGCAGTTTTGGCGGGAGGGGGTACCGTGGGTAGCCCAACGGGTGTGAGAGATACCAGCATGAGACTCAAAGGTCTTGGTCATGTCATATGAGCTCTGGTCAATGAGTTCCTTCAACTTGGCCACCTTGCCAACTTCCTTGAATGCGCAGACTTCATTTTTCTTGTTGCCATCCACGGCCATACCAGCCGAGTCGTAGCCACGGTACTCCAATCTGGAGAGGCCTGGAAAGAACGGTGAGCCAAAGGTTAAAATCACTGGGAAACTTTCAGTCACTCACCATTAAGCAGTGTGTCAATGATGAACCGGCGGTCCTTCTCCACGAGGTAGTTGATGTAACCGAAGATTCCACTGAGCAGACTGTGAGTATTCATCATTGAGGAAGGTAGAGTAGAGCTTACCACATGATGGGCAAAAACGAGAGTTGAATGCAAAGACGGGTATTGAGAGAATAAAGATTGTAAAGGGATGTAAAGAGGATTAAACGAAGGCAGAGAGAGAGAGAGAGAGGAATAGAAAGAAGCAGGAACCTTGGAAAGGTACTGTTTCGTATTTATAGAGGGGGAAAGCAAGAAAGCAAGAAGGGGGAGGGGCGAATTATTATTAGCTCCTTCACTTTGAGCTGTTCACCCAATGAGGGGGATGCTCGGACCAATTTTTGGTTGTTAGGGGAATCGAATGTCTCACTTGGCACTTCTATTATTCCTACGGAGACATATGATCATTCTTATTCTTCTTTTAAGTTCTTAAAATAATAGAAAAATAATCAAATAAATTTTAAAAAATGTTATGAATAGTATCTACATGTCAATAATAACAAATAAATAGTACATTGGATTTTTCTCCTTTTCTTGGCAATTTCAGTACTTGCCCAGGTACAGGCCTATATTAGTCTGATATTAGTCTGATCTTCGCCAGGTTTCTATCTTGGCCAAATATGTATTGACGCTAAATCGGAGCTACCAGGCGAAACAAAAAAAGTGGCGCAGCTATTAAGATCCAGGGGGAAAAAACATACGGAGATTTCTATAATTATATTTTTAGTGGCCCGGCACATTCCTTAGTGGGAGGATCCCCTGAAAAAAAAAGGAACCTTGGAAAGGTTCGATAGACGTTCCACGCCTCTGCAGTTACTATTTTAGCCATTTAACTATTTTAGCCACCTAGCTACCAACATAGTTTATGCGAAATACCCCTGGACTCGGTATTGCCGACTGCATATACTATTGGTCCTCAATTAATTGCCAGACCCAAATATATCGTCTCGGGTCATTCATACCAAAGTACCGAGTACGAAGGCTGAGATGGACTACCCACTACGCCACCTTATTATACGCCTTACTATAGGTCGATGAGACATATGGTTAATATTTCTGCACATTGTACATCAGCCTCATGCCACCCCATGATAAGAGAAGGAAAAAGAGGCAGGGCAAGTGCTGCGCTATAACAGCAACTTCGAATAATACATTTCTCGGGGCCATAATAGTGCCTATCACTTATCTGAATGGCACATATATTCCACATACAACGGTTTTCAGACACCAGATGCCCAGGTGGCTTTTCAGCGCTGGCTGCCCTTGTGTATTACGTAAGCATCGCCCATGGGCTGATTACAACATACAGTGGAGAGATACAATATTTTGCTCAATATTTCGGAGGTCCCACAGGTGGACTGCCATATGTAGGTAATTATATAGGTTGAATGACTCGCGGCTCCTGACCTCAGGAATACTTGCCTAACTCTCATATGAAAGGACTTAGGGGATATCGGCTTGTCAGCAGCTCTTCAAGTACATAGTAACCTCGCTCTGTCAACTAGCTACTCCTAGGCACAGTCAGTAGAAGACGGCATGTATAGGAGAATCCAGTTGTTCCATTTATGTTGTATGGAATTGATCTGGCAAAGACCAGAGGGAAGAGAAGAAGGTTGAATTCTCTGTCTGTGAGAAACTGGCTAATGAACTCGCTAACAAACATGTGAAGCCTGACAAACCAGGCCTGCCTGTCATAACAGGAATGTACGAAGTTCGTTACATCATATCTCCCTGAAATACTTGATTATTGATTTGATAGATGCACTTCCATTATGTTAAAAATCTCGTCCTTGTATCATACGCATTGTGGGGAGGAGACCTTGAGTAGCAAGGAGGGATCTTGACGCGATTAAGACTAATTGGTAACCTAATAATCTAACTAAGCCGAACAATATGGCGGAATCAATCCTTATAGACACGTGAGTTAGTGTGTTTCTGATATTACAACATAGAGGTATGCGGGTCTTTGAGAGGCGGTGCATGGTTCAAATATTTAGAACCGCCCCGTCCTGACGCCTACATAAGATCCCGAATACGAGCAGCTTTCCTTTATAGAAGGGTGTGTTACTGCTTAGAAGGCGGAGGAAGAGAAGAAAAAGAGATTCAGAAAGTAGAGTGTGATTTTGATCTAATTAGTGACACTAAGGTCCTTCGGCCACTATATATATATCTCAGTCTGCCGAATCGGCCAGTCAACGCAGGCTCAGTAAAGACGAACGGCAGAAGCCGCCACAGAAGACTCGGGGTCTCCAGTTGAATTGAACGAAGAGGATAAAGTACATAAAAGACGCCAAATGCGATATCTCCAAGTTGGATTTGCAATGGAAACTATCCCGCTGAAGAGGCCGCGGCTAGTATTGATGGTGATAGATGGCTGCGTGAGCAGTTTACACGCAGCTCCGTCGCATACCCCAAATCAGTTTGATATTGGGTTTGTGATGCTACTCCGCCAACTAATCGCTCTCTCAAACCCATTTTTCCCATTACGGAAATCAGAAATGGCTTGGTATACTTCCTCCTCGCTAGTACAAACAAAAGGTCCATGATGCACAATGCGCTGCTTCAGAGGCTCCCCGGATAGAAGCAGGAAGCGAGAAACTTCTCCATCTTCCGGAACCGAAGCTTCAATATGCGTTCCCTGCGAATCGAAGATGACATTGTGATAACGCTTGGCTTCTTTTCTAGCCGCCGCAGAGTGAAAGGTTGTGGTACCTTCCAGGACATAGGCAAAAGTGTTCCAACCAATGGGCACAATCTGCTTGACTCGGCCTCCCGGCCGAATGGTGATATCCAGATACCAAATAGGCGTGTAGGTCAGGTCCTGTTTAGACTCTTTTCCATGAGACTGTCCTGAAATCACGGCGACTGTCACCCGGCCCTGATCGACTTCCACTTTGGGAACTTGAGCCACATTCATGTACCGGTATCGCGGCTCCACGTATTTCAGGGCTTCCGGTAGGTCGACCCAGACCTGTATTCCCACTGCAGGGCGGCCGTCCGGACTCCCCCGGGGCATCTCCGCATGCATGATTCCCCGACCAGCGGTCATAAATTGCAAGTCACCGGCAGTGAGGGTGCCTCGACGTCCTGTAAAATCTTCATGGTCGATGCTTCCACTGAGACAATAGCTGATCGTCTCCTGACCGCGGTGAGGGTGTTCTGGAAATCCTGCTTCGGAGCCCACAGTGGCATGGTCGAATACGATAAATGGGGTGAAATTGCGTAGTTTGGGGCTTCCAATGGTTCGACGGACGGTCGCTCCGTCTCCTTCCATTACTTCCACTGCCTGGAATAGTTTTTCAATCTTGCGCGGAATATTCATATTGTGTTGCGGTGACATAGGTCGCTTTAGAAGTGAAATCGGTGTAGTGTAAGAGTAGGCATGTAGGGATCTACGAATGTTTATATGAATATCAAAGGTCCATTATTGGAGCCACCAGCCTATTTAGGTACCTAGGTATGCTTTGGAATCATTTTGAGATAATTGGTAATCAGTTAGTCTAACTAGTTAACCCGTCCACGGGTGGACTGACAGCCCTGCCCAGGGTTAATTGCAGGGTCCCGGGCCTATCAGGACCCGCGAATTAAGGTTAACCTTCCAAGGTTCCAACTAAGGTTGACTTACCTAAGCGGAGGTTCCGGCCCCGGGGCCCCGGCCCCCCGAGGCCGTCGGTTGGGCTCCGAGATCCGTTCACTGTATATTGTAGTTACCAGTCGACTATTGACGATTTGGCGCAGTTTTACAGAGTATTATTCAGCGATTAGCTGATGATGTGAATGGGGCAATTTCTATATGGCCAAACATATCGGGAAAACGTGAAATGCCAAGCTTAGAACGGTAGAGTGAAAAATCATCCAGCTTAGAAATGAGAATCATCTTACTTCATTAAATCACACCGTACAGGTCGGAGTAATACGCTGCTACCATGGTTTGCTGCGGGACAATTACTAAATGACGGGATTATATGGAGGATACTAGGAGCGGACCAACTCCTGCAGACGGGCCGTTTTCTTCGAAATCTAAGAATCGGCCGCTGTTGTTGAGTTTAATAAAAGCTCCCATAGATACGATATCTGCCTCAACTATTGGAAACTTCAGATTGAACTCTTAGGTTACCGTGGCTGACGAGCGTAAGAGAATCGAGGGTGCAGTGGCTCGACCAATCCTCCATCCTGGCTTCAAAACACTGTGAGCCTCGCGTCCACCGTTCGATGCAAATACCAGTGCCTTCCATTACACACAGACCCTTAACCCAGACTAGACTGGGGCTTCGGTACAGGAGCCAAGTATGCCCATGCACAAGCCTCTGCTAATGCTTCCTCCGCGGTCCACGTCGCCATCGACTTTTTCTCGAGCCGTCATATACTCGACAATTACAAGCTCCTGGTCAGCACCATTACCCCACGCATAGCCTTCGTACCCACCAGACCCTCGGGTGGTAGCAGTGAGAATTGACCCTGGCAAAAATACTCTCGAGAACTGGCGTCCGTCTCGTGAACGTTTTATCAATATATGTAGTGAGGGTTTGATCGAAGCTGCGAAAGTGTGAAAGCCCCATGTAAAACCTATGTTGTAGAATATATATATGTACCAATATTGACTAGCGTGATAAATATACTTATCCCTCCAGTGCTGCATAATTAGCATCCATCTTACGCGATGATGACAAACTCGTCGATCATCACCATGTGACCCTCTTCATGCTTAAGTGCCCAGGTGAGTAGCTCCTTTAAAGAGCGCCAACACTTCTGGACATAATTAAAACAGGCTGCCATATATTCCCCCAGAGCTTCAGTACATATATCAATTCCTAAACATATGACCCAATGGAGCCAATTCCAAAATTGGCCAGTTCCCTCAGACCTCGCGCCTGCGAGAATTGTCGACGGTACAGTCTTCTACAATCATCGCATTTGCTATGCGTGACTAACTTAAAAACTAGGAAAAAGAAGCGATGTAAGTCCTTGGCATATCCCAATACTTGCAGTCGCCTATCATACGAATCCTTCTCCTTCAGGTGACGGTGGGAAGCCACAATGTATCCTCTGCATGCATACCAACAAAGCCTGCACATATCCCCGCTCCTTATTAAAGCCTGGCCCTAAACCGGGCAAGATCGTGGCAAAGCGTCAGAACAACTTGTTGAACAGCAGAAGTAGCACGCATCCTCCCTTATGTATCCGCTGGATCTAACCTAACAATCTCTAGGACGGAGGAATTCCATTGCCTATACGACGAATGCTATCTCAGGGAGAGACCTGCAATCTAGTAGTTCTCCCTTGTCCGAGCCTTCTTCTAGTTCGCCGACGTTGCAAACAGACGATGTAGAAAATCGTCCATGTGACATGGGAGAGACGGCAGGAACGCGTTTGCTGGATCGACCAACCGACGCTGAACCACCGTCCGATAAAGCTTCCATCCTGACCTCCCTCGTCCCTTCTAAGCACTTACTGTCTCATCTGATTGAAATATTCTTCGACCTCGTTCACCCCCAAATGCGAGTCCTTCACAAACCCTCCTTTCTTTTGTGGATAGAAAGTGGCAATTCCAAGTCGGACCCCGACTCCATCCTCCTCATCCTCACCATCTCCGCGCTGGCCGCTAGATTCTCTGATAAACCCAAGGTAGATCTCTTCGACCGTATGCTTCTACACAGGTCATCATCGACCCAAAACAATCAAATTGACTCACGCTTCAAGTGCGGCAAACGCTGCCAGCGAGGAAAAGGGTTCCTGACCCAAGCCAACCGGCTTTTCCATCGCGAAGCCTTGCGACTGGAAAACCTAGAGCTCGATATAGGAACCCCTCAGAAACCAACAATCCGATTTATCCAAGCGACTGCCTTGTTGAGCTTCGCTGAGATCGCAGAGACACTCAGTAGCCGCGCGTATTCCCTCGTCTCGGCAGCCGTCCGATTGGCCTACGACTATGGCTTGGATAAGATTGATTGTGACCACATGCAGCCGAGTCTTGAGCCGAGCGATCATCGGACCGAATGTGTCAAGAAGGAAGAGCTTCGTCGCGTCTGGTGGGCCATCTCCGACATGGAGAATTTCATTTGTGTAACCAAATGCCGACCTCGTCTGATCGATTGGAGTCGATGCAAGACAAGGCTTCCTTGCGATGATGCGGACTGGTTTGAGGATCATGAGGTGGCTTCGTCTTTCTTGCCTGTGACTGTCTACGACTTGCGCACGTCGCTAGACCTTCCAGCGCACATTTCGGTCATGGGGCAACGGATCTTGGTTATGCATCTGTTCGCCAACTTAGCATATCTTGCGGCTAGCGGCGATCATTTAGATGGCTGGCATGATTCTATCTCGGCAATTGAAGAATGCATCGCAACCTGGAAACCAATTATCGCCCAAAGGGTCGAATCAGGACAGACTGTTGAACCTGGGGAGGGTACCTCAAATGACGCTCTCATTGCCTATTTGGTCCTTCAGACGTGAGTTTCCGCTGTTTCTTTCTTTTCCAATTTCCGTTTAATTGAGTACTGACCAGAGATCTCCGTATATACGTATCAGTGCCGAAATCGTCATTTGCAATCTCAGAATGTTCAAAAACGCGACCCCTGACAACCTTTTCACTTACTATCAGGATCTCTTCAACGAACGCTCGACTATGGGGATACCATTCACTAACCATCTGAGGCACAAGACACCCAAATCTCAAGCATTCTCAAAAGCACTTTACGTATCGGACGTTATTTGCTCAACTATCCGTGACCAAACTACGGACTCCATGGCGCCGTTCTTTTTTATCGCTCCTCTTCTTTGGGCACCGGCATGTCTCCAGTTGTTGGTCAAATCTTCCACGGCCGCTTGGCCGGAACTGATGGAAAAAGCGTCGCTTTCCTTGAGGATCCTGACTATGAGGATGGAGCAGTGTGCTGAGTTTTGGGGGTTGGGACTCTTCTATCTGGGTACGCGCAGCAAACTCACAAAATCCATAAATTCAAGCCAAACTGATTTATCACTCTTTGCCACAGCTTCGTTCTCGCAATTCGAGAAGAAGTTGACCAGAGATCCGCAAGGCGAAGGCTCTCCTATCTCGAGGCATCAATACTTCCCTGACTTTCTTAATGCTTCGTTCCTACGTGAGCTGTCATCGATCTCTTATTCGGATGACGCCTTAACTGGCCTCTGCCGAGATGGAGACGTTGGAATAGAACAACATGAATGTTCGACTAATTTGCAGGACATTCTGATGCAGCCGAATGCTACGCCGATAATCTCTGACGGGCTGTTAGGATATATGGACAATTCAAACTGGATGGAGATAAACTGGGAGGAGATGAGCAGTTGGGTAGCAACAGAATCGGAACTTGCTGGTCTGTAGTCTGTCTTGTCTGCCTGTGTGCCTCTATCGTTGTAGTCATTACGTGGTAACTATATAGGATTGCTAGATACTTCAGCCAAGTCATCCATGTCCAGCCATAGAAGCAAATAGGGCTACCTACCTGCCTCGTATGCCTCGAGATATGTAGGTCGATTTTATGTACAGCGAAGTCAATAATGCTACCAGAGATCCGTTCAGTCTACTTCTCCTTCAAACGCCACCCCACTCTTCAAAATATCCCCACTACCCGACTGTTCAAGCGCCCACCGCGCCAAATACCAAGGTATATTCATCTCCACAAGGAGTATGCTAAGTTGGCACAGGCCTAGCTCTAGTCAGAACCATGTGCATGGAAGGTGTCTGTCACGGCCTCTCCCTAAGAACGACTAACTAGACTTGACAGGAACAATAGGAATAGTAACAGAGCTTGCGTATGTTCCACCCGTGAAGACACGGTTGACGGCTCCACGGTGGTATGTTTCATCATATGCGCGCTCAAATCCAGGTACAGCTCCTGGGCCCTCAATAGGGGAAATCTCAAGACGTAGTCGCCGCCCGGCTGGAATCCGTCCGGCGACTGCCAGTAACTCAACTTCAATCTTGACTGGTTCATTTGGAATCAAGGGCTGGACATCCTTTTCGAGATGCGTGTGCCAAGGACGCTCAGGCGTGCTGCGAGCAGGGTCAGTAGCCCTCCGCGAAGCCTTCAGAACCCCTGATGTTAATGGAGCTGTTGCTCTCTTTCCCCGAGCTTCACCCTGGAATGTGGCCGGCTCCATAGTCCTGTACGGCACCTCCAGTTCACCATCCAAGACCCGAAGCGAAACGTAAACATCGGCATCCGAGGACGTGGATGCCACCCACAATGTGGCCTTGAAGTGGCCTGCAAAATCCACGTCGTTGTCGAATGGAGCTGATACAAACGCGGCCATCGGCGCACTGCTGTGATTCGTAGGCTCTGTGTCTGCGGAATACTCAATGAAGGACTCCGATTTGCATTCCACGGTATCGAGACGTCCCACTTGATTTGAAGCCCTGGCATCGAGGAAGAAATCGCAATACTGCGTGTTGGGAACCGGCCAATCAGCCTCGTTGCGCCATTCAAATTTTCTGTCGCCTGTCCTCATCATTATGCGCACAGGCGGCTGTTGCTGGACTGGCTTGATACCTTTCAGGTGCAGGTCAAAAAAGGTACGGAGATCTGCGTCGCTCCCTTCAATCATGGATGGCATATAGAATGCATCCCAAACGAGCAGCTGCTTAGAAGGCGAACGTAGCTCCCGAAAGGCTTCAAAACCGGCCCGCCCATGGATGACTTCGCTTTGGCTAACAGTGACCATGACAGGTATATTGATTTTCGAAAAATCAGCGGACATTAGTCCTTCTCCATGGTAGTATTCGTCATCCCATGGGTGGCTCCTGAAGCCTCCCAGGAAGTCAACAGCGCCAGACTGTGGGTTTCTTTGCTTCCCCACCAGGACTTCCCACCAATACTCGCGGTATCTCTCGAGGTATATACCGCCTGGATAAGACAAATCTCGGTATGCATCTGCATCACACGCAAGAGGCGCGATCGCTTTAAGAGATGGTGGTTGCAAACCAGCCACATTGAACTGGTTCGTTGCATGAAACGATGCTCCAAATGTGGCAACGTTCCCGTCACTCCAAGGCTGCTTCGCAGCCCACTCAATTGCGTCGTAATAGTCAAGAGCTTCCTGCTGAGAGAACGGATTCACATCGCCTGGTGTATTCCCGATACCGCGATTGTCCACACGTATCATGACATAGCCTCGCGGTACCCAGGTGGTGGCGTTCGGCCGGAATGCAGCTTCTGACCATTTGAAGAAGGGTGGTATGTCTTCCCTCTCATTCTCGTGCCAAGCATCTTCGCGTTTCTCGCTTGCTTGGAACTCATCATCGGTGCGAATCACACCAATACGGAATGCGCGGCCGTAGACGCTCATGTTCATGAGAACTGGTGAGCGACCATTGCCGATGGGAAGGAACACGTCTGCTCCAAGCCAACTGCCGTCCCTGGTGGGAATCTGCACATCCCGCAGCAACTTGATACCTCTAAGCGAGCGTCGAAGGTGGTTACGCACTTCGGCAGCTCCCCGGAACCGAAGGTTGAGTTCATCGAAGATCGCATGGAGAGACGTCGCCTGCTCAAAGGAGTCGGTTTCGAAATCGAACGATAGGCCGTCTATGCTTTTGCTGATAGTGTCGCCAATCTCCTGGCTGATGGTCACACCGTTGCGGAAGTCCGATTCGCGCGAGAGGCTGAGGACAAAACGAGCGCGGTTAACTGTAGATGGTCGGGAAAGGTCTGTGTCCAGTCCATCGTCAAGGCTTGCAAGTGTCAAAGAAGTGGCAGCCATTGTGGAACCGAGTCTGAGGTTTTTGATGAAGAAAGTAATCACCTCGCCTGCGAGGTATGAGAATCTTCCATGCAGGTCTGTGACTCCTGCTTGCGAAGGTGTTTTGTACTCGAGACCAATGAATGGTCCGTCGCGGAACTCGCCAGTAAGTATTGGCAGCGTCATCGTGTTGCTAATATGTTTGAAGTATGAGGTATGTGCTACTTGCGATGGTAGGGTATCAACAAGCTTTATATACCACAAATTCGTGGACATGTGATCGGACGTCAGATAATGCCTCTTTTCAGTCCTGACGGATCATGTCGGCGCAGCGCTGTAGATACAGGGTAATTTTCAGTAGATGTTGTGGGGATACGGCGAATGGCTTAGAGGCACGGCAATATTTGTCATGCTGACCTTTCTTATCCCCCCCATAGGAGATTCGTACATCCTGTACTTCCGCGGCGAATATTGCCTAGCAAAATGTCCCTTTGCCAGTTAGAATAAGCTAAGTCAGAGAGTAGAAAATGTTTGGTTGAGGCGGGGGGGGCGGGGCGGGGGCCGGAGAGCGGAGGGCGGGGGATAGTACATTCCTCTGCCGACGCCGCCATACAATCGGGCCGATTCATTACAACTTGGGGTCCTGCTGTGTGGTGCATATATAAACTACCACTGTATGAATAATGGCGAATATATATCTTTCAATCACGCATAAATCTCGAATACCAAGCAGTGGTTCTAAATTCACAATGTCTTCTCAGCAGTATATCCCAGGGACGAACTTCCTTGTTAAGGAGCTTTATGATTACCTTGAGGGTTTCGGCAACTATCAAAAGTCCAACTCCCTTTCTTGTCTCGTGCCCTTCTTCACCAATGCTAATCATCTGTACAGGTCTGAAGCGGTCGTTGGCGCCATACCAAAAGTAAACAACAGCCCACTTCACCCACCGTTGGATCTTCGAACCGAGAAACTCTCTGGCAGTGCTTTTGCCGGCCCACGCTCTCTTGCAGTGCACACGTGGGTGTATCGCGTGCAGCCCAGTGTTGTGCATGGGCGCCATGCTCCATACCTACATGAATCAGAGAGCGGCAACCCGACAAGGGCAAAGCACTTGACCCCCGACTCCAAAATATGGGATGCATTCCCACTTCAGGAGTCCTGTGATTGGTACAGTCAACGCTTGATTGGAACCACCGGCAACCCGGCGGAGAAGAACGGCCTATCAACATGGGCTTACAATATGGGCCAGGATATGAAGCCTGGCACAGCTTTCGCGAGCTTAGATGGTGAGGCTCTGATTGTTCCCCAAACTGGAGCGTTGGACATCACCACAGAACTGGGAAAGCTGCTGGTGAGAGCCAACGAAATTGTGGTTATTCCTCGCGGCTTGCGGTACCATGTGAAGCTAGTGGATGGTGCTCCATCCCGGGGATTCATTTGCGAACTATACCAAGGTCACTTCCGCCTTCCAGAACTTGGGCTTATGGGAACTTCCGGAGCTGCGCATGTACGGGATTTCCAAGTTCCGGTAGCGCACTTCGACGGCAAAATCATTGAGAAGGACGGCACTCAGGTGGCGACGTCATCAAAGGCCAACTGGACTATTGTCTCACGCCTCGATTGCAAGCTTTATGCTTGTGAGCAAGACCACACGCCTTTCGACGTTGCGGGTTGGCACGGTACCCTTTACCCATACAAGTACGACCTCGCAAAATTTGACTTCCTCGCAAACGTCCACTACGACCACAAGGATCCTAGTGCGCACACCGTCCTCACAGCACCTTCTTATGGCAAAGCGCCAAACACTGCAGTTGTCGACTTCATCATCTTCGGTAGGCGACACGAAGCAGCTATGGACACCCACCGCCTGCCCTGGTACCACCGCAATACCATGAACGAATTCAGCTTTGCTATTTGGTCTGGACCATCATCGACAGACGGTACTGAAATCGTACCATTTCCCGGTGCGTTTTCGGCCGGGGCAGTCACTGCGCATGGTCCGGGCGAAGAGGAATATCGGGCTTTGCAGGAAGTGGATGGAATGAAGCCTGAGTTGGCTATGGATGGTCCACTCACGATTGGCATGTTCGAAACGGAGTGTCCGCTCTATCTCACGGAGTGGGCGATGGAAACGGCCACCGAAAATTCGCCGCCGGATATGAAGAAGATAGCTGATTAAGGAATTTCCTTTCTTATGTAGATAGTCGCGAGTTTCGAGGAACGAGCGGGGAAAGACTACTCTCTTTCGTGCATACTCTAGCTCGCCTGCTTTGTCTTCGTAGATACATGCGTCGTCTTTTTACTCCTGACGTTTTTCTCGTACATCAATAATATATGCAACCTGTTTGTAGCTGTAGGCTATTTGTTAAGGGGCAGGCACAGTTGGTTACCACTATACAGCATAATATGGAATACTGCACTTGATCCAAGGAAGCTTGCCCCTTGATACAGGGGGTCAAGCTCAGATTTGAATACAATACCATATACAATAGCTGAAAATGGCCGAGAATAGTACTGTAGAAAAGTAACTCCTTTTGTCCCTTTTGTCCCAGCTTGTCCCTTTTCTGCGTAAATTCAGATTGGGTCACGATAGCTTCATCGGCAAGGCTGTCGTCTTCAAATACCCAAGGAAGTCAGATGTTGGATCAGAGAGAAAGTGTGCTTCTAAATGACACAAATATGCAACCTAAGTGGCAAATATCGTAATTCCATACGGAAATAGCTTCGCCATTGATTCCCTAGTGAGTTCAGTTTGGTCAGTTTGTTGCCGTCCACAGGTACTTCATCCAATCGGGCCGATTCTACGGAGAACCCCGTTTCTTTCTATTGCGCCGCCTTTTGCCAATACTCCGCCTCCCGACGGTCAATTACCAAGAATTGGTCATGCATTCCAGCTGGGTGGGCATAGAATCGGAAATTCGGTAGGTCAGGATACGAATAAATTGTGAAGGCCATATATTCCGTATATATATATCGCTGGAGTTAAGCCATCTTTTTCCAATTTCGTTCGTGTCTTCATTCTTGACACTTCAATATCGAAGAAGCACGTAACTACCAGCGAATACTCTTTCCCCCTTCACCATTACCTAGGAACAGAATGGCCGCCAATCGTGAAACTCCCTACAAAGGCGGCAACTACGGAGACTTCAAGCAGATCGAATCTTCCCGACCAACATGGGAAGAAGCCACCACGGCTCCCTTCCAAATCATTCAAACTCCCGACACGGCATGGACTCTCGGGAGCGGAGCGAACAAAACTCACAATCCTAATGGCCACAAGCATATCTCCATCGACCCCTGGGCACCCGGCCGTCACCCCATGAACAACTACAAGCTGTGTATCAGTGCTGTTGTCCCCCGCCCCATCGCCTTCGTATCGACACGATCCAAAGACGGCAAAGTTACAAACTTGGCACCTTTTAGCTTCTTCAACATGGTGCATGCAGACCCACCCCTGTTTGTGTTGGGTCTCACCACGCCACTCGACACGCCCAACGACACCCTACAAAATCTGCAAGAGACGGGTGAATGTGTCATTAGCATAGTCACTGAAGGCATTGTCGAAGCAGCCAATGCGGCAGGCATCAACAACCCGTACGGTGTTTCGGAATGGAATGCTAGTGGGCTCAAGCCTATCTATGACTGCAAGACCGTTTCCTGCGCGCGACCGGAAGAGGCCGTGTTTAGCATGGAAGGCAAGGTCGAAAGCATTCGGGAATTCAATAGTAGAGTATTCCCGGGAAAAAGTCGGGTTCGCTGGTTGTAGTGGAAGCCACACACTTCTGGGCCCACGAGGATGCCATCAATGAGGACAGGAATTTGATCGATATCAAGGTATTTGCGCTTTTCCCGTTTCAATTCTCATGTGTGACAGTACTGATTAGGAAATGCAGGCTTTGAAACCAGTTAGCAGGTTAGGAGGTATTAGCTACGGTCGTACGACTCAGGCGTTTGAGATTCCTCGACTAGACTTCGAAAAGGACTTGGGTGGTGCTGAGGGTGCTAAGAAGCTGAATGAGCAGCAAGAAGCGAAGTTGGCCAATGGTCTAGTGTAGAGCAAATCAATGTATATACCGTATCACTGCACAGTAGCTGTTGTCAGCGGCGCAGCAATCTATCCTATCGTGGTCTTATTTTGGCAGATATTTGGGCCTGAGCTTGTGAGATAACAGTGGAGAAGAGCTGAGGATAAACACGGTCTTCGATTGTTCGATTATAAGTGGAAGAGTGTTGCGAACGCCGTTAAGGCGATAAGCAAGCCCACGTTATAGCGCTAGTACACATCAGCAAGCACTCACTATCAGCCACTCACAACCCAGTGTAGCATAGTCTAATGGCCAGAGTTCTACTCATCGTAGTTCGTGTCGCACCCCGTGGACGGCAAGTCTATTACGTCATCGACAAGACCATATGGGAATTCGTACTAATCGAGGTCCAGAATAGATCTGAGATGGCGAGGACCATAGGATATTAGAGCCGGGTGGTGTGGGGTAACGAACCTTCCGGGATCATAATGACCTAAGCGACATCTACTTATCGACCAGTATAAATCGACTTGTAAAAATATACCTGATACCATATCATCCAAGAAACCAGCTACGATACTCACTTCAGTTACAAACCTCAACGACCATGCCCTTCAGTGCTGTCATCCGACCTGCAGTTATCAGGCCTTTGTCCGTTGTCCGGATTAGTCCCATCTCACGGGCTTGCTATCACAATACCCCAAAATCTAGTTATACAAACGGAGCCCCTTCCATCTACGTTGCCGCCACATTCCCTGATGATTCTGAATCACCGCCTTTGGCCTCGGAACGTCCAAAGACGGCAAATGAAGCTCATAACTGGGATGAAAACCTAGCTACTCTGAGTGAGGTTGCGGTATGCCTCCCTCCCCATTGAGCCCAATCAGAACCACCATCAACAGAAGAGAACTTCCACTGATACGTTGTCATTTTAGGTTAAGGCTGATCGAGGTGATGTTCAGGTGAACATACAGCAGCAAAGCAAGACTTCAAAGACTCCAAAGACCCCAACGATGGAAGATAGGGAGCCCGAATTGGACGAAATGTAATTTTGCGGGGCTTCAAGTTCTTGTATACACCCCAGCGTTGCGGAAATGGCCTTCTGTCGGCCTCTTCGTCTTCGACGTTTAATTATTTTATCTCGCTGGTCTTCGTTAAAAGTGTCTCCAAAGTCCTGATTGAATGAACTTGATGATTTATAATCTAAGCAGTCTTCGGAATTTTACCTGGGTTATTATATAAACGAACGAGTGCTGTTGATTGGCATGTATATCACTCCTTGGCAGAACAGTTCCTATGAGTCAATGTTGACCTTCCAAAATTTGAATTAGACCTGGGAAGTTCAAACGTCCCTTTGGATATTTGAATAAGGAATTCACCCAATCTGATTTGGTCTGAAGTTGAGGGGCCAGGCATCAGGGCAATTGATGGGGAGATATGATTGGATTCTTCTCTCTTCGCCCCCAGACTTCGCCCCAGACTGAAATCCACCCTTCTGCGCAAGCGCAAAACACCAACAGGGGGTCCAAAGCAGATCTATCCTGTTTTTCCCTTTGCACGGGACGATCGTGCGATGTGGTTGCCAAAAGCACTTCATCCACAATTTTTAAGAGCCAGGCCTCGTTTGACTTCCTTCTTCCTCCTCCTTCTTCTTCTTTTTTTTTTCTTTCACTTTGGCTCAACCACCTTTATATCTAAAACAATAGTCGCATGGCTTTACTAGAAACAAATTTCATACCTTTCCCCGGTTAACCTTCCTCAACAAGATGTTCGACAATGTCTCGCTCGATGATACCGATTTGAGTCCGATCCCCAGAAGCTACCAAAGCTCCGATCGCCTAATTCACACCCTATCCGAGAAAGACCCAGAGAGAGATCCCCATAGAAAATCCCTAGAATATGAGCCCCGGTCGAAACAACAATCATTCAGTCGCCAAAGTAGGGGTCTTTTTAGAGGCTGGAAGTTCACGGCGTTTCTGGCTTTCATGTCGAGCGTGGTCGTATTCCTCTTCAATGCGGGATTTCTCATTTATTCAGCCGCTAGTACTCGCAATGGAGATGGAATGACTCTTATGAAGGGAGATTGTAACAAGGTGCACCGTCTGGGCAAAGCAATGCACTGGTTAATTAACGTGTTGGGTACTGGTGTACTAAGTGCCAGTAACTTCGGAATGGTATGAAGACCAGACTTCTCATATGCTTCCCGAATAAAGTCCACCCATCTAACTGTTTGATTTGTACAGCAATGCTTGATAGCTCCGACTAGAAAGGACGTCGATCGGGCTCACAGAAAAGCTAGCTGGCTCGATATTGGAGTTCCAAGTGTTCGAAATCTATTCCGTATATCTTGGAAACGTTCATTTCTATGGCTATGTTTATGTTTCTCGTCTCTTCCTTTCCATCTCTTCTACAACTCCGCCATTTACTACACAACCGCAGTCCCCGCATACGAGGTATTCGCTGGTCCTGGGTCCTTGCATCAGATGGACTGGCCAGATGTGCAGTTGAACAACATACCCAAGACCTCGGACAAGGGCGACTCTCTCAAAAGTCTCCTCCATGCCGCAAAGAACGGGTCATTACGCCATTTGGACAGTGCTAGTTGTGTCGCTGCCTTTACACAGACTTACCAAGCATCATATGGCAAGCTTCTCTTGGCAACGGAATATGCCCAGGATAATAAGTCATACACACTCGTCTACACGAACCCTGTGTACCAGCCCAAAGATAATAACATCGAGAAAGCTATGCTTCCCTACCCATGGGTTTGTCCCTCAGATGGTGGTTCACAGGAAGTGTGCAAGAAGAACGGAATTTCTGCCGTCCATAAATGGGCCGAAAAAAAAATTGGACCGTGAATGTCCAGCCGGGCTATATGACATCCGCTAGTTACAACATCCAGCACTGTCTGGCTGAACCAGTAACGCAGCATTGCAGCCTGCAGTATTCGCCTCCATCGATGGTCGCCGTCACCGTTGCCAATGTTGTGAAGACAGGGATCCTATTATACATATGGCTTGGAATGCCTCGAGCCCCTCTCCTGACTGTCGGTGATGGAATTGCCTCTTTCCTACGTCGTAGTGACCCCTACTCGCTGGGCATGTGTTTGCCCTCCGACGGCAGCGCAATATACACACACCCGGTTTACGCGAAGCTTCCATCACTCAAAAACAGGAAACTGCGTCATCCTGCCGTGTACACCGGTAAACGGAGACGATGGGGCTCTAGTATCTCTACTCGTTGGGGATTTTTTATTTTTTGGTGCGTTCCTTCCTTGTTTGCAATTGTCTCTATTTCCAATTTTGCGCCGAGGCTGATGTTTGACTTAGGTGGTTGCTATCTATCATAGCTGGACTCGTTATGCTTATGTTTGGATTGTCTAACACAATCGGTATAGACATTTGGAAGACAAAGCTCGGAGACATCAATTCGCAGACAATCATCAGCACTGGTGATAGTCAAGGATTCGTCACTAATTCGATCACGGCCAATCTGCCACAACTCATCTTTTCATTCCTCTACGTGGCATACAACAGTATTTTGACCTCGATGTGTCTTTCCGCTGAATGGAGCCGCTTCGGCCACCGCCGCAAGGGCCTTCGCGTCTCCCATAATCCCAGGTTATCCCAGCGAAGCAATTATTTCCTTACCCTCCCATATCGCTATGCAGTGCCACTCATGGCGACCTCGGCTGTTCTTCACTGGCTTGTTTCGCAGAGTCTGTTCATAATTGCTATTGAAGCGTACAACACGCATATGGAAAGGGACCCCCTGCACGACGTGTATGCCTGTGGGTATTCGCCCCTGGCCATTGTGATTGCGACTTCAATAGGAGCTGTCATGTTTACTTGTTTGATCGTTCTTAGTCTCCGGCGGTTTGAATCAGCAATGCCCGTGGCGGGGAGCTGCAGCTTGGCTATTGCTGCGGCGTGTCATCCAGAATTCAACCCTAATGTGGATAAACCTGAACCTGTGGAGATGGAATCTGAAGACGAGGGGAAGGATATGGCTTTATTACCTCTTCAATGGGGGTCGATTTCGATCGATGGTCCTATAGGGCACTGTAGCTTTACTTCTGAGGATGTCCATCCTCCCGAGAAGGGTCAGAAATACCAATAAACCAATAACACTTGAGAGCTATACCTTTAATAAAGAGGGTCCACTTTAGCTTAATCTAAGATATAACTATAGAAAGAGTATTCTGACTTCTCACTATTGACTCGGTTTCTGCTCTGGTCGGAGTGCCTGAATAAATGCCGATGAGCTCCATTTAAATGGTAGCAAGTGAACATACATTCAGAGAACACTATCAGGAGCCCAGCCATCGGAGTTTACATGCATACACAATTCCACATCCTGATCGGGGTCCACAGTATTCTCTAAGTGCACAGTGATACTGCATGACGATAAGGTGAGCTTAGATCCAACAAAATCGATTTATTAATGAATATCCACAGCCTGGCGCGTCCAGTTGGAAGCAGATCGTCAAGCAGGAGTCTCCAGCTAACAGCATCGCCTTGGTAAAAAGAACACAGTACAAAAGTCTGAGTCCCGCGGCTAAGCTACCCCACGTCTCCCCACTAAATGGTGGAGTGTCCTGGCCATTAGTCCAATAGCAGATTGACATCTCGGTCACCTCGCGTACAGCCCCTTTTAGGCAATCCTGCTGAAGGCCAGATTTATAATCACTGTACACCTGCAGAAACTAGAGTTCGCGACTCGGAACTTTCCCACGAAAGCAGGGCAATAAAGGGAATGGTCATGGACGCAGTTTTGTTTCGGATCGCAAGGAAGGCCTGTTCTCCACGCGATTTTTCTTACAGGATATCAAAGTCATAGCTGCTCGCTCTTACGCTGTCCGGGACTCTTTTTGTCGAGGTTCAATTGAGCCCTAACAACACTAAAACAACATCCACAGACTGTCTCTCCATCATCCTTCTCACGCCTTTCTTGACCGCTGCCTACCCAACGGTAAATCATGGCCGAGCAACGATATGGACAGGATAGACCAGTCTCAGATCCGTCAGTACTGGGTCGGCCTCTTGAGCTGACCTTCTCCAAGCGAAAGGCCAAGAACAGATTCCTGAAGGCCGCTATGACTGAGAGGCTCAGCTCCTGGAACCCCAAGGACCTGAGCAAGCGTGGCATTCCGACTCCGGAGATTATCAACGCCTACAAGTGGTTCGGCGAAGGCAGCATCGGAACTATCCTGACGGGTAATCTCATAGTCGACGCCGTGAACATTGAGGGCGCCGGTAACCTCATCATCCCGCCAGATGCCCCATTTGAAGGACCCCGGTTCGAGGCCTACCAGCGTCTTGCCTGGGCCGGCAATCACGACGGAAGCTTGATCCTCGGCCAGCTCTCACATGGTGGCCGACAAGTTCAGAGCCGCTTCCAGCCCCGCCCTGTCTCGGCCTCGGCTGTCCATCTCGATAAGGATGTGTGGGGCATGAAGTTTGCCAGACCGCACGCTGCTAGTCACGATGAAATCAAGGACATCGTGGAGTCATTTGCCCACGCCGCCGAGTATCTGTACCACGCTGGATTCGATGGCGTACAGCTACATGGAGCTCACGGCTACCTGCTGTCCCAGTTCCTCTCTCGCAGGACCAACCAACGCGTCGACGAGTACGGCGGTTGCATCGCCAACCGTGCGCGTATAATTGTGGAAATCGTCTCTGCAATTAGAGAACGGATTCCCCTCGCCAGTGGGTTTGTTCTCGGCATCAAGCTCAACTCGGTGGAGTTTGATGAGAAGGGCTTTACACCCGAAGAATGCGGCGAACTGTGCGTGCTTCTCGAGAAAGAGTGCCAATTCGACTTTGTCGAGCTCTCCGGCGGCACCTACGAGGACATGGCGTTCGAGCACAAGCGTGAATCGACTAAACAGCGCGAGGCCTTTTTCCTCGAGTTTGCCGAAGCCATTGTGCCGAGGCTTGAAAAGACGAAGGTTTTTGTCACTGGAGGACTTTTGACTGTCAACGCCATGGTGAAGGCACTGGAGGTGGTCGACGGGGTCGGGTTGGCTCGGGCCCTCTGCGCGGAGCCCAACCTACCTAGAGATATCTTGGAGGGAGAATTAAGACGGGAGCTGTTATCCAGAAGATTGACAGACAGGACTATGGACTGACTGAGACGGTGGCGGGAACGCAAATCCGGCAGATGGGCAGGAACCAAGCCCCCATGGACCTGACCAAGGAAGATGTGGTGGAGGCTTTCCTGGAGAGCACCAGCAAGTGGGAGAAGGCATTGGAAGAGGACGGGGATAAATCAGAGGTCTACGGCTATGTTGATGTGGAGGGTGTAGAGTTGGCTCCGATGAGCAACGGTGACAACACCTGTAAGCTATAGAGTAGAAATCGCCAAGTCTCGTCTCAACCCGTGGGGTTGATTATTGTTTACTATCTTTGTTTCTTATTAAATACTTTATAACAATTTATCCTATATCATGTATAGTAACTCTACATGAGAAAATAAGCACTGTTGTAGAGGCCTCATCAACAGTTATAACAATGCCTATTAGTGATTGCTTCCTTTGCTTGTTTTCAGCCAATCCAAAAGAATGCCAAATATGTCATGTTGAAATGTAATTGATCTACTATAAGCATGCTGTTCGTTCAGTCCTTCCATTTCACACTAGATCAATCCATCACACTAGATCTGCTCTACCAACTGCAGATTCAAATGAACCGACTTGAGCTGCGAGTACGCATCCAAGCCTGCCTGGCCCAATTCCCTTCCAATACCACTCTGCTTCACTCCACCAAAAGGCACGCGGAAATCACTATTGTTGCTGGAATTAATCCAGACCATGCCGGCTTTCAACTTGCTAGCCACACGGTGAGCGCGAGTAATATCACTTGTACACACAGCAGCGGCAAGCCCGTATTCCGTCGCGTTCGACAACCGGATTGCTTCCGCCTCGGTTGAGAATTTGACGAAGACCGCAAATGGCCCGAAGATCTCTTCTTTGTAGATTCTCATATGCGGCTGCACGTCACGGACGATCGTAGGTTCAACAAAGTAGCCTTTACCGTTGGGTCGAGCTTCGGCAGCCCTGCCGCCGGCAACGATGGTGGCGCCTTCCTCCTGGGCAATCCTGCCATATTCGAGAATCTTTTCGAATTGATCCTTGGAGACTTGGGGGCCTTGGTACGTTTTTTCCTCGAATGGGCAGCCGATGACTTGGATCTTCGCGACGTATTCTTTGAACCTTTGAATGAAAGTATCGTAGATGTTATCGTGGACGAAAATCCTCGATGTTGCCGTGCAGATTTGGCCCATGTTGCCCATTACACCGTAATGTGCCCACTTGACTGCATTGGGGATCTGAGCGTCATCGAAGATGACGAGAGCACTCTTCCCTCCTGTCTCAAGCGTGATGTTTTTCATCGTATCGCTGGCCATCCGCATGATCTGTTTACCTGTAGGTGTACTGCCGGTGAATGCCACCTTATCGACTTCAGGATGCTGGACCAAGGCTGACCCAGCTTCGCGACCATAGCCGTTGATGATATTGACCACACCGGGTGGGAACCCTGCTTCAACCAGGATGTTTGCAAAATAGAGAATGAGAAAGAGGGGTCTGCTCGGCTGCTTTGATAACCACTGTATTACCGCAAGCTAGTGCAGGGCCTAACTTCCACGCTGCCATTCCAAGTGGATAGTTCCATCTAGATAAGGATAAACATGTTAGCCTTTAAAGGATGAATGAAAGCAATTGGGTTTCAGGTGACAAATTGGACCAAGCTGCCGAAGACACATTGAAAGGGGAACTTACGGAATGATCTGGCCACAAACACCAATAGGTTCGCGCACGGTATAAGCAAACTTTGAGCGACTAGTCTCGATGGTTTGTCCGTAAGCCTTGTCGGCCCAGCCTCCGTAGTATCGGAAGACCGAGAAGACTTCCTCAATGTCACCCAGCGCCTGAGAGTATGGTTTGCCATTGTCGAGTGCCTCAATGGTGGCTAGAACATGTTGCTGGCTTTCAACCAAGTCGGCCACTTTATGCATCAACTTGCCTCGAGCAGTCCCAACACCATTTTGCCATTCTTCTCCCTCGAATGCAGCGCGAGCGGCACAAACCGCCTTGTCGACATCTTCCGCCGTGGCGGCATGGACTGAGGTAATCTCTTCTTCGGTCCTGTGAACATGATACGTTAATTTTGAGGATAGTTGAGGTTGTAGGGTTACTGACGCAGGGTTAATAGACTGGAGCTTTTGGCCAGTTGACGAAGCGACCCATTGGTTATTAATGAAGAGACCGGTGGGCTGCTGGTAGCTCACGCCATTGGGGGCAGTGATGGTTTGGGTTAAGCTGGACATTCTGAGCATATATTGCAAGATACTTTAGACCACGGCAGTGCAGGATTTGCTGTCTTTATGTGTGGCCAGGATCCCTCGGCTCTGCCCAGCACTTTCGTGAGCAGACATATGGTTCGAGTGAGTTCGGCGAGGGGCATCACCTTCCAAGGAGGGGTGGCTTACTTGCCTAATATGGGAAGCAGACGAGGCCGGCTAGTGGTGCACCGAGATTCCTACTTTAGATCCGAGGCGAAGCCCCGAATGGCGTCTCCACCGGGCAAATTGAATTTTGAAAAAAAAAAAAGAAAGAAAGAAAAGAAACATGCCGTCTTTGCGCTGTAAAGTACCGAGTATGCGGAGTAGTCTGCCATTACTCATGCTGTGTCGCCATAACATTGGCCCATTGACTGAACATGATCACCAAATGTGTCGTCTTTGAAAATTTGGAAAACCGTGCGCTTTGGAAAACTCTGCGTGGAGTCTACTGGATTATCAGAGAGAGGGGAAAGTTGAAAATTGGAAGAGACAAGATATGATCTACCTAGCTAGTTAGTTACAAACATCTTAACTTACTGGCCTAATCATCCAGGCATCTTAACCACTTCTATCAGGCCCATCTCAACAAACTCTTTGTATTTGATGGACTTCACAGTCCTTTACTTTGCCCGTCACAATAATCAAATTTTTGCCATGGATTGCAATTTGACGGGGGCGTTCTCGCGTAGAAAGCCGTCGAGAGACTGAGGGGACGCATATCCTTTTCCTCGCGCTTTTGCTGCAACTGCTTTGAGCGCTCTCATCTCTCCCAGCAAACGATCATCAGTAACCTGATTGTTGCAGTAATTCCCCTGCATGTAGTGGCAATAGTTGCGCAACCCGTTGACTTCCTTGGTTTTGCCGGGGGTACTAGCCTTCAAGGGCTCGGTTTGCGGTACAAATCTCGCCACTTGTGTACCGGTCAATCGGTTGTACGTATCAACCACATCTTGGAAGCCGGCTACCTCAGATATGGCCCAGATAATACGATTCGCATATTTTGATGGTTCCAAGAGGACAGCATGTACAGCATCGCCGTAATCGTCTCTCACGGAGGTCCATGGGATCATCTCCGGGTCATTGCCCACAGGGAAGATCTTCAAACTGAGGAAGCCTTCTGAGTCTGGAATGGTCGCGAATCCACCGAACGCATTTGCGTACGTCTCCATGAAGAGAATATCCATAGCCCAGCCAGAGTTGACTTCGACAAAGGCCTCGAACCCAGCCTTACGGCCGTAGTTGGCAATGGCGTTCTTGTTGTCGAAGGACAAGATAGACACTTCTCCATTCGTAAGGCGGTTAGACTGTGGGAGTCCTGAGAAAACAAAGTATTTGACATTTTGACGGATGGCAGCGTCGATCACGATTTTGCCCATGGCGGATTCCGGTGGGCCGACCTCGTTCTTGAAGTTCAGGTCGTCTGAGTCCGTGTTGAGGAACACACCATAGGCGCCTGCCAACACCAAATCGAGCTCGGCAGCATTCCACGAGTTGGCCTTTACCAACAAAAATCCCTCCTCGCGACACTTGGCGGCTTTGGGCGAGTTAGGATCGCGCGTTGTCAACACAACTTCGAACTCGGGATTGTCTTTCAGTGAACGAGCGACCGAGCCGCCAAACATGCCAGTACCACCAATCACAACGATCTTCTTTGGTGAGGTCATAGTTATGAGGCAGGTGTCGAATATGTTAACAAAGGTTGTGTAAGAGAAGAAGAACCGTGAGGGAGACGGATTTGAGGAAGAGATAAAACAGTGACTAGAGACATCATTTCCAGCATATTAATAAATTTACTAACCCGAATATAGCTCAAATGAGTGATAAGCAAGTGTAAGTGAGGAGAAATGAAGTTCGTTTAGTGTCCGTATCGGGTAAGTTGGAGATAAGTAGCGTAGTGGAGAAGTGGAGAAGTGGAGCAGTAGACCCCAAAGCCTCCAGGGCTGGTTTTGGAGATTCCATTCTGAGCTCTGAATCAAATGAAATGTAGTGTGTCCTTGGGCGAAGAGAGAGCAATACGACTTATATTGAACCAACTGTATCGGAGAAAAGATGAAAGGTTATGCAAGGAGAAATTAAGAAAGACAGTGATGCATTCCGAGCGAAGCCCTCACGGAGAGAGAGAAGGGAGAGAGGAAGAGAGAGAACTAGCTTACCTAGGTAGCTATCCATCTGGTCCTGTCACCCGTGGTGGCGTCAGGCATCTAACAAAAGAAGAAGAGGAAGGAAGAGGAGCAACTAGCTAATTGACAGAATCTGAATTGTCTACCTAGGTATAGCTGTCCCTTACAAAACCCTCAGCCCAAATTTCCAATAGTAACCGACTTGATGTTTTGGTATTCGCTGAGGCCGTAACGACTGCCCTTTTCGGCCCACGCCGCTTTCCTTGATGCCACCAAAAGGACTTTCCGCTGCACTGATCAGACCAGTATTGACACCAATCATGCCACATTCCAGCTGACGCGCGACGCGGAAAATTCGACTGACGTTCTGACTGAAGAAGTACCCAGCCAGCCCATATTCACTAGCGTTGGCCTGTATCAACACATCTTCTTCGCTGTCGAATGGAAAAATAGCTGCCAGGGGCCCAAAGGTCTCCTCAGTTGCGACAGCCATATCAGACGTCGCGCCAGTGATGATTGTTGGCTCGAAGAAGAAGCCAGACAGATGGCTAGGTGCCTGTCCGCCAGTCCACAACTGGCCACCTTTGGCTAATGCATCCGCAACGTGGGCCTTCACTTTTTCCACGGCTGCAGCGTTGACCAGCGGACCTTGGGTCGTTCCGTCGTCGATACCACGGCCTAGCTTGAGAGTCCGCACCTTGGCGGTAAGTTTCTCGGCAAAAGCCCCAAGGACTTGTTTATGCACATAGAGCCGATTCGCACACTTGGACGATGACTGAGTTAACACAGTGCGTTTTGGGGGAATGAGCGCATATGCCTACCACGCAAGTTTGACCTGATGCACGGAATTTGCAGATCAGCGCCGCATCAACCGCCTGGTTCAGGTCGGCATCCTCGAAGACCACAAAGGGAGCGTTCCCCCCAAGCTCCATACTGACTTTCTTCATCGTTTCAGACGCTAGTCTTGTCAGCATCTTACCAACAGCTGTTGACCCGGTGAAGCTGATCTTGCGCACAAGCGGATTGGTGGCTAGCTCTAGTGAAGCCTTGCGGTCCTTGGTGGGGATAACATGGATGAGTGAAGAGGGAATACCGGCCTTTAGTGCCAGCTTCGCGAGAGCAATTGCACTGAAAGGTGTTTCACTTGGAGGCTTAATCACCACAGAACAGCCGGCGGCAAATGCCGGAGCGATCTTGCGAGTAATCATGGCGACAGGGAAATTCCACGGAGTGATGATTCCACACACCCCAACAGGTTCTTTGTAAGTGAGAACGGTTGAATTCGCATATGAGGAAGGAATCACGTCGCCGTAGTTGCGAACTGCCTCTTCAGCAAACCAGGCGACGAAGGTTGCCGCATAGGTTACTTCTCCTTTGGCTTCGGCCAACGTTTTCCCATTCTCTAGGGATAAAATTATCGCCACTGTTGAAGGACAAGATTCAGCTTTCATTAATTGTTGGTAAGAGGGCGTTTCATAACTGACAGTCTTCCACGTTCTCAATTATAAGATCATGCCATCGCCGAAGAAGCTGTGCTCGGTCCTTGGCTGTCGTGTCTTTATAAAAGCTCTTGTATCCAATGTATGCCGCATTGATTGCTTGGACGAACTCTTCACGCCCAAAGTCGGCACATGGGTGAAGCACCTTGCCTGTAGCTGGCTCATAGACAGGAAATGTTTTCTGGTTGGTCGCGTGACGCCACTCGCCGTTTATCAGCCCCGACAATCCAATAGAGTAGGATTGCGCAAAGAGATTGGAAATTCAGTCGTAATAGCCATGATTTACTAGCAACTTAGTCTGGTCCATGAAAGGTTGAACAGGAAATGTGAAACCCCGGCATAAGATTCGAGAAGTTCATGTCTGGTTTTGTATCAGTAGGCAAGATACATATTCCATTCAAGTGGATGATTAGCACCCGTGTTTCCCCATATTCATGTCATTCACTTAGGTACCGGAACAGTTCAAGATATGCGACGACGCAGGGGGATCGCCAACATGCCAAAAGAAGCAAGAAGGCCATGGACAGAGTCCGTCGATTTCAGATCGCGGAACGTAGAGTCCTACTTCAATTTAGATTGGCTCATTGCGCCGGTTTCCGAGAGAAGATGGGAAACCTTGGAAGCTCACGGTAATCCATCAGTCGTGAGTATTTCATCCGTCGGCTATAAGCGGGCGCCTCTACTACCCACGGGTACCTTCCTGTTTTGGCTCCTTGGCGAGTATCGGGGAGTACAGTGGGATCTTCGAAATATTGGGCTAAACATATCATAATGGATCCATTAGTACCTAAGTGTACGTCACCGGCTTCCTTATAGTCGCTGCCATGGAAACAGCATTGGAGACTGTGGGGTTGGGCTTGCTAGAACACTTTGCGCAGAGCCACACTTGGTCACGCGACGCGACTGAAGTTGGATCTCTAACCACAGCAAGATGTTGGAAAAGCAACTACGGTACTCGTTTCCGCTAATATCTCTGCCCCATTGGCCCAGAGCGTTGAGCGGAAGGCATTCAAAGCGAATCCGCTACCTCGAGGCCTAGTCTTACATTGCTCCAGTTCTTCAACGCAGAATACTTCAATTGTTTGTATTCTATAGAGATCCAACCTGCTTGGTCAAATTCATACCAAATGCATGTTCATCATTACGCCATCACAGCCGCGGGGATTGAGTAGCCTGGTACCAGGACTCCAGCACTTTGTTCGGTGCGTTCTGTAAGCGATCCGCAGTCTCTTCAAAAACACGAGGCAACCCAGTTTCGTAGTAAGGTACATCCTTTACTACCATGTCTGCCATCCCCTTGGCTGCCAGAAATATTTGAGGCATGCCGTGGCCCGTCCAACCAGCCATAATGAACATTCCTCGCTTGCCGGGTACGGGCCCCAGCCTTGGAAGTTTGTCACGGGAATATCCCATAACTAAAAGTGTGATGCGTCAGTCCGATAGACTTAAAGATGAATAGTCGATGATACTTACTGCCAGTCCATATTTCCGAGACCTTTGCGCCACTGTCCTCCCACCCACGGAAGTGTCGTTGCATGTATCCGTCAAAGTACTTTCGTGTCTCTTCGATAACCTCAGAATCGTCCGTGTTATTGTACCACAGGTCTTTCTTGCGAAAGTAGGATGAGCGAGCCCCTCCCACAACAATGCTGCCGTCAGGTCGGGGAATGAGATAGTCAAAATCCCAATCCTTGAATCGAAGCGCGTAGGTGTTGACAATAGGTGGTGCCGGGCTAGGTGTCGTGATATGGCAGCTCACGGCCCGGTAAGGGATGATTTGCTCCCGATACTCAGGTAATAAAGCCGGGGTGTAAGCGTTTGAGGCAATTATAACCTTGCTGGCTTTAACAGGGCCCCGGTTTGTCTGGATCACCCAGCTACTTTGAGAGTCGGTAGCGGGGAAGACAGAAGTCGCACAAGTATTTGTCTGGAGGTTGAGACCTCCATGTTTCAGCGCCATGGTGAACATGTGGTGGATCAATTTGTACGGCCATAGATGTGCAGCGTTGTAGCTGATGCATCCCTTGGCCCCCTTTACACCTGATACCTAATATTGAACTCAAGTCAGACACCTGCAGGTCATTGATCCTGAGACTGTGGTGGGATGGGGAATTCACACACAATTTCGGCATCGCCCTCTCCCACTTCAGACACCGTTTGGGCTGCGGCAACTCCCGCGGCTTTGAGATCACGCAAGCGCTTTTTTATCCTCGTATCCTGGCTGTTAGTGAAGTGTACATCGCATGCTCTGGTGGCAACAAAATTGCAGTCAACGCCTTCACGTTCAATGTACTCTTTAGCGGCATTCAAGTTTGCGATTTCGAAATCCGCGACTTCCGCGCCTGCAGCGAGTCCATACTGAGCAGCAATCTCAGAGGCATGAAGGTATGGATCGGGTTTGATGTGGCCACCTAGATGTTTTAAGTATTCTGTCAGTGATTTGTCTATGGAAGTGAACAGAAGGACCATTACCGTTTCGCCCCGATGCCCCAGAGCATAGCTGACGAGCTTCGAGAACCAAAATCGATGGGTGATTGGGATATTGTTTCTGGATATGCGTGACTAGTGCTGCTGCACTATACCCTCCGCCTATGATAACTATGTCGCTTTCGTCTGGAAGGTCTGGCATGGACCGGAAGTTGTCAAGCTCCTGCGACTCACGGCGCCAGAAAGACACAGTGCCATTGGGATGTGGGAAGGATGTCATTATGGAACTGTCACAAAGCGTCAGAAAGCCGTGAAGAAAATTTATGGTGGTATGCGGTGAATGATAAGAAGTATCTGCGCAAATCTTCCGTTATCTGGCGTCGTCGTGTATCCATGCCTTATTGCTGATCGCCTATATTCTGTATCGGGCAATCAGGGCGTAGAGTGGGTTAAATTCTTATTTAGCGGGTACTCGGTTCATGTGGAGATCACATTCTAGTTTCCTAATCGAGACAGGAAGCGAGATAGAAGAAGAGGCACAGATGTAAACATTTTAAGTTCTTATTTCACTTACATAGTCCATTTAATATAAAATTATGTTATGCTACATTTAATTTAGCCTTGCCGAATCACAATTTTATTTTGTCTTATTATATACCGAAGTGACAAGGACCTTCCTAGGGCCTAGCTGGGACCTCTATTACAGATTTCAATTACTTGCCTTTATTGCTGTTGTTAATAAATCCGACTATGTCTGACTTGCACGTTTACCTTATCGCGCCCAACGGCTTAAAGTTCAAGCAGCCTTTGGGCCTATTCATCGACAATGAATGGAGATCATCCTCAAAGGGGGCGGGTATTTCAACTATAAACCCTGCGTGAGTCTAGATTTCTATTTGGTGATAAATAGCTAACTCGCTATACGGAAAATAGAAATGAAGAAGAGATCTGTACGGTGCATGCAGCAGACACGAAGGATGTCGACATGGCTGTTGAGGCTGCCCGTCGGGCATTCAACGGGGAGTGGCGGACGCTGGACACATCTGTGCGTGGTGAGCTGTTATACAAGCTTGCTGGTTTGCTTGAGCAACATGCAGATGTACTGGCCACCATTGATTCCTGGGATAATGGTATGAGAATTTCCTATTCTGCGCGTTTTCTCTCCTCATCCAACCTGCATTCTGATGATTTTTTTTTTATTACAGGCAAGACCTACCATGCTGCCCGGAACGAAGATGTTGTGGGAGCTATCAGTTTACTGCGATATTATGCCGGTTGGTCTGATAAAATCCATGGAAAGGTTATCGACCCGAATGCACATAAATTGGCATATGTGATGCGCGAGCCAATTGGAGTTTGTGGCGCCATTATCCCTTGGAACTTCCCTCTTGTGAATATGGTGACCAAGGTAGCTCCGGCCCTAGCGGCGGGCAACACACTCGTCGTCAAAGTGGCCGAACAAACCCCTCTTTCAGCTCTCTACTTTGCAAATCTTGTCAAGGAAGCTGGGATCCCGGCTGGAGTGGTGAATGTGCTCAATGGTACCGGTAGGGAGGTTGGCTCTGCTATAGCAGCTCATGCCGACATTGATATGATTACATTCACTGGGTCTACTCCCACTGGCAAAGAAATCATGAAGAGCGCTGCCAGTACGCTCAAGAGAGTCACCTTGGAGACGGGTGGAAAATCGCCAATGCTGGTCTTCCCAGATGCAGATCTAGAACAAGCAGTGCGCTGGGGTCACCGAGGCATCATGTCCAACCAGGGACAAGTTTGTTCAGCAACAAGTCGCATATTTGTACATGCTGATATCTACGAAACCTTTGTCAGTCAGTTCAAAGCAGAGGTGGAAAGGATCTCCAAGGTTGGCGACCCTTTCCATTCAGACACCTTCCAAGGCCCGCAGGTCACCAGGGACCAGTTTGACCGAGTTCTCTCTTATATGGAGACTGGAAAACGGGAAGGGGCACGGTTAGTGTGCGGTGGAAAGGCATTCAAGAATGTTAGAGGCAAGGGATTTTACGTCGCCCCAACCGTATTCGCGGACGTAACAGACAGTATGACCGTTGTTCAGGATGAGGTTTTTGGTCCGTTCGTGGTTATTGCACCTTTTCACGAAGAGGCAGAGGCGATCGAACGCGCGAACAGCACGGTCTTTGGGTTAGGTGCATCCGTCTTCACAAAGGACATCTCGCGTGCTTTGAGGGTATCGAAGAGAATCCAGTCTGGCAGTGAGTCTTCCGTTATTTTTTGGTTCTCTAGCAGTGTTAACGTGTGTTTTTGTACAGCGATCTGGATCAACAGTAGCAATGATGATGATGTGCGCGTGCCATTTGGTGGATACAAACAATCAGGGTTCGGGCGGGAGATGGGCGAGGAAGGTATCGAGGCGTTCACTATTACGAAGTCTGTTCACATCAATCTGAACGCGAGGTTATAAAATATCGATGCGTTATACTACTCGATTTCACGTTCTATAATTGGAGGAAAGCTTTTTGTATAGAGAGTTATTGAATATCTCAATGATGGATATAATTTTCCGCCCTTGTAGCAACTACCAATCTTTAAACTACCAGGTGCACTTCTCCTTTTTCTAAAGCATTCCAATTGAGTTCTGCTCACAAAGTCCAAAATCAGGCCTAGATATTAGACCTTCAATTGCCTTCTTCTTTTCTCACCCGAATATGGAGTTCTCTTCATTCCGGGGGGCCCGCTTAGCGGCCTAATCGGGAAAGTGCTGAGGCCCCGCAGGCCTAAATAGGAAATACAGCGGAGAAGACTGCATGACTTCATCTGTCACTAATGTTTACCCTGGAGAAGACCAAATTTGTTTAAAATTGTTGCTTTTTCTTTCTAAATTTGACCTCGACACGATGCCATTATAGGTCCTATCCACTTCCCAACTTGGCAGGGATAGCGAAATAAGGAATAGAAGCTTCAAGTTGGATAATATGCTGCTATTCATTAGAAAATATATAACACTTGACAATACACCTGTGTACTCTAGACTATTTTTTCCTCACACCAGCCGCTAAGGTTTGCAAAATGCGGCTACATATCTCCTTTCTACCTCTTGTCGGTATCCTTGGTGTCCTCCTTCACAAATTCCTCATATATCCAGTCCTTCTTTCGCCTCTTTCAAAAGTCCCCGCGGCTCACTGGTCATGCCGGTTCTGTTCGATCTGGATATACTGGTTAAGATGGACAAATCAGGAGAACCGCACGGTCTATGACAAGCACATGAAGCTGGGACCGTCTCTTCTTCTTGCGCCGAACCTTCTCAGTATCAACACTTTTGATGATGGGGTGAAACCTATATATCAGGGTGGTTTTCCTAAACCTGAATTCTACTTTAATGGTTTCGCTATTTATAAGTAAGTTTATACACAAATCAACGCAGCCGACGCCATGGAGACAATTTATGTGGATGGTCTCAAATGTGGAATAAAGCAGCTAATTCTCAACAGCACAGAGAACATTTTCACATTTGAAGACAACGCCCTACATTCCGCCCGCAAAAGAATGATCTCCAACACTTTCTCCAAGTCCTTCATCTCGTCGTCTCCGACAGCACGTGCAGCCACTCGCGATGTCTTATTTGGGAGATATCTGCCTCTAATCCGAAAAGCCTCCCGTGAAGACAAGCCTGTCGAGGTACTTGGATTGAATTATTCATACTCAATGGATACATTCGTTCAATTTCAATTCGGCCGTTCCTTGGGTAGCAATTTACTAGAGGATCACAAAGAGCGGAAGCTATACCTCGACGGATTTTTCGCACCGTATCCGTTTCTCTTTTGGCAGTACTACTTTCCAAAACTTGCCAACTTTCTTCGCAAGATCGGGATTTATTTAATCCCTCGATCTGTTGACACGAAATTTGGGGCTGCCGAAGACTGGAATCTCCAAAAATGCGACAGTGCCCAACAGCTCATTGCAAGCTCTGAGCCGATCCATAGTGATGACCAGCCTGTTATCTTCCAGCAAGCTCTCCAGTCAATGAGCGACCCCAATGGTACCAAAAGTGCATATCCACAAAGGATGCAGATTGCAAGCGACATGTTTGCCCACAGCTCGGCTGCATTTGAGACTAGCGGCAACACCGAAACATATCTTTTCTATGAGATGTGCCGAAATCCAGAGTGGCAGACAAAGCTTCGCGAGGAGCTGTGTGGTGTCAAGCTTCCACAACAAGATGACTTGAAAAGAAAAGTCGAAGTCGGTGACATTGCCGAGCCGAAAGAAATTGACGCCCTCCCAGTTCTCCATGCGATCATTATGGAGACACTTCGTCTCTGGCCTGTAGTACCTGGCGGACAGCCTAGAGTGGTTCCGAAAACTTGCTCCCTTGGTGGATACTCTGATATCCCGGCTGGCACCATTGTTCAGTCATATGCATACGTACTCCATCGGACCCCTGAAGTTTTCCCGGACCCCTTCCAATGGAAGCCTCAGCGTTGGCTTGATGCTTCACCTGACGAGCTCGCAAATATGAAGCGATGGTTTTGGGCATTTAGCAGTGGGCCCAGGATGTGTATTGGTTCCAATTTTGCATTTTATTGTAAGTCTTTGGAATCTGAAATTGAGGACCACACTAACCAAGATCATTTGGTTAGCGATGAAATATTTGGTTGCTGCTGTTTATGCCCATTATACCACGTCGATCCATGCGCACGGCGATATGGAGTTGCTCGACTTTTACCTTGCAGGGCCAAAAGGTCATCGACTAGAGGTTAAATTTCATCCAGCGCCTTACGCCGGCGACACTTCGGCTTAAAATTTCAGAAATCAACACCACATGACTTTCTATGGAAGATTAAATACTCTGATACAGATGCTCGAGGCTCGAAAATGTTTTGTAGGCTGTTTTCTTTTGTCTGACCCATATAAATGGGCAGTCGGCTTGGTCATTTCATATGAATTCAACGTTTTTATTTCTCTCTCTTCTGCCATAGTAGACCTGCAGGTCTTTTCAGATTTGGAAAGCTGAGTAGTTTGGTTTAGCGCTTTGGAATTCCAAACATCGACTTTTGCAGTTTCGAAGTTCCTTTAGATCCATTTCATTTGTCTCTTCTGATATACTCAACGAAGTTGTGCAAGATGAAATAAAACCTACCCTCTCTTTCATATAGCCTTTTGCGTATTATAACCTAGTACCACGTCACTTATTCTATCACATACACATTCCATTTGTGGATAAGACAGGATTCTTAAAAACTACATGCAAATAAAGTATTCACTTTCCGAATTATAGCAAAACTATGGCCTTCGACACTATAATTCAATCGGTACCCTTTCTTAGAGAAGGGTTACAGGTTCACTGTCCATGAAAACCGCGACGTTCGCAAACCCAGGGCCAAATGTGAAATCAACCGTCGTCCCCTTCTTCAAGTACACGAATTCCCCCTTGGTCAGGATGAAGTGGTCCCCACTATGAACGTTGAGCTTGACCCATCCATCCGTGACATAAAAGAATTCATCACACGGATAGGTCAATGTTGCAGTTCCTGTTTCCTTTGCTGCTGCTGCCACGACTTTTCCATCGGCTGAACGATACATGACGGATTTCTCCCCACCGTACTCGGGCAGAGGTTCCCAAGGGAAACTGGTATACGGCCCATAAGGGACATCGGCTGGCGATTCTGATCCGGTGGTGTTGGGAATTGATGGTGCCATTCCTGTATATACAGTTGTCAGCTATGAAGGGCTTTTGCAGGAGGTCAGGGATGCGGACTTTCAAGGGATTTTTCGAGATATGGCAGGAAGGAGTAAATATGTGCGGCTGGTCCGGACTCTCACTTGGATCTACAGACATTATATAGAGAAAGAATAGAAAGAACAATGAGAATAGACCCCTCACTATCAAGCAGTTGACCCACTTCCTCTTGCCCGATCCAGCAGGCATCCGAAGTTCTCAGGACTAACAGGGGTTCTCTCAGGCAGATCTTGGAGTCCCCAATCAGATTGAATTGCCCTAAAAGAGGGCATCCGTGGATGTATGAGAATCCACATGTGCCGAACACGTCTCTACCTAGGGAAAGTGAGGTACTTCTCAACTAGCTACCTAGCTAACCTTGGAAGATACATAATCACAAGAAAGAAATGCTCAGGTGCTCAATTCTAAAGCCCCTCCTCCAAATGCGTCTTGATCAACTGTGGTCCCACGCGGTATCTCCGTAGCCTTGGTACCGTCTACACATTACAGTCACAGATTACATTCAAGGATGAATACGTTAGCCCCGAAGATGCGAGAGAGATGGAGATTTTTCATTCGATGTCTCACCATCATTCGATGCCCCACCGCCCAAACTTCTTTCTTGGGCAAAAGTACTTCGGCCTCCATCTTCATATGTCCAACTTCCCCGACAGTTCTCAGACCTCTGCATTCCCGTACATTTTTCTTGTCAACATGGAGAAAACAATATTCTTGAAAACCTCTATTCCATACCTGGACTCCCCTACGAAAAGCACGTCGTACGATGAGCTACCTACTTCGCCCCTAGTGTTAGTTGTGGATTCCTATCCCGATAACCTCGTTATCAAATACCTCGTGGCACCTTTTGCCAAACACCTCGTAAAGTAAGCAATAACTACAACCCGGGCTGATGGTTATTAAATTTATTGGAACAGAACCATCTTGGCACTCCTGGCTTTTCTCTTTGGCTCGCTGACGGTGTGCGGCCATTGGAACTCTGAGGAGGTCTGCAGCCTGAGATTTCACTACATGGCATTTCTCATTGCGGTGGGAATCCTTGGCTTAACGGGCTACGCCTATCACCTTCGGCGAACGCTCGAAAAGGAAGGGAGGATTTCGCGAAAGGCTTAACTTGGGTATTCTGGTATTTGGTTACATGGCGTAGGCGCCAATTTAACAATGTCCAAAAATGTCCACTATAATTCGGCCCCGACTCTGCAAGTTGATCGGGGATAACCTTATGCTCAATGTCAGAACTATACTGAAATTGACTAATTGTATTTATCTAAGAAAGCCAGGGAACCCATTGGAGGTTTGAGATTTCACCCAGTCCAAGTAGCTCTTAAGGCCCCCAAAATAGAAGTTCGTGCTGGGTTTCCGCCCCGGGATATTCTGACCGAAGATCCAGCTTGCCGTCGTAGTGAACAATGACCCTTCAATCAGTCGATTGCACAACTCGATCCATGCTGTTTCTGCTTCATCCGACACCTCCATGATCATTGGCTTCCCTTTCGTCACATTTCTTTTCAAAGCACCATTCGCAGTGCCATTGGAAGTGCCACTACCATTGGCAGTCCCGTTGGTAGCCCCGTTGGTAGTACCATTGGCAGTACCATTGGCAAGACCATTCGGTTCTTCCAGCTGAGCCGCGGCAATATTTTCTTCGGCATATTCAATGCATGACATGATGAAATTGATTTCACTTTCAATGACAGGTGGGAAATTGGCAAATGGACCTTGAGGACCGGCAACAATGAACATATTGGGGAAACCTGCGCAGGAGATACTACCAAAAGCCTTAGGACCGTTCTTCCAATGCTCTTGGATCGTCTTTCCATTCCGTCCTGAGATCCTGACCCGCATGTAGTTTCCTTCAATGGCGTCAAACCCAGTAGCAAAAATTAGCGCGTCGAGATGATGGATTGTTCCATCAGCTGTCCGAATGCCTTCCGGAACAATCTGGTCAATCGGTGATTCCTTGAGATCGACCACGTCAACATTCTCGCGATTGAAAATCTCATAGTAGCCGGTGTCACATAGTGGTCGACGGGCATATAGGTCCTTTGGCTTCAGGATTGCTGCCTTGCGGGGATCTTTCACCACTTCGTCGATCTTTCCACGGATGAATTTGCACGCCTCTTCGTTGGCATCTTTGTTGGTGGTGATGTCCCCGAAAGCGCTGAACATAAAACGGAAGCCATTGCCTTGCTCCCAGACCTTTTGGAAAGCTTTCTGCCGCTCCTCGGGGCTAGCATCCATAGTATTGCGTTTGGATTCAACCACGCCAAAACCAACAGTCGATGACCAAACATCATCCCATATTTGTTCGTAGGTAGCATTGACCTTGTCGCGATATTCTTTTGTGACGGGGCGCTGGCCACTCGGAACTGAGTATTGAGGGTGGCGTTGGAAGGAGGTCAGACTTTCAACGATCGGAGCGAGTGCTGTCATAACTTGTATTCCTGTAGATCCATTCCCAATAATGCCGACCCTTTTCCCTTCAAGGTTCAAGTCTTCCGGCCATCGTGCTGTATGGATCAGGTCACCAGCGAACGACGAAAGACCACGGATATCGGGGTAATGAACTTTGGAGAGCAATCCAAGAGAGTTGACCAAATAGCGAGCGCTGATATTCAACTCTTCGGAGCCGGAGCAGGTCACCATCCATCTCTGAGTGTCCTCATTCCATGTCGCCGATGTCATCTCGGTCTCGAACTTCATGTACTTCCGGAGATCATGTTTCTCGACGACGTGCTGGAGGTACCTCAAAATCTCCGGTTGGTAGACATAGTGATGTGACCAGGGGTAGGTTTGCAAGTCTTCCTTGTCCCATGAATATCGGTACAGGTAGCTTTCGGTGTCACTCATGGCACCCGGGTATCTATTCCAATACCAGGTGCCACCAACGTCGCTGGCAACGTCCACACATTTGACAGACAGCCCCATACGCGACAGGCGGTACGTGGAGTAAATTCCTCCCACGCCGGCGCCGACGACGAATGCGTCGATGTTGATGGTTTCCGGCATGTCTCAGATGTCAAACAAGAAGTGCGGTTGGGGATATATTGCGAAAGTGGACTGGCGGTTCGAGTATCCCTCCATCTCTCATCTTATAATAACACTCACTTTGAATGATATTTACCATGCTCGGCCTCATCATCGCGTCCACTCCTCATTCGGAAAGTTGAGGGTGGATCTGACGAAGTGTAGGGAGTTTTGGTTTCTTTGCACATGGCTGGGACACTGCCCGAGATCCTAGACGCTAGCACCCAAAACAAATTACTTTCCAGGTTATTCTGATTAGGCGATTTGCCAATCCTTTATTAACAGGACTGACCTAATGTTGCCTATTTCGGCCTGAACGCGAGAGGTGGGTCGGGTCTGTGGAGTTTCTTATCGCTCCCCCGCATTCCCATTCAGCATAGACGAGTTATGGCTCTAGGCCAAGCTGGGCCTGGAGATTGTATCATATCAGCATACCAGGCCAGATAGGCATTTCCATTTACGTATCGAGCGCGGGGAACACAAACCATTCGAAGTCTATCAAGGTCATGCGCGATGACTTTGATCGATATCCCCGAGCAAGCGCCTTTATCTCTAATACAGAACGAAGATCACACAACAAATCCGTACTTTTCTACGAGTGAATTAGTGTGCAGGCATTCTCAGCCTCGGACTCCCACTTCCCCTCGAATTATCGCACTGCCGCGAAATGCCACGCAGATTCAACGTCCGATTCGCCCCGACCACCCAGGTGTCTGTCCAAAAACCCGTCGCCTGTAACCAGTGTCAATATTCCGAGATAGGCACTTCACCCCAGAGAAGTCGTTCCGGCTGCAAGAACTGCAAGAAACGACGGGTCAAATGCGACGAGACCTTCCCCGTTTGTCTCCGATGCCAGAAACGAGGCACGGTGTGCGAGTCGGAAAGCTCCTTGCCACAATGGCAGTTGGAGATTTCTCCGCTGATTTTGTCCGACATCACCTCGCCTTTACAAGTGCGTCTACTGAGGCACTGGTGTGAGAAAGCTAGCCAGATCATGGTTTTGGATCCAGAATCCAACCCTTTCTCGTTCCCAATCCTTGAATATCTCCACATTTCCCCCTCTCTCATGCCAACTATTCTGAGCATCAGTGCTGCCCATGAGCAGTTTTTCAAAAAGGATTGCCTTGAGACGTGTCTTGAGGAGCGAGGTAAAGCGCTGTTACTTTTGCAAAAGGAGCTGGGTGGACGCCAACAGCCACATCCGATTACGTTTATGAGTGTCTTCATGCTTGGAATTAGCACTCCTTGGATCGATCCCTCGTCTTCCCAATTCGGGTATGAGCACCTCAATGGAGCAAGGGCGTTGATTGAGCTGATTCTAAATCCATCTACAAATACCGACGGCAAATTCGCACAGTTGGCTCTTGGTACATATTTATACTGGGATATGGCGTGCTCATTCCTTTTGGAACCAAATCAACAGTTCACAGTCAGCTCATCGATTCCGAAAGCAGTGGCAAAGATTGCAGGGGACTTTCACCCGATTATGGGCTACTCGGCTGAGATCATGTATACTCTAGCAAATCTAGGGCGATACTGCAGGTCATTCATTGATCTCGGCATCAGAGACAAAGCGCTAGAGGAAGAATTCGAAACACGGTTGCTGGCGTGGCGACCAACTACCAAAAATAAAGAACTCATTCTGTTGGGTAGTTCTTTCCGAAACCACGGCCTGATCAATCTGTACCGAATCTGCGGACGAACAGGTTGTCGAACTGGAGAAGATTCAGACATGGGTAATTACTCACCTGTCGAGAACACTGAAACAGAGAAGATCATCAGGCAATACGCTCTACAGACAGTCAGAGACTTGAGCCTCATCCCCACCCATAACTGGCATACCAATATGCAGGCAATTTCTCTTCTTACTGCAGGATCAGAGCTCACGGCAGATGATCACCGGGAGCGTGATATGGTGGTTGACCGTTTTACTGCTTTGTATTCAATCAACCGCTTACCGGGTAACTTGATGGCGATTGACATTCTGCAAGATGTTTGGCAAGCCCGTGATTTTGAAATTACCATCTCATGGGTACACATCATGCTCCTACGAGGATGGAGGTTAAGCCTTGGTTGATCTTCTCTATGTGCCTCATCTCTACTTATGTATCTACTAAATTGACGAATGTACACGATAATTAACTCTTGATTCTGAGACTCATTTTGCCTTAAGTGTTTCTGTTTCGCAGTATCTTGGGTATTTTTCAGCAAGATCACATTGTATCTGCAAGAGATGCTACTGTAAAAGGAATAACTGAATGAATTAATTGTTAAGGCTGACATAGTATATTACTTTTTCGGGTTATGAATGATCTATTATAAAGTAACCTACGGACTACTTACATGTTAACGACGTCAAATCCGGATAGAAAACTTGGTTGCATATATACTCAATAAACTGGAACAAGTATGTGACAATCGGACAGCAGTCAAAGTACAGCTCGTTCAGCTCGGCAAGCATCCTTGATGATGAGCTCAGCAGCTCGTTCACCAATCGACAAGACTGTGATCATAGGATTGATCGAAGTCATGCAAGGGAATACGCTGGCATCCGCAACGCGAAGATGCTTGACCCCCCTCACCTTAAGAGATGGATCAACAACCGCCATGCGATCGGTCTCAACATTTCCCATCTTTGCAGTACCACATGGGTGGTAGACGGTATTGTGGACCTTCCGGCCGTATTCACAAAGGTCCTCGTCGGAGACAATGTGAGCTCCTGGGGCAATTTCACGCTTGATATACTTTTTGAAGGGTTCGGCCTGGGCCATACGGCGTGCCATCTTTAGCATGAAGAGGTTGCTAGCCTTGTCATATCCCTCCGGATCACTGAAATAGCGCTGGTCGAGCATCGGTTTATCCTTTGGATTGGCTGACTTCAGCCATAGACGGCCAACCGAGGCAGGTCGAGGCGTATACGGAATAACGCAAAAGGCGTTCTTGGGTGTTTCGTAGCCCATAGGCTTGGTATAGGTGTCAAAGGGAACGGTGAACATGTGGAAGAGACTGTCCATAACGTCATTATCATCACCGCGAGCGTTGATCTCCTCACGGCGTAACACCATGACACCCTCGGAGCCCATGGCGATCTGTTCGGGGGAACAGCCTCGTTCAACTCCCACATATACATAGTCTCGGCATGGTCTTGCAGGTTCTCTCCAACACCGGGTATATCATGGATAAGGGGTATTTGATGGGTGGCCAACTGTTCACGCGGGCCAAGGCCAGAAAGCAGCATCAGACGTGGAGTATCGATAGCCCCGGCACATAGCACGATTTCGGACGTTGCCACAAGCGTGTACTCATGCCCAGCTTGGGTTGTTGCGGTGACACCTGTAGCAGTGGTTCCTTGGAACAGGATCCGCGAGACCCATGTGTTCTGTAGGATGGTCAAGTTCGGCCGCTTGACTTCGCCGCGAAGGATTGGGTGAATGTACGCGACACTAGCACTGCTCCGGTGATTATTCTCCGGTGTGTAGGCCATACTGAGAAAGCCACATCCCGTCGTGAGATTGCCGCGCTCTTCTATCTCACGGTTGAAATCGTCGATGTGGGGGTACTCCAAACAATTCGGAGCAGGTCTTTAACCAGTCCTTGACCAACTGACTGCGATGGCGTTCGTCGACCGGTATGATATTGTTGCGGAGCTTGCGCATTAGGCGCAGCATTTCCGCGTGTGTCCAGTTCTCAGCGCCCAGATCTTGCCATCTCTTGCAATCATATGCGAGTGGAGCAAATGAAATCGCACCATTATGGCTAGAACAGCCACCCAACATCTTGGCACGGGAATGGATGATATTGCTGTTTCCTACAAATTTCTCGTGTTACTCGCCAGTTCAACTTTTCTTCTTTCTGCAGCCAAATTAGGGCGTATTCGTACCATAGGGCTGTGGAACAGAACGGTATGAATAATCATACGTGTCGGAACCCCAAAGATCAGCGGCGCCATTGAGGTTGAGAATTTCCTCCTTGCCCAGCTCGCTTTCGCCACCTTCGATCATGAGAATGGTGGCATTGGGCAAATTCTCGGCGAGTCTGTCGGCAATGACACAGCCAGCCGTGCCCCCGCCAACAATGATATAGTCAAATTGGCGTCTGCTGGTGGGTAAATCTTCCACGATCGTGGGTAAGGAGGAATTCATGACGGCAGGGAAAGAGCTCCGGGAATCGAAGAAAGTGAAGTTGGCGACGATAAGCAATGCCAAAGTTGAATCTGGAATTGGTAAGGGTTTAAGTAATTGAAGCAGTCAACCTTCCAAGGTTGGAAACAGCAAGTGTCATGCCATTGACTAGTCAAATCTGCAATTTTTATTTTGTTTTCTTCTATCTAAACCTACCCATATCAGCTGGACTTGAGTGCTTTTTACCCGATTGAGCGATTTAGCGAGAGGACCCATGTGGGAGCCGAACCTCAAGCGCGGCGCATCCCGACGCACGCCATAGGCTGTTCTGGCCGGGATATTTCTCCCCGCTAGTACAGGTCAGGGTATGCGAGCTCGGCAAAAGTCCAGGGACTCATAATTAAAATTAAAGAGCTTGTGGTGGCATATGTTGCTATGTTGTAGTAGCAAAGAGAGTGCAAATACCATGTAAGACAAATCGTATAAGACAAACCTCGGAACTGCGTATCGCTTCCAAGGTTACCTATAGGTATAGGTAGGCCCGGGGAGCTAAGTGCATTACCTAATAGTATTGACGGGCCATGGAGCCCTGGAGATGGAGAAGATAAACGTTCGGGTAATGACTGAGATTGGTATATCTGGACCCATGGCTCTACCGCAACCCCGCGTTTTCCATTAAGCCCTAAGGTTTTGTTGACATACTAATTGCCCAGGTGGGTTCTGGTATCTCCCAACGTCTCGGTATACGGACAAAAATCTAGCTTCCCTTTTCCCTTTTTTCCTTTTTTTACCATTCTTTTCCAAATTCTCCACTTTTTATTATTTCCATTGTTACAATCTCCCCGCGTGTGCGGGGAAACCTTATCCATGGATGGGGCAAGATATGACAAACGCCCGCGTATTCGGGTCAACCTCCTTGCTATCTCCTTGGACTTCTTGACCTTCCTAACCCCTTGCTCTTGTCCCTGTGCTTTGCCTTCTGCTCTTTGTTTCACCAATCGTCCCGATGCCTTCCTTTCGAGTGCGCTTCGCGCCCCAGCGCGCCTACCACCCGGACCAGAATGAGACAACCACAGCCGTACCGAACGAAACTGAGTCCAAGCCAATTCATACTCGCACCCGATCGGGTTGTCGAGGCTGTCGCCAAAGGCGTGTCAAGTGCGATGAGACCTTTCCGGTTTGCTTGCGATGCCGTCGCCGAGGCTCCATCTGTCAACCCGTCCTTCCGGCCTCTCAATGGCAGCCGGAGGTCTGGTGTCCAGGTACAGCGGACCCTCTATCGCAGCTTACCCAGCCAATAAACTTCGATGCGGATGTGAACTTGCGCCTGCTTCAGTACTGGTTTGAGCGCATGTCTCAAATTATGAGTCTTGACCGGGACCGAAATCCGATGTCCTTTCCCATTGTCAAGTATTTGTCTGCCTCGAGTTCACTCGTCTATATCATCCAGTGCGTGAGTGCCGCTCATGAACAGCACTTCCAGCCCTCCCATATGACTGCGAGTCTAGAGGAGCGGAGCAAGGCTTTACGGAATCTTCGCCAGGAACTGCAGTCCCAAAGCTTAAGCTCGCCTCTCTGTTTCCTTGTTATCCTCATGCTGGGTATGTCGTCCTCCTGGATCACTACTCAGCCCACAGACTATGGGCGGGAGCATTTACTAGCCGCCCAGGCTTCTGTCGAAATGACCTTAGAGCAGCAGGACAGAGTGGACGATGATTTGGTGCATCTCGCAATGGGTTTCTATGTTTATTGGGATATGGCCTGTTCCTTTTGCCTGGACATAGCAGATCACCCCCAGATATCTCGAAGTCGGCTGGCTGCATATGTTACAACCGCACGCTCGCGCTTCCACACCATCACATCTCACTCCATTGATCTCTACTTTTTACTCGGGCAACTCGGCCGATATTGTCGTTCAATTGCCGACGGTATGCCACGAGACCTCGTACGCGAGACGACGTTCGAGGCTGAACTGAACTCCTACACTTCGGCGGAAGAGAACCCATTTGCATACCTGCTCGCCGAGGCCTTCCGCAACCACGGCCTTCTCATGCTTTATCGTCTATGTGGCCGGACAGTTCACTTCGCATTGGAGGTGGAAACGGACAGCGAGGAAGGGGCTAGCAAATGTCCGATCCGAGCGCTGGCGTTACGGACTCTGGAAATGTTGTTTATAACACCGATTAACTCGCCATATGTAAACTTGCACACACTCCCATTGCTGAGTGCTGCAGCCGAACTAGAATCAACCGATACTGAGCTGCGTGAGCGGGTGATAGAGCAGCTTCAGGTTGTCTACTCCACGAACCGCATTCCACCGACACTGTGGGTAATCGAACTGCTCCAAGAGCTATGGAATTTACATGACTCTGGGATTGAAATTACCTGGCTAGACCTCATGCTGGTCAAGCAGTGGCGCCTGCGAATTGGCTAGGTAAACCTCTTACAACATACTGCCTCGAAAGTCGCTCAAGAACGCATATCGACATATAAAGAAGTTTTCGGATGTTTACTAGAGCTATCCGTCCGCAATTCATACCAGCGTGACCTTGTCCTCTAGATCCATGAAAACGGCAACATTTGCAAAGTCTTCGCTACACTCAAACGTGATTGTCTGGCCCTTTTTCATCACCATCAGATCACCCTTGCCGAGTGTAAAGCTCTCGCCGCCGTGCACTTCAATACGGATCGTTCCTTGAGTGACGAAAAGGAATTCATCAACTGGCCATGCCAGTGTATCTTTCCCCTTTTCACGCAACATTCCCACCACCACCTTGCCGTCAGTGGACCTATAGATTATCGACTTGGTTCCCGCATACATGGGGAACGGTTGCTCGGGGAAAGATTCCCAGGAGCCATAGGGGACGGTATGGGGTTCTGAAGAACCGGTTTCGTTTCCTTGACCGCGCGGCATGATGCGAATAACGATTTCTGGCTGTTCTTTGAGTGCTTATTAGCAAGGGTTCGATAGTATAGAGCTTCGGGTCATTCCGTACCGGGTGAATGAGCCAACTGTTGGTAGAATGAAAATGTATTCCCGAGAAAGGATGTTCTATTATACAACATACATAAACCCTGGAATATGACTAGGCTTGGTCAGCGCCTCTCCAGTTGACGCGTGTCTGATTTCCCGACTTCGCTTTGACTTCAGATTAGGAAATGAACAGCTACCTACTGCACGCTGTGGCCATCAAGCCTGCTTGGTATTCTGTTTGTCTGCTCATCAAATCAGCCGTCCAGGCGAAGGATAGTAACTCGCGGCACATTCCTAACAAATACAGTAAGCGATAACTCTATCCGTATACCGAATAGAACATTCGCCGAGGGATACGCCGCGGGGTCCAATATCAAACGGTAGATCCACTCAGCCCGCTTGTGTTCCCAATGCGGTAAGCAGCAGATGTATGAGAGAGGCACTCTTGTCCCCGCTCGCACTGGCGTCTCAACCCACCTACCGCGAGAACAAAATAGCCGTAGCTGAAGGTCAAGCTATCACCGTTTTGTTTAGCACCACCTGATTCTTACTCCAGAGAAGACAATCCAAACGGCCCAGGGACTTGGTAATCCGGAGAGCGTCCACCTCAAGTGGGTCTCTCTCCCTGTTGACCAAGGTCTACTGCACGATCTGTGGTGCGACTCCCCTCTGATAAAAGCCACCCTTGAGCCGGACGAGACTTTTTTTTCACTCTCGAATACTTGATTCTCCCAAGACAGCACGAAGCCTTGCCAAAATGTCGAAAATAACAATTTTGGGAGCTGGGTATGACCTACTACCTCGCTATGGCGGAAAACACGCTAATGAATTATATCATTAGAATTACCGGCATGGGAATTGCAAGGCAATTGCCCAAGAACACTGAGGTTACAATCCTAGGTGACTTTTTGCCTGGCGATGCGATGGACCAGCGTTATGTCAGTCAGTGGGCAGGCGCCATCTGGCTAGGCGTTCACGATTCGACTCCGTGGGAGCAGGAGATGCAATTGAACTCTTTTTCCGAGCTCTGGCGAATTGCAGAGCGACACCCTGAATCCGGCATCCGCCAAATTGAAATGACTGAGATCATGGATAACGGTGATCCAGCAAAAGTATGGTACGAAGGGAAGGTTCCTGGTTTCCGCTTCCTGTCTCCTTCAGAAATTCCCGAAGGTGCGAAATTCGGCATGACCTTCCAGACTCTCGTCATTACACCTCCTACGTTCCTTCCCTGGTTCCGACAGCACTTAGAGAAGCAGGGCGTGAAGTTCCTACGTACCTATGTCAAATCCTTGCGCGATTTGAGAGGTATGGGACACGACGTTCTGATCAACGCTACTGGTTTCGGCGCTATGAAGCTGCTTGATGTTGAGGAGAAGCGCATCACTCCCGTGCGGCAGCAGAATATCAGACTCCGCAAGGATGGTTACAACCGGTGTTATATCCGCCGTGGCCCAGACGGATACTACTCCACGGCATTCGCGCGTGGAGATGGCACGATCTATATGGGCGGGATTAAAACCCTTGATGACACCGATTTCGCTTCCTACGAAGACCAGCGCAAAGAGGTTAGTCTTGTCTCCTAGATTGTGGCCTAAGGTTGCGTACTTACAAATATAATTTTAGATTCTGAAACGGCAGCACCATAATCAGCCAGATGTATTCCCTTCACCCAACCCCCCTCGACTACGACATCATTACGGACCATGTGGGTGTTTTCCCCGTTATTGAGCGCCAAAACGGTGGCGTTCGGGTCGAGAAGCAAGTGCTTCATGGGCAGAAGGTTATACATGCATATGGACAGGAAGCCGGTGGGTTTACCTTCAGTTTTGGCCTTGGCCAGCAGGTGTCGAAATACGTACAGGAATACTTGACCGAGCTCCCGAAACCTGCAGAAACGCCTATTCCTAGTAAGCTATGAATTTTCGTTTGTTGAAGAAGCTGGAGGACGTTATTCTTGTATATAGGAATGAATTCGAAATCTTGAAGTGTTCTCAATCTGTAAACGAGTTGAATCATCGGGAAGGGAGTCTCGGCACAAGAACAAATTTCTCACTCTCCTCATGTTCATGCAGACCAGAACTGGTATGTATACCTTTGGTATTAGATGAAAGTCCTCGAAGGCTTTAATTAACTTACCTTACCTAGCGTATAAATAATGTCTTTCTCTTTAGTTATTAAATCCTTAGCGAAATTATGCTATCGTGGGACCATACCTCGGTATTGGAGTCCTATAACTCCTATGGGGCCCCTATGGGGCTATTAGGGTCATGGCGCCAGGATAGGATATAGGAGTAGAACTTCTTTGGTCCCACGGGGGTTGGCAAGGTCTAGTCTGGTCGTCTATAACGCAAATCGCCGACCAAGGCTACCGATGGTTGGGTCTGGAAAGGCTATAACCTAGGCAGCGATGGCAACTCCACATTCGGCATCTTTAGCCAACAAGGGTGTCGGACACCTACTGACACTCAAAAATTGCCGTTCTGGGCGTCGATACGGGTTCCGGAATTACTGAAAATATAGTCCACATCTATGGATCCTTATTTTAGCGCTATCAGTGTTAGTCAAGCTCTATAGCTTCATGGACGCTTACCCTTTTAAGCTTCATGTATTCCATATTGGGAATGGAAGCGAGATTTGTCTCGTCTTATCTTTGCCATTTTAGGTTTCCTTCCCCGCAACCGGATCTTTGGAACCCGTAAAACTTGTTCTTACATTGTACGGGGTACGGAGTACGAGAGTACATGATAACTCTTTAGGTTGTGATCGTAAATGTATGAAATTATTATTATATATAAGTTGGCTTGTTGATGTGCTACATATGAAGCCCAATTCGCAAGATTCCATCGATTGTCCTCCCATACATTGGGAAATTCCATGGCATCCAGAGCGAAAGGAAACATCTCTAACCTGCGAAATTCCTGTGGTATCATCTGTCGAGCCAATATACCTATTTACATCTTTCTCTTGACGTGACGTCCACGGCATTGGGGTTTAAATAACCCACGACAACATGGCCAAACCCGTTCCTCTTATCCCAGAGAAGAAGATTACCGATGACCCGATGATAGAAGCAGATTCCGAACCGGTAGCTGGCGCCATGGATGACCTTGACCTTGAGCGTATGCCAAATCCACTTCATTCTGGCAGAATGGACCATTGTTTCAAATTGAGCACTGCACTGACATCACCTGCTAGAGATGGGCTACGTGCCTCAGATGAAACGAGAGTTTAGTCTGATACAGTTGATCGGCAGCGCATATACTCTGACAAACTCATGGTTGGGCGTGGCTGGAGCATTTACTACGGGAATCACCGCAGCGGGCTCTGCTGGAATCATTTACGGTCTGATCCTGATGTTTATCCTCAACCTCTTTGTCGGAATCTCGTTGAGTGAATTAATCAGCGCGATGCCCAATTCCGGAGGACAATACTATTGGGCAATGAGACTGGCACCGCGCAAGTATGCCCGGTCATTTGCCTACATTACAGGCGTATGCAATTTATTTGCCGCATATTGCACGACAGCGAGTTCATCAATCGCTGTCAGTATGTTTATCTTTGGATCCGTTAAACTGGCTGTACCGGCCTTGTGAGTTTTGGCTTCTTTCTTTTTCCCGCACAATCCAATACTCTCGGACTCCGCAATCATCTAACAAATCTTCCAGTGCACTTTCTGCGTGGCGTGTTTATCTTGGAGCTGTTGCCCTTAACCTTGTTGCCGGCTTGGTAAACATATGGGAGAAGGCTGTCACCAAGAGCGTTCTTGTAGGACTTGTCATCAGTCTTCTGACCTGCGTTCTCATCACAATTGTCCTTCCTGCCACTGCGGTTGCTCATACTGATGCCAAATTCATATTCGGCACCTTAGATCGAAGCAATGGCTGGTCTTCTGATGGCATGGCATTTATTGTGGGGTTGATCAACGCCAATTTCTCATTCGCTGTACTTGATAGTGCGGCACATCTCGCAGAGGAAACACCGGATCCTGCACGAAATGTCCCCAAGGCAATCATGATGACAGTCATTATAGGATTCTTGACTGCCTTTCCGTTTGCCTGTGTCTTAATGTACTGTCTAACCGACTTTGAGAGCGTCGTCAATAGCCCGACCAATGTTCCCATTCTTCAGCTTTTCTACGTTACGTATGGGAACCGCCAGTCAGCGGCATTGACAACCATGGCGTTTGTGACCATCTCTTACATTTGCTCCTCTTTCCGCAGCATGCCTACCAAGCTCGAATGTGTTGGGCTTTCTGTCGGGATAATGGGATGCCTTTTTCAAAATACTGGTCCCATATTGACCCTTCAACACACGTTCCACTCCGAGCTCACATACTTTCCGTGTGCATAGTGTTCGCGATTGGGCTCATTTACATTGCGTCCAGTACAGCTTTCAATAGGTAAGATTCCACAACGCTTTTGCTTAATGTTCGAACTAGCTGACCTATTCAACAAGTCTGATAACTGGCGTCATTGTATTCCCATATCTGACGTATCTGGCCCCAATGATCAGCTCGATTTGGAGAGGCAAAAATCAGCCACGTGGACCGTTCAATCTCGGGATCATAGGCGTGATTTCCAAAGTTATAACGGTGGTCTTCTGCAGTTTTACGGTCATCATGTATTCGTTCCCATATGTGATGCCCGTCACCCCATCAAGTATGTCTCCCACTAAGTCTTTCAAACACACTAAACTGACTCTTATCCTGCAAGACATGAATTATATCACAGTTATCTATGGCATAGCTCTAGTATATGGATTGATTGATTGGTTCGCGCGCGCGCGATACCACTTTAGAGTCCACAAAAGTGAGCCTCGGTCGAGCGAGTTGTGTGAAATCTCGAGATAGTCTGAATGTAAATGCTCATTGTGGCTCCATAATCTCCATAAACTCTGTAGAACTTGATTAGGTCCCCATGCACAATATGGAAAGGGCATCCAAGCAAGGAAGAAAGTCTCAGTTTCTGTGTGGATGACCTCGGAGTTTGCAAGTCTATTCCATACAACCCAAATATTAGACCCACAGCAACATTTTTAACATAATACATAGGTCGGAGAAGGGGATACTTGCAGTCTGCTCACTGTCGCCAATGCCGTCTCCCTCGTAGACTTCTACTTCCTCAACCCAGAGATTGACGCCAGTTGCACCAACCTCGAGCTCGGGGAGGATTACTGCATCGCCGCAGTTGGAGACATTAGCACCTACTTTGGCTACCCAGTCACAACGCCCTTGTCCACTGTGACAACAGCCAGCTTCCCCGCCGTCAATACATCAATTCCCACGGCGACCAGTGATCCGGGGTTCGTCTACACGCCAACCTATCTCCCTACGGCCCCGGACACGCTTACTAACTGCCAACGATACGCCAACTATGACAACACCGCATATAACCTCAACTCTTGCAAGTGAGTTGCGTGGCTGAATGAAGTCACAACGGCCGTTTCCTCGACTGGAACCCTAGTCTCAACACTAATTTGAGCTTATGTGCCATGCAGCCAGGGTACAGTTATTGTGCTATTCTCAATAGTTCTTACAGTAAGTGATCTTGTTTCACCTTTTGCCATTTTTCTCCGGATCTTTCTCTAATGTCACGTCTTTTCTTTTGCAAAAATAGCAACCGGCAGTGACGACACCAGCAGCAGTGACAGCGGACTTGGCTTTCTCTGCTTGTCCCTCAATGCCACCGAGTCTACCACTGTCTCAAACTGCAACTGCTTCACCGGTGTCAATGGCCACGATAAAGGAGGTATGGATGACGACGAACAAAAGAAGTGAAGGAATAGGGCACTCGCATTTCATGATACTGATTTTGCCTAGAATACCAGTGTGCTGATATTGAGGAAGACTTCGATATCACGGAAGCCCAACTCCTTACGTGGAACCCCTGGCTCGGCACAGACTGTGATACAAATCTGTACGCTAATCTTAACACCGATACTCGTACCGTTTGTATTGGGGTGGGTTCGAGCACGTCAACTACTGCTATCACAACCCCTAGGAGTACTACCGCTACTGCTACGTCGGTAGCCCCAACACAAACTGGATACATCTATGGGTGCCAGGAGTTCTTCACCGTCGAGTCTGGAGATGATTGTTCGACAATGGAGACTGAGTTTGGAGTTACTCTTGCCCAACTCTACGAGTGGAATCCCAGCAGTAAGATCCCATCCATGGAAACCCCCCTAGAGATGACTCAAGCTAATTCCGAACTATAGTTGGAAAAACATGTACGAACCTTTGGCTCGGATATGCCTACTGCGTCAAGGGTCCCACGGCCACAGCGAGTAGCTCAGCTCGTGCGCCTACACAGACTGGCATCGCGTCCAATTGCAACGAATAATACACGGTCGTTTCCGGGGACTCGTGCGCGGCGGTTGAGGGTGCGTTCGAAATAACATTTGCGCAGCTGTACGAGTGGAATCCGGTGATTGGGTCAGATTGTCAGTATTTGGATGTTGGCTATGCCATTTGTGTTGGCGTTTCATAGACCTGCACCAAGACCAGAATAGCAGGGAAAGAAAATATTAGTTACAGTAGAGGTAAAGAATGATCAGTAATATACATGATTCTTGTCCAGAAAATACATCGCTCGGGCGTTGGGACCGGTCTCCGCTCAAAAGTGAAAGCCAATGGCCGGTGGCCGTCGATACTCAACGCTCCAATCCCCGTCATCAGTCATGCGTGAGGAGGCTCCAGTCTGCGCCTCACCATATCGAACCTTCATCCAGCCAACCTCATCCAACGTACAGCCGTACACTGGCTCGTGTCCATCGTCTGGCCCCCCCTCCTGCAGCCAACTCTTCGGGGTCCCACTCTGGGGGGCCATTTCCCATTGATCAGAATCACAAATCCAGTAGTATTATACGCTTCCAAGTCCTCGGTCGGTATATCCAGCACAGACTGTAACGCCTCCTGGTCAACCATGATACACAGCCGATATCGGGCCGAGTACGCCCACTCTGCACGTTTGTATGGCACCCCTTGCTCCGTCTCGCAAGCCACCCTCGCCCACTCCTTGAAAGCGTCCCGTATTTGATCAGGCGTGGCCCCGTCAAAGCGGCGCGCGTCTTCTATCACAACAGGCCGAAAGGAATCCAACATGTCGAGCCCATCGTCGCTTTCCAGTTCTGTGCGGACACTGCCCATGAACCGATCGAGAAATTTCGCCCAGTCCGCGTCGCTCTTGTAGGTGGTTCGGTACATGGTGATACCCCAGTAACGGAACCCGTCCGTCTCCAAATTTCTCTCAATGAGGTCAGCCATGTTGTCGCACATTCGACGCCATGGGGTTCTCTTGGAGTCTTTGATGACCATGGTTGCTGATGTGGACGAAAATGACCGAGGTAGTGATTCCCCCCTGACCCGGGGAAATCGTTGAGTCCTTGGCTTAGTGCCCGGATATGGTATTTTCTCTAACCGTGAGGCGAAGACGGCTTGTCCAGTGCAGCACGTAGACAAAGATGCAACGCTAAAGAGTATTCTCGTAGGGGTACTGAACAGGTATGTTGAGCTTCTGAGGAAAGCTCGGGAAGAGAATGAGAACGACATTGAATCATCCGTAGCTTGCCGAGGAAATTAAAGAATTAAATTCAGGTACAGAAACCGGGAAATCGCGATTCACATCCACGCTTGCCCAGGTGGCGCGTTTGATGTCCTGGCCTTGGAGCCTTACTGCCTGAGAGCCTTTTTTGATCTGTGAGCAGACATGTGCAACAGAGCGTCAACTGGGCTACAAAGACTGCCACTATGCAACCTTGGAAGCATCACGCGTGTATTATGTATACTTTGCCGGTATAAAATTTCCTGGTTCCACTAACGCAGTTGAACTCGAAATTTCCAACGCCAGCGAAAATCACCCTCGACGTGGAGCACTTTTTCAAGTCGATCTTCCATCTCTTCTCATGAATAGCCAGCAGGTTCCTGCTAAACCTCGCCAAAGTCCTCACGATATTCTAGCAGGGCGCATCCATGTCTAAGATCTTGTCTATTTATACCAGATTGAAAGAGTTGTGAACTTCAGCATGTGGATCACGAGATACCGAGGACTATCATTGATCGATTGAATCTCTCGAGAGCCCGGTACATTCCAAATCAAGTGAACGTTATATCAATTTCACAGTTGACAAGTGACAGCCTCGAACAACGCATTCGATCAGACACCATCATAGTCAGCGCGCCAAATCTTGACCACCCTGAAGCCAGCCCACTCCAGCAGATCAACCCACTGCTTCTCGGTCCGCTCCAAAGCAGCAAAAATACTCATGATGTTAATATCCAACGACACCGAGAAGCTCGACGCGCCAACCTCAGGCAAGGTATTCTCATTAATCAGCAGCACCGAGTCGTCAGCCATAGCCTCCCGAACACGGGCAAGCGCCAGCAGCGACTGCTTATCCGGCCAGTCATGCAGCACAATACGCAAATAGATTCAGCGGCTGCTCAGTGAACATGTCATACCCGACAACCTCAATGCCATCTTCAATCGACTCCTTGGCATGCTCGATAACATCTGGTAGGTCTTCGAGAACCAGACGACCAGGAATATTGGGGAATTTGCGCTTCAAACCTGCAAGATCGTGTCCCAATCCTCCGCCGATGTCTACTAGCTGGACGCGGTCGTTCGAGGATACACGAGGATTACAATCAGAAGGGGGAAGACCAGGCCATGGGATATGTGGGCGACCACGCAGCGATGAAGTGGCTGTACAGACTGAAGCGTCATCTTGATGATAATAACCGAAATTATGAGCCTGACATTGTACCCGTCAGTCCGCGGCCTCGTGTGCCGTTGTCTATTCTTTTGTAAGTACTTCAACTACGTGGGCCTAGAAGAGGATCCTAGCGTCCTCAGACTGGAGGATAAGCCGCTTGTTGATGCCGCGACCTTGGACTGTACGTCTGTTTCTATGCCACCGTCTATAGTCTTCTCCTCTATAACGCCCATCCTTCCCATTAACAGGGTACTCAAGGATCGCGGAATAATGCTTACACATGACTTTCGCAGCGCCATCCACAATATGTGCTGGACACGGTGCTTCCAAACATCTGAAAGTGGTTTGAGTCACTGATCTTACTCTTAGATCCATAGTCGGTTCGTAACCATTCTAACCAGAATGGCTCATTTCGATATAAAGTAGGTATAGCCTTCTCCTATCAATCCGTTGAAACATCAAAGGGGCTGTAAGAGGAATTGCCGCCAACAATCGTCTCTAATAGCGACAAAAGAAAGATTAAATTTATTACCATAGTGTAGTGCCCGAAAAGATACTTGTTAGGTACCTCAATCGTGGCCGTTCTCATAGTGAATGATTAAGTCGCGGTGAGGTCACTGGGGGTCCCTTCAGGGCAAAAAAAAAAAGAAAAGCCAAAAAAGGATTGCTGAATCATTCAATGTTACTGCGCAGGTGAACGGGCCCGGGGAACTTGAACTTGAACTTCATCACCTAATTATATTTCCTTTACTCCTTTTCTCTGTTTCCTCTGTTTTTCTTATAGGAGTTCATATCCCTTGAAAGCGTGAAGTTCAATCTTCCGCGTCCCCACCATTCCACTTCCTTCCGCTCGATCGCGTCTTAGCCTCCTGCAAACTCTTGAATTGCGCGTAGCGACGCAGACTCAAAAAGCTCCTGGATATCGCTTTCCAGTCCTTTTTCCCTTTTTCTTCTCATCTCTTTTCTTTTCTCATCTCTTCCTTGACACCGACATTCCTGTATAAATCCCCTTCATCTCAATTTCCTCAATTCTGCCGTGCCGGGACCTTCTCGGTCGCATGTGTTCGCAATAGCCGGATCACCACTGTCAAGGATGCTGCCTTCTGATCGCGCCACGGTCTCTGGCGTGTAGCCAACCTCTCACCATGTCACGCGCCTCGGCTGGCTTCGCAGACTTCTTCCCCACCGCCCCATCCGTCCTTCAGCAGAAGCGCTTCAAAACAGCGCAGGAACGACGGAAGTTACATGTCGAGGGTGATCAAAATTCTGAAAGGATCCCGGATTGTCCAGTGTCTCTTGCTCCGAGCACACCAACGACCGTCGATACACCTCCCAAATCCGATACAAACGAGGGAACAGCTCGCACTCCATCGGTCCCCAACGTGTCTGAATTGACCGTTTCCGCCAAGGCGAAAAGCGCGGAGGATAAGACTGGGCTAGCTGCACCCGCCGCAAATCACGTCCCATCACAAATCGATACATTGACACCGCTCACTAACGCGGAATCATCACCCCCTTGCAAATTAACTAGCCCATCACAGCCAAAGATAGCAGGCGGAGGTTCTCCGGGTACTTCTTCCAGGCCGAACCCTGAAATCACCAAATCTTCCATCACTCCAATCCACACCCCTCCGACCCCTCAATCGCAAACCCGACACCTCGAGCTCCGTGTGAGAGGCTGCAAGGTTGTCTATGACCCCGATCTGGACAAGCGGACCTCGTCAAAGGAAAAGCGGAGAAAGCTCGAGTATGTGGACATCGTGAATAATGGCCAATCTGATGCACCGCCCGATCCGCGCCTCGCGATTGCCAATTATACCCGTGGATCCGGCTGCAAGCAGAAAACGAAATATCGACCCGCACCTTACAATTTGAAACCATGGTCATACGACGTGGCAACGAGCATTGGTCCCGGGCCTCCGATCCAGGTCGTGGTGACGGGGTTTGACCCTTTGACCCCGATCGCCCCGATCAGCGCACTTTTCTCGAGCTTTGGAGATGTGGCCGAGATCAAAAACCGCACAGACCCCATCACCGGCCGGTTTCTGGGGATCTGCTCCATCAAATACAAAGATAGCACCTCACCCCGGGGAAATGGCCCAGCATCAGCATCTAGCGCAGCCCGACGTGCGTACTTCGAATGCAAAAAAGAACAACGCATTGGCACGCGCAGGATTAGGGTCGAACTGGACCGCGACGGGATTGTCTCAGATCGAATGGCCGCTAAAGCAGTCGAGTCCCAGCGACAGGCTTCCAAAATCAACCTTCCGCCCGCAAGTGAACCGAGACCCGATGTCCAGATCAAGAAAAGCGAACCACCACCGACTGCGCCCAAAGGTCCCTCGGGCAGATCATCCTTACGGCCGGGGGTCGTTATCCCAGAAGGCCCTAGGGCCGGTGTCCGATCTCCTGTTGTGCAATCATTGGTCGAAGAAACTCCTATCTTGAGTCAGATCAAACGCGATCCATACATTTTCATTGCGCATTGTTACGTCCCGGTTCTCAGCACAACGGTTCCGCACTTGAGGAAGAGACTCAGGCTCTTTGCATACAAGCATATTCGTTGTGACAAAACTGGCTACTATATCATCTTCGAGAACTCGCGGCGGGGTGAGGAGGAAACTGAACGCTGCTACCGACTATGCCACATGCAACCATTGTTCACGTATATCATGAATATGGAGAGCCAGCCCTACGGGAACCCGAACTACGAACGAAGTCCCAGCCCTGAACGCCTTCGCACCGAACGGCGCGACAAAGCCGAAAAGGATCGGGCAAGAAAAGAAGCCGAATTGGATATCGAAGAAGAGAAAAAGCAGCGGGCGCTTGATTTGGATCCATGTCGAGAGGTATTGTCTATGATCATTCGTGACCTGAGGGACAAGCTTCTTGAGGATGTGAAGTCACGCATTGCTGCTCCAGCTCTCTACGACTATTTGGAACCCAGTAAGCATGCATCTAGAAGGGAACGGCTGGGCATTTCGGACCCCGAAGGGACAAAACGATCTGTTTTCCAAATCGACAGCACCCCTGGCTCTCGGGGTGAAATGTCTGCCGGGCGAGATCCCCTCAGATCATCAGGTCTGAATGTCCTTGCTCTTCCTCGTATCCGGAAAGCCCATGGTCTTGACCATGCGGGTGCTGCTTTCCTAGACGAACGGCGCAGGCAACCACTACGAAAGAAAGAAGTCCGACCCTTGTATCATCGCTTGCAGCAGTTGCACGATGATGAAGATTCGGACGACGAGCAGCGCACTCCTGCCACTCAGGATGCCGATGACCGAGAGAGTCGACCCCCTAGTCGCGCAAGTTCAACGTCATCAGAGTTTGAACGGGATGGGGGGTATCGGTCAGACGATCAAGAAGAAGAGCGCAGCGCTCAAGTTATGGACGATTTGGATGCCACAAATGAAATCGGCGATCTTTCTCATGAACTTCAGGTGTCCCCGACAGGCAAGAGAAAGCGACTGGCCGAAGATGACGAAGCACGAAAGCGGCAGCGGCAGGAGGATGAGCTATTTGGCATTGACTCGGAGACAGCCAAGCATGAAGATTTGGCCAAGGATCTGAAGACGCCCGCGGCTATTGGCGATGATCTCGCAGAGAATGGTGACGAATTGGCAACGCACGATCAACCCGCAGACCAATTCACCGAGCATGTCACTCACAAACACCCCGAGGGGATGATGTTTCGGTCAGCGAAACGTGGCAGGCCGAACCTATTGATGAGCCGAGAACAGAAATTGAATGGGGTGTTTCCAAGGATGAGCCCCGCGCCACGGTGGAAGATGATGAAAACATTGTGCTTGATTTGGATGGTTGGCAACACCTGGTCAAGGATGATGAAGACCTGCGATTTTTGCGAGAAGTCCTAGTGGATCAGTCAGAATCCATTATCCAAAATCTTGCTGCATGGGGTTGGAAACAGAAGGAGATCAAAGCTCTCAATGGCCTGGAAACTGGCACGACCCATGACGCTATCAGTATCCCTGGTTATTATGTGCCAAACACCACAGGTGCTGCGCGGACGGAAGGTCGAAAAAGGATTCTTGAGGCAGAAAAGTCCAAATATCTACCCCATCGTATCAAGGTTCAGAAGGCTCGCGAGGAGCGTGAAGCGAATGCCAAGGCAGACCCCCAGGCAGCAGCAGCAGAAGCTGCCAGGATTGCCGCCGCCAAAACAATATCAAAGTCGACATCCCGGTCAACCCGAGTCAACAACCGCCGGCTCATTGCAGATATCAATGCGCAAAAACAGGCCCTTCCCACTGCGAATGGCGAAGGAGACGTTCTTCGATTTAATCAGCTCAAAAAACGCAAGAAACCTGTGCGCTTCGCTCGCTCTGCTATTCACAATTGGGGCTTGTATGCTGAGGAAAACATCACTGCCAATGATATGATCATCGAGTATGTTGGTGAGAAAGTGCGTCAGCAGGTCGCCGATATGAGAGAAAGACGATACCTGAAGAGCGGGATCGGCAGCAGTTATCTATTCCGAATCGATGAAAACACCGTCATCGATGCCACAAAGAGAGGAGGAATTGCCCGATTCATCAATCACAGCTGTACACCCAACTGCACTGCTAAAATCATCAAGGTTGATGGCAGCAAACGGATTGTGATTTACGCGCTCAGGGATATCGAAAGAGGTTTGTGAACCGCGCTCACTATGCAAGTAAACACAGGCTAACAAAATTTATCAGATGAGGAGCTAACTTACGACTACAAATTCGAAAGAGAGTGGGACAGCGATGACCGAATCCCCTGCCTCTGTGGTTCAACGGGCTGCAAAGGATTCCTCAATTAAGCCCGCTTTCCGAGATCTATCTAGCAGACTCTTTGGGAGGCATATTGACTCCCTTCTACCGGATGGCGTTGAATCAGGCTGGCGTTTTCAGCGTGGGAGCATTGACGCATTTATCAATGGCAATCGTGATTTCATAAACTACCAACTCTCTTGTACAATATACCAATTCGAAAAGTATTTCGCCTGTTTCTGTTTCGAGTCATGGCCCGGAGCAAATTCCTTTTAGAAACCAATGTGAGAGCGTAGATGTGTCAAATTCCAAAGAACTCGACTCGAGTATCTGATAACCCTGGTGCCACTGCATAGGGTCCTCTTTCGAAGAAGGGAAAGGAAAGGAGAGACTGAGAGACTGGTTCCCAAAGACCGGTTCCTAGCCCTTGGGTATCGATTTGCGAAGCAATTTGGGAGAAAAGCGCATGTGGGATTGTGTTATTCAGACTGGAAAGATAGCAGCAATTAGCGAAACGGATACGGTCAAAACAAAAAGATAATGTTTCTCACCAAGGTGGCTTGGAAGCAGGAAGTTCGCAATTCCTTCCTTAATCATATATGAATGACCGCAGTTCCCGCAGGTCAATTTCCCTTCTGTGACCTGCGTCTCAAGTAGCAACCGGTGCAAGTCCCTCAATGTCTGCTCATTCTCGAGAGCATCGCCCTCGGGTTTCGAATCCGGAAGACTTGGGAATCCCAGCTAAGATCGCAAGAGTTAGGTTATTTGTAATTGTCGGTGAATTACCCAGGTGACTGTCGGTGGACAAAACCCGGGTTTTGATCTTCATACCTCGTTGGAAATGGTGCGCAGGGCTTCCCAGTCAATTCGGGGAAGGATGTTGCGGATGAATTCGGGCTGGAAATCCAATTCTTGTTGCTCGAGCTCGGCATCCTGGAAATGTAATGGGAATGATGCCGGTGATGTCTTGCATTCCTTCACGGCGCATGTCACGAAATTGGCGGTGATCACTTTCATTGTGGTGGTTTTGGGGTGATTCTTGATGGATTATCGACGGGAAGATTCTGGGATTGTTGCTCGAGTATTTGGATATTGATTTAGGTCTAGACAGAAGACCAATTTAAAGGATAGTGAACAACGTCGGTGGTCCCTCTGAGGGAGAAAAAAATAAGAGCCCCACGGCTTATCAGATATCATGTGATCGATATGGATACCCGGACTACCCCAGCCCATACCAGTTGATGTTTACTTGAAAATCTACTAGATTCAGACTGGAAGCTTTGATTAGCTTTGATTAGCCCTGATTAGCTAGTATTCAGTTCAGGTCCTTCTAGGCAGATTATTTGATCTGGACATCCACCAGATCTAGATTGTCAATGTCATAGTCGCCAAGAGATGAATCAGGGTCGAGTTTATCCCCATCAAACAGCAGGAAGATATCATGGCCCACAGAAATATTTTGTTTATTTCGAAACGCAGATATGAGCCGGGAGATCAGGGTCGTTTGTCTTGCTTTGATTCTGAAATCGTCGTATCCAGGACTCCTCAGAATAAGTTTCATTGGCTCACCCTGGTCATCTTCTGGGGATTGCGACTTTGTAGGGGGGTTGTCACTATCGGGCGAAGTAATTCGCTGATTGACCGGAAGAGGTAAATCGGTAACCGCTTCCATATGTACGCGCAGCTCTTTCTGGTCTGCAAAGGAATCATCATCAATGCCAGGGATCGCCGCAGAGTTCTTCCCTGTTTCTATGCCTAGACTTCTGCAAGTCGTCACGTCGAATAGACGTCGGCCCTTCCAGGTCAGGTAGATGGATGCCTGTATATGGGGTTCAAAATTTTGGCGATTGCACCATGCCAACCGCACATCCCTTAGTCGCTGTGACATTTTTCGATGGACGAGTAATGGCTTGGTGTTTGCAATTTCAGATGTGATCATGATTTGGACAACCGGGTCATCTGCTGGAACTTCCGGCGGTTGAACGGGCTGAGCAGGTTGAACAGGTCGAGGGCTTCGAGTTTCCGAGTCATCAGCTAGGACAATCACTGGTTGAACAGGTAGAGCGCCGAGTGGTTCCGGACCACTGAGTTTCTGTGGTGACTGGGACAAGTGGTTTTCTGGGATGTCACTTTTGGTTGTCTCGCGTTGTTTGACTGACTTGACTGACTCGGGCGAGGAATCATGCGAGGAACCCGTGAGCTCTTGTGCCTCAGATAGCACAATTTTATCGGTATCAACCTCGCGAGTCACATCCCGCAGCAGACCGCTATCGCTGCGCTCTTTCCCCTTTTCCCTAGAAAGCCGGCGCCGCTTTTTTTGCTTCGGGTCTTCGTTATCTTTGGTATCTTCGGTATGTTCTGGGATTTCCGGTGATTTCGGCTTCTGGTGTGCTTCACGGTTCGCAGCAATGATATCAGAGTACGTTTGTTCTGAGCGCCGATAGAAATCAGTGCTGGTTTCCCCCGTATTCTTGATTGCCCACGAGGGCTTTTTGAAAAAGCTCATGACTCGGAGCCGAAATTGGAAAGTTAGAAATCCAAGTATAGTAGGTTGACGGAATGGATTTTAGAAGTGACTCGGCAGGCACCTGATGATAATCAGCGATATGTTAGTGAGAGAGTGAGATGTGCGACATGAAGGCCTGGGCATAAGCCAAACAATTGGCAGTTAGGGTGGAAGGAAAATGTATCGCATCTTCTAGACTTGGGATAGATACAGTGGGACCTCAGATGACACCGTCTTTCTTACCGCCCACTGGAAATGTACTAGCGCGCTTTATAACCAGTGTAATATTTGCCAATATAAGACATGTCTCCTCTTGATTTCTTACCAATTGAGCTCAGATAGCTATGACTAACGCATATCTTCTAATATCCAGCCTTTTCAGTCAATTTCAAGGCCGCTTCCAAAGGTATAAAAGGTATACTATTTTATGACTGGCAATACCGGCAGAATGTAATGGCGGTGTCCGATTTTCCTCCGAAGACTTATCAGCAGATCCCGCCCCGCTTGCGATAGTTCATCTCCCTCACCGCCTTCCCGGTATCTCACTTGCGAATGCTTCATCCCTCCGCCTACTTCAAAACACATCTCAATCAGGTATGTCTCCCCATTTCCCCTTGAACTTTTCTCTGGCTGACATTTGATAAATTATAGATCATACCATCGACATGGAGAACGCCCCAGCCTCCGAAGGGAAAGACCCCTCCCTCTTTTTGAGTGAGATCATCGGCGCGCCGGTGATCGTGAAGTTGAATTCCGGAGTGGTATACAAGGGTATGGACTCTTCTTCTAATTCCTACTGGTTTTACGTCTAATGCGCCTATAGGTGAATTGCAATCGGTTGATGGCTACATGAACATTGCCCTCGAAAAGACGGAGGAATATGTGAACGGAAAACTACGACGAAGCTACGGGGACGCTTTCGTGCGCGGAAATAATGGTTTGTCAAGCCTTTCTTGTCTTCCAATCCTATGATGGGCGCAACGGATTTCTGACCAGAGCCTACAGTACTCTACATCTCTTCCAGTTGATCCGAGAATACACTGTTCGATGTTATTGATTGTGCCCGCCTACGAGAACCTGCAGGTGGATAAGAAAGACACTCTTTGAGTGTAATCGCAATGATTTGGAACTTCTAGCTAGGAGGACAGAATACAAGCCTAGTTGGTGATTGACCAACTCTTCTTATGGTGCTGTTTACCAGACTCGCGAGCCTGGGGTTATGGAGGCTATGTGCCTGGGGGTTACTTTTTCATATTGCTTTGTATTGAGCTCAACATTGGAGCTCTTGACTATAAGCTCATCAATTGTTGCCCAGGCTGCTTGGTAATTTTCTGGTGATGCGGCGATGTGCCAATTGGCCTCGTATTTTAATGCAAGTACAGTCACACAGTAATACATGACATTTGACCCTGCAATGACTTAGTTATCCTACCTACATACCTAGGTACATTACAACAGTACGTTGAAGGTACGTTCCTGGGAATGTTGTACTATATTATACCCCGCCGAAGATCCATTAGGCATTGATTAAGTAAGCTGTCCCAAGTCCCCGCGGCAGTTAAGGTTCTTTCCTCGCGCCTCTCTCAGGACTTACAGAACTTTTGACCGTCGCCTACGAAGATGTTACAGGCAATCAAGTTCAGCAAGGGCAACCTTGAGATCCTGGATCAGTTACAGCTTCCCTTCGTCGAAGAATACATTCCCATTCGGACTACAGAAGATGGATGGCACGCCATCAAAGATATGAAAGTTCGAGGGGCACCTGCTATCGCTATCGTCGCAATGCTTGCCCTCGCCTCGGAACTAACCTCTGCTGTGGATAGCGACAAGCTCCCAAAATTACCAGAAGAGGTGTGCCAATATATCACAGAGAAGCTTGCTTATCTGGTGACGAGTAGGCCAACTGCCGTCAATCTCGCTGATGCTGCGCGCAAGCTGGAGGCCGTGGTGACCGATCGCACGAACGTACCGGGTTCTACCGGCCACGAAGTCGCGACCGCGTTTATTCAGGCGGCAGAGGATATGATGGGAAAGGACCTCGAGGATAACAAGAGAATTGGGCACAATGGCGCAGAATGGATCGCCGTTCATGCGGCCAAAGGGAATTCAGAAGTTGCTGTGTTGACTCACTGCAACGCTGGGTAGGGCTGATTCACTGCGTTATCCGTTATCCGTCGTATGTTGTCACTAACCCTAAATCACTAGCTCTCTCGCCACTTCTGGATATGGAACCGCATTGGGCGTGGTTCGTTCGCTGGCCGAGAAGAACATCCTACGTCACGCTTATTGCACAGAGACCAGGCCCTACAACCAGGGATCTCGCCTTACAGCCTTCGAGTTGGTTCACGATAAGATTCCGGCTACGCTCATCACAGATTCTATGGCAGCCGCTTTGCTCGCAGATACCAAAGTGGGAGTGAATGCAATTGTGGTGGGAGCTGATAGGGTAGCAGCCAATGGTGACACGGCCAACAAAATCGGCACATATGCCCTGGCTGTCTTGGCAAAGTACCATGGTGTCAAGTTCCTCGTTGCAGCGCCACGCACGACAATCGATATGGCCACAGCATCAGGAAAGGACATTGTCATTGAGCAACGTGCAGCATCCGAGGTGACCAGCATCAAAGGTCCCCGTGCGGGCTCTGAGGCCACCGACCAGATTGCGATTGAGACCGTGAAAATTGCCGCGCCTGGGATCAATGTCTGGAACCCGGCATTTGACATTACTCCTGCGAGTCTGATAGATGGGATTATCACAGAGGTTGGAGTTGTAGAGAAGGGAGCCGATGAGAAGTATCACTTGGGTGGACTATTCGATGGCTCTACTTTGTGATCCTGGTCTGTGCATGGTTGACGAGGGTCTGTTTTGTCGACAGACGTAGCCTCCGCTGCAGCAGTACCCTGCTTTTCGAAAGATGCCAAGAGTTCATCAACTTGGCTTTCAATTGCGTTGAGTTGATTTTCCAGGGCCGAGGCAGTCATTTCACCCCTAGGTATATGATGTCAATATCATGAATTCACTTTATGTAAACTATAAGTGGACTCACGTACTTTGCAAGATCTGCGAGTGCCTATATGATAAGTTAGCTGTGGTGTAGAGAGGAGGGGATGTAAGAGGGATAACGCTGCCTAGCAGCATAGTGTCGGTTCCGGATGATGAGGGAGGGGAGGGGGACTTACTTTCGACAGATCAAAGTCTGCGTCCGGTCCGGACATGATGAGTGTTTGTGGTTTATTGCTGAGTACGAGGAAGTTTTGAAGACAAGATCGTCCGCGCGCTTTGCAGGTGACGAGCGGTATGCGGGATGAGGCCCCGGGGCCCATTGACACGATTAGTCAGCCCGAACCCGAGATAGACTTCCCCGATAAGAAAAGAAAAAAAAACCTCTTCACTATTATCACCATCTACATCTCGTCATCATGGGTGTCCAAAAGAAGACTCGCAAGTTTGCGCTGGCCAAGAGAGCCATTTCCATGCGCGACAATCGCCTGTTCGTTGCAATCACGAAACCTAGTCTGTTGCGCCTTGCTAACATCGGTTATAGGAAGCAAAACCAAGATAAGACAGAGAAAGGCAAAGAGACAAAGAAGGATGATCTCGTCAGAGAGGCGTAAGTACACCATATATGTACTACCGAAAGAATCGTACTGACAAGTTCGTTTCTAGCCCCCAAGCTCCTTCGTCAATGTTCTTCCAGTTCAACACGGCCCTTGCCCCCCCATACTCAGTGCTGGTTGATACCAATTTCATCTCCCACACCATTCAGCACAAGCTCGAGGTCATTCCGACCATGCTCGATTGCTTGTACGCCAAATGTATCCCTATCGTCACCGATTGCGTCCTTGCCGAGTTGGAGAAGCTAGGCCCGAAATACCGACTTGCTCTGCGTGTAGCCAAGGACCCCCGGTTTGAGCGAGTCAAGTGCGATCACAAGGGAACATATGCCGATGACTGTCTGGTCGACCGCGTCATTAAGCACCGTGTCTACATTGTCGCCACAAATGATCGTGATCTCAAGAGACGTATTCGGTATGTAACCTACATTTTGACCCCATTTCGCTCTACCAGCCAAATTCTAACAACACAATAGCAAGATTCCTGGAGCACCCATCATGAGTGTCGCTCGCGGCAAATATGTGATTGAACGACTTCCCGATGCCCCCGAAAAATGAGCGACTTGAACGATCTATTTCCGTCGTCTATCGCTATTGCGACCATCCACATGATACCCACAAAAATATCCGTTTCTTTCTTTGCTAGAAAGTTGTAAAATAACATATCAAACAATTTTCGCCTCCAGACACCGGGCAAGGAACCGACCACAACACGCAAGACCGCATGACCAATTTATGCTGTCAATTGCCCGTATCCGATCAAACAAAACGACTGCGCTGAGGACCAGCAGCATCACTCCTCCCAGGGCTGGTTCTAGTACTTTAAACCTATGTGCCAATGGAATGAATCATTTGAAGGACCCGGGGCTTCTCAGGCAAGGTTATACAATGGCACATTCATGTCTTCTCCATCTATGATGACCACAATACAAATGTCCTGTAATCTACAAAGACGCATGGATGTCAAATCCTTAGCTGATTATAGCCATTTATCTGAGGGCTCGTGAGCCGTGCGGTCTTTGCGAAGCACGTAGTGCATTGGCTTGCAATGTATATTGACATTTGTTAACCATATGTTTCTATCAATTGATGAACCGCATGCCGGACAAGACGAGTGTTGGCAAAGCTCTGGACGATCTTCTGTCGCGACATCATTATGTGTAGTGGTGGTAAATCCGCAAGTAGTGAGCTGGATTCAACCAAGTCATCACCAGGAGCTGCGATATCGACGAGCTGCTTCAGTATTCGTAAAGAGTACAGTCCAGCTTGCATTTGGGCAAGAAGGTGAATGTCCGCCCATTTAGTACTTTGCGCCATATATCCATTTGTAAGAAAGCTCTCTAATTCCTTCGCACTAGGAACTGTGGTTTTGCCGGTTCCATCACGATAGATATCGGAAAGAACAAACAAAAACCAGAAGCTCTCCGCTGCCAGACCATCGTCAAAGGTAGAATGTGCAAGGGCAAGACGTCTTCGGAGGAGTTCCAGGTCAGAGGTCACAGTCTTTGTTCCGCTTAAAGCGATCTCCTCGGCCACGATCCTTCCACCTCTGCGAACGAATTCATGAACAACCGGGAAGCGCTTGGAAGCAGGACGGGAAATGTTGAAAAACGAGTACCCAAGAGACCTATATGTTCGGCCTTGTTCCCAGGCACATCGCCTAGAAGAGTCTTCGTTCAGAATGCCGAGATAGACGTACGGCTGTTCATCCACGCAGTATATATCAGGAAGTTCGTACTGCCAAAATAACTCTGATACTCTCGGATCCAATGATTGCATGGACTGCGCTGCTTCACGTATCACCTCATTATCGGCGGTCTCGTGTTGATACTCTCGAAGAAACTCCAGATATTCAGAGGAGAGCTGAGTCGCCTTACTGCTCTCCTTAGATATCCGGGCAAGTTCAGCAAAACGCAGGTGAGCATTTCTTTGCAATTCGTAAGCAAACCACTGAACGCTTGGAATCCCTAACCGGCCAGATAGCGAATGAGGACAGATTCTCAGCCCCCAGATATCTGGCTCGGCCGGATCCCAGACACCCGAGGACGTTTGCACCGAGTCTAAAAACAAGACTGCGCCGTGCTGGCCAAGATCGTGAAGTAGGAGGTCCGAGTCATCTGTCAACACTGCACAGCCGGTAAGTTTTGCCACACGGGCACACTCGACATCTGCTTCTCCTGGCACCATGACTGTGATGTCGGCCCAGGGGTAATCAGTATCCGCGACAAGACAGCTGATATCATCATCAACGTCTTTCCGGATTTGTTCCTTATTCCATCGGCTGCGCAGGTCCTCAAAGACCGCCGATACCATGAAGGGATTCTCTGGAAGACCTTTCCGTCGCTGAGGCAAGCCCCGACTGCACCAGACCTGCCCTCGTTTAGTCGGGATCACATCGCGACATTTGGGCGTTGCAGGCAGAGAGAGGTTCCGACGAGCCAACTCCAGTCGATGTCGTGACTTTTCAATTCTGGAAAAGCGAACTTCTCGCTTGGAGACAGGCAAGGCACCATCGAAGCAAATCTTATGTCTAAAGAACAGAGAGAGAAAAGAAAAATGATAATCAGACGATAGCTGTGTTTCAGACTGGTGAGAGGGCTTACATTTTAACACCCAGTCTGGTTAATTCAAGAAGGAGGCTGCTCACCCCACGACTGATTTCATCGCAGGTTGCCTGGTAATCAAGGACATCGCTGTTTGGGTCCATCCAGCCTAGGAGTCGACGGTAGACATGATATACTAGACTGGGCCCGTCAATGACAACGGCTTGGACTTGTGGAAGTCCTGAATCGGTTGCCCTCCCATCTAACAAGACACTTTCGGCATATGGGAGCAGGTGCCTGGTTAAGTGAGGGATCCCCATAGCCAAATGCGTGTTAATGCCCTTCTGGTTGTGGGTTGTGGATTATTTTCTTAGGGAAAAATTCGTATTAGTCAGGGATGATGAGGCGGCGGGAGTTCCAACTTTGGGAAGAGTTTGGGTATTTCTGGTCTCTCCTTAAAATTGAGATATACCAATGGACTTAGAAGCTGCCGAGAAAGAGAAGAAGATGGCATCGAGATAGATAGGATCACTGATCAGCAGAAGTTTGGGAAATTCCTACAAAATCACCAGATTTATAGAACAAAACGCATATATATATATTCAACATAACAAGCATCCATAGATAAGAGAGAAAACGAAAGGCACTGACGCCCTGTGATATTTATCCAGTAGTCCAATTCAAATTACCGAGCAGATCGCAAGAATCCGACCACTCCGCGACAGTAGCCCACCAGCTCAGCCAGGCGCTTTCCCTCCCGCTGTTGCTCAGCTGACCAAGTTGCCAGAGCCTCTTGCAATAGACGATACTGAGGCTCATCTTGAGTAGAGCTGAGACTCACAGTGTCGGCATGGATTTTCAAAAAGACCGCCATCCAAGCATTGACAAGCTCAAAGTCTCTCTTTGACTTCAGGCGAGCAGTAAGGGCAATAACGAAATCGGACAACTCAGAGTGTCCATCACGTACCCGAGGATCCAGTGAACGAATCTCGAGATCTGCCTTGGCCGGAGATAAGGTCTTGAGATGGTCGATGAATGAGTTAAAATCACCAGAATCATGGCCGGATGCCAATGATCGAGTGAAGATAGATTGAGGAGCACTGGGGTTGCCACCATTTTGCAGCTTGGCAATCCGTAATCTTTCGGCTTCGGCGATTTTGGCCACCGATCCCGCATCAGTATCCTCAGTGCCGGGGATTTCCTTGGCGGCCTCGGGCCCACTGGAACCGAGGAGAGAAGGAAGGAAGAACGGAGCCTTCTCGGGTGCCTTGGGAGCTTCCTTGGGGCGATTACGTTCCTGTTATTGAACTGTTAGCTAGGGGACTTGCACTTGGATAGGAATAAACACATACCCGAATAGTGTCAAGGTGAAGCAATGACTGCCATCTGCTCTTGGGGACAAGACTCAGAGTCATCATATCGTGTTGTAGTTGTTCCGTCGCCAGTACTGGGCCCTCTTCCTCATCTTGCTCGGTAGTGTCCGCAAAGGCGGCTTCAATAAGACCAGCACCGCCTTCTCCTGACGTTGCCGGGAGCCCAACGTTCTCAATAACGTTCTCGTCCAGATTCTTGGTCGTCACAGGCATGAAAAGGCTGCGGTTGCTCCAAAGGCTGATGCCAATGCTACCGGCGTGTGCGGTGGCAAGGAATTCACCGGTTGAAGACATGGCCAGAGCGACACAAGTGCTTGAGACTCGGAAGATGTCAATCAAATGCCCGGTGGGCATGTCCCATACGCGTACCACCGAGTCCATGGAGGCAGCAACAATCCATCGTCCATCATTTGAGAAGATGAAATCGTTGACCTGACCCACACATCCCCAGAATTCACGAACGAGCTTTCTGGTCTCGAGGTCAATCACACGGATCGAGAGGTCATCACAACTGAAGGCGACTAATTCGCTCGCCTTGCTATAACGAAGACCAGTAATGGCAGCCATGGGGTGCCAGTCTAGCTCATCAAGGAATTTCCCAGAGAGGAGATCCCAAAACTATATTCCAGCAAAAGGTCAATTTATGAATCCCTAGCAAAAAAGAGGGAATGGCGGGGCGTACCTTCACTTTGCCATCCAGACCACAGCTCACAACGGTTCGGTTCAAGCTGTCAATCATCAAGCCAGTCACAGCTTTGGTGTGTTTAGAAGCTGCAGCGATCGAAACCTGGGCATTGGATTTGGTGGTCCGGCCAGCTGGGGCGCGAGCTGGGAAACTTTGTCGGTGCAAACCTGACTGCATATTGAACATGTCGATAGATCCTCCAGCTGATCCGATGACAGCGAAAGTACCACATTGCGAAACCGTCACACTCTGTGAAGAATGTTAGCAAAAGAGAAAAATTGTTTAATCATATTTAAACTTGCGCACCTTGACTTCTGTTCCATCACTGGTTGCAAATGCCCATCGGCCTGCTTTCTTTTTGCCCCAGAACCAAGTACGTGCGAATTTGTCGCCGCGATGACCAGTAACCACACTTTCCCAGCCGGTTGCATTGGAGGCATCGGCGTTTGTAACCTTCGGGTTCGACCAGATCGGACCAGAAGTGGTGACTCCCATTCCGCCATCACGGTTGAGGCTGCAGGCAATGCATGTGACTTCAGGAGCTTTGAGATCCTCTGAACTTGAGATGTTCGATGGCCCTCCCTTCTTAGCCTTGCGTTCCAAGCTACCTTGCGAGATCTCGGTATGCTGGCTGTCTTTGCGCAGACTAAGCCCCCAGAGACTGCAGTCCTTGCTTGCGCTAAGAAGCCACTTGCCGCCAGACTCGGAACCATCCGAAGATGTCGGCAGGAAATCGAGAGCGCTGATAGCAGCAGAGTGTCCGTTTCTTCTATGAAGAGGTCTGGGAATGGGCGAGAATGGCGTTTCGTCGAAGATCCAAGTCTTTAAAGAATTGTCATCGCCCGATGACACAAGCACCGGCTGTCCATCCAAGAACTCAACACGGTTAGCGCCCATAGGCTTTTCACCACTTGAAACTCGATGGGCTCCGCGAAGAATGCCCGCAATACGACCTCCATTGTTCAAGTCCCAAAGCGTGATATCGCCGCTGCCACTTGACGCTGTGGCCATAACACCTGAGCTGCGGCCATCGTGGCCAGCACCTAGTCCGTCGCCGCGGAAACTGATGGATGTTACCGGGAGACCCCGGGATGATGCGTTCTTGAGAGATAAAACCAGCTGACCTGAGCTCACGTTCTGAATAGCCAAAGCACCGCCCTTATAGGCAATGGCGACAAGTGATAGAGCAGGCGTGGGTTGAATCGCAGTCACAGCCCCAGCATCTGACGATAACGAAGGCAACGTGTGAAGAAGCTTTCCACTGCGAAGGTTCCAGATATCGACCGCTCCGTCCGATCGGCCCACGAATATCTTGTTCAGATAAGTGGGCATATTGCACATTACCCCGGTGTAGATCTTCTCTCCACGAGCGGATTGTGGCCGCAGACTGGCATAGTGCTCGTATGTGTCCGTTTTCCAAACCTCAAGGCCACCAGTCCAGCAACCAACCACCCATGAACCAAAAACCACCAAGCGCTCAATGGGTCCATTCAGATCTGCGGGGCCCTCAAGAACAGCAACTCTTTTGCCGCGCTTGAAAACCCAGACACCTCCAGGGGACTGTGACCGGAGATGGCCCCAAGCTGCGAATACCTTATCCTGCCACGCACATGTTGCCGTAATGATCTCCGGTGTTTGCGGTCGACTCAGGAAGATGAGGTTCAAACCTCGGCGCAAATCATAAGTCTGCAGCGAATGTCCCACGGAGGTTGTGATTTGAAAGGTCGATTTACCTAGGCGCACCGATGTAAAGGGAACGGGCGTTGGCGACACCAATCCTAGCGTCTTTATAGCGACAAGTCAGTTTAGAGAAAACAAGCGATTCAGATGTGTCTCTCAACTTACACGGAAAGGAGCAAAGATTTTGGAGCCACGTGTTCCAGCCTTAACTTGCGATACTCGTTTCTGCCTCTTCGCAAGAGGCAGATCGAAAGTATCGGCCGAAGGCATGCTGATATTGAGGGACACACTGACGACAATGGATATGTCGGAGGGTTCGAAGTAATCAAATTAAACCCCTTAACCTTCCAGACGATAATTCCGTCCTGACGTGAACACCGAGTCAGTCACGAAATGTATCCAAGTAGTCCAAGTCGTCTCACTAGCTTTGTCTTTTTTTTTCCCGATGTTTTTTTTCTGCCCCGCCTAGTCCTGCAGGCCTTAGACCGCCTTCGAGCGGATGATGTACGTTTCATCCGGGTACAGAATACCTTCACATGATGGGATTATGAAGAATATCTCTGGAAATTATTATGACTTGACATGAATTTTGAGTCGCCGTTTATCTTCCGTATATTCTTTCCTCTAAAATAAATTCACTGATCGTCTTATCGGAGACGGCTTGGTCTTATCAAAATGCTATCAAATAGTGGCATGATGTATTGGAGACTTCAGCAAAAAGTATCTGGGTAGATGGGGCAATTGTACTTTTGAATCTAGTATGCCGTACACTATAGGAATACGAGGAAGCCCAATGAATCGAATACACAATTTAGCATAAATTTCCAAGCCCTTCAATCTGATCATGAGCGAAAAGTACAAACTTGAACCAGCGAAAAGGCCGTTCTTTCTCTCCGCCTATGCAAATGCGGAACCCCCCCATCATATATTTGGTAATACAACCTTGGAATCCCAAGAGCTTCCAGGTTCCTCTTGATTGTCGAAGAATTTCTGCTTCCCCATATCGCCCATTTTCATTGATCAAATTTAGCTTGATGCGATCAGAATTGATTTTAAAACACAATACTGTTCAGACAATTGACCCCTCATATGGATAATGCCGCTGAGCGCAGCAACGGCTCTTCTGCCGATGCTGGACCCTTGAGACCTGCTCAACCGAACCTCTCGTCGTCTTCAGCCGATATGGACTCCGATTACAACGACCAGACGCCCACAGGCCCCGTTGCCGAACCTACAGCGGTGTCAACTAAGCCTACGTCACACTCAAAGTCGACCCAAAGCCAATCAGGAAAAGCCGATTCGGGATTTGACCATCGCTCCCTCAGTCGGACGGGACAATCTTCACGCTCTTTAAGCCACGCAGCTAGAAGGTTCAGTGGAAGCACGGCAGCCAGTACTGCTGCAAGCTCTATCAGTGAGGTGGAATCCTGCTCCCTAAGGCCATGGAGGATCGGAGTCTGTGCCTTGGATGTGAAAGCACGCAGCAAACCAAGCCAGAATATCTTGACTCGACTCCAATCGAAAGGCGAATTCGAGGTGATCGTTTTTGGAGACAAGGTTATTCTCGACGAAGCAGTCGAAAATTGGCCGGTGTGTGACTTCTTGGTCGCTTTCTTTTCCGATGGATTCCCCTTGGACAAAGCCATTGCGTATGCTAAACTTCGCAAACCGCTCTGTGTGAATGACCTGCCTATGCAAAAGGTCTTGTGGGATAGGCGGCTCTGCCTGAGAATTCTGGATCACATGGGTGTTCCCACCCCGAAGCGACTGGAGGTCAACCGCGACGGCGGTCCAATTCTAGAATCTGCTGAACTAGGCCAGCATATCTATCGCCTGACTGGCGTGAAGCTCGAAGGCCCAGAGAGCGGAATTGGTGGCGGTGCTCCTCAGACCAAGAATGTCTCAATGTCCGAGGATGGCGAGGCCTTGATTGTTGACGGCAAAGTGTTCAAAAAGCCCTTTGTTGAAAAGCCTGTCAATGGCGAGGACCACAACATTCACATCTACTTCCCCAACGATCAACAGTACGGCGGCGGTGGAAGAAGACTTTTCCGAAAGGTCGGCAACAAAAGCTCAGAATATGACCCCAATCTCACTGTTCCAAGGTCCGTCACCGAGAAGGACGCAAGTTATCTGTACGAGCAGTTCCTCAGGGTGGATAACGCGGAAGATGTCAAAGCCTACACCGTTGGGCCGGACTTTTGTCACGCAGAGACGCGCAAGTCTCCCGTGGTTGACGGCCTCGTTCGGCGCAATACCCACGGGAAGGAAATACGATATATCACGAAACTTGGAAAGGAGGAGGCAATAATCGCATCAAAGATATCAAATGGATTTGGTCAAAGAATTTGTGGCTTTGACATGCTCCGCGTGGGAGACAAAAGTTATGTCATTGATGTCAACGGCTGGAGCTTCGTCAAGGACAACAACGATTATTACGATAAGTGTGCCAACATTCTCAGGGATATTTTCTTGGAAGAAAGACGCAGATGCGAGGGGATATCAGAATCGTCCGAGCCTCCATCGCCGGATATAGGCTCATCCAGAAGGAGCACGGCAGGATCCCATCGCCAAACGCTAAAGACATTGCTGAAGTCTCCTAGCACTTCCAGGCTGTACGGGCCAAGCCCGAAACCTACTGATGCTTCAGAGTCATGTACTCCACCACTGGCGTCATCTGGGGTAGAGGGTACTGATGTTAGCGCTGCTATCAGCAAGTTGAATTCCCGAGAAGCCGCCTCCACTAGTCGTGGATATAGTCCCTCGAACACGAAATCTCCAGCTCTTTCGGTACAGCACGCCAATGACGAAGCCCTTCCCCCTCTTCCTGCTTCCAAACACTCTTGGAAGCTGAAGGGCATGGTGGCGGTGATTCGACACGCAGATCGTACCCCGAAGCAAAAGTTCAAGTTCACATTCCATAGCCAACCTTTTGTGGATTTGTTGAAAGGGCACCAGAACGAGGTGGTGATCAAGGGGGAAGCTGCATTGTCCAGTGTTTCTGATGCCGTCAAGATTGCTATGGAGAAGGGCCTCGAAGACATAGAGAAGCTCAAGTTGCTCCGTACATCCTTAGAGAAGAAGGGCGGTTGGCCTGGTACCAAAGTACAGATCAAGCCAATGTTCCGCAAACGAAAGCCAGAAGAAATGGGAGAACAGGGCCCACTGCAAGCTTCAACTCCACTGTCCGAGGGCAAGCCCTCCGAGGAGCCCCGTGCACCTGTGCCCAATGAGGGTGAAGGACTCACGCCAGAGAACGAAGACCTGCGTAGATCACAGACACGAAGTGATTCCATCTCAGGTGCGACTTTTTCTCGGTTCTCCGCTGCCGAGAATGACTTGATCCTGGACAAACTACAGCTTGTGATCAAGTGGGGCGGCGAGCCAACACATGCCGCGCGTTATCAATCGCAGGATCTTGGAGTGAACATGCGTGATGATCTGAAGCTGATGAACAGGGAGGCGTTGAATAACGTTCGCATATTTACCAGCTCTGAACGTAGAGTGAGCACCAGTGGTGAGTTTAATTTCCTCCTCGAGACCTTCATCAAGCTAATAATATTTCTTATAGCTCAAATATGGGCGTGCTCATTTTTGGACCAGAAGGATATCCCTGAAGACTTGATACAAGTTCGGAAAGATTTGCTTGACGACTCAAATGCCGCCAAGGATGTCATGGATAAAGTCAAGAAAAAGCTGAAATTGCTTCTGCGAGAAGGGTCTGCGCCCTCACAATTTGCTTGGCCCAAGGACAAAAATATTCCAGAACCTTCAGTTGTCCTTGCTAGGGTAGTTGAACTGATGAAGTTCCACCGGAGTGTTATGCGACAAAACTTTGAGAAACTCGACAGCGCACCGTACATCTTCCCAACTTCATCCAATGATCCTGAAATCCCGAGCCAACCAACATCCGTGGACGGATTGGATCCCCCTGACATATCCAACATACAGGGCCGTTGGTGCGCGGGTGAAGATCCTCGACTCTTTAAGGAACGGTGGGAAAAGCTCTTTGCAGAGTTTTGTGACACCGAGAAGGTCGACCCGAGCAAGCTTTCCGAGTTATACGACAGTATGAAGTTCGATGCACTCCACAATAGGCAGTTTTTGGAATGGGTTTTCATGCCACAGGACAGTCCCCGTGACTCCGATGAAGATCAGAAATGCAGGAACGCAGCTAAGGCAGACGCGAGCGCGGAGGGGAAACTTGGCCAGGAATCCGGGAGCGACAAATCCGAAGAGCGTTCAGAAAGCCAGACATTTGCTCATCGCTTTGGGTTGAAGAAGCGCATCCTTGCTTCCGAGTCACTGCCGCACCTTCGGGCACTAGACGATTCATACGATCATTATTTCAAGCTTTTCCCTGGCTCCCAATCCTCCAAGTGCAAAATGGATGAGCGGCTTTCGCAGCTCCGGGAACTGTACAAGCTAGCCAAGGTTTTGTTTGACTACGTGACGCCCCAGGAATATGGTATCACCGACAGCGAGAAACTCGAGATTGGCCTCCTAACATCTCTTCCCCTTCTTCAAGAGATTGTTCGAGATCTAGAGGAGGTGCAGGCTTCGCCGGATGCCAAATCTTTCTTCTACTTTACCAAGGAATCTCATATCTACACCCTCTTGAACTGCATCTTGGAAGGTGGAATTCAAACCAAGATCGCCAGGAGTGCCATCCCAGAACTTGATTATCTTTCTCAGATTTGCTTTGAGCTGTACGAAGCTCGGGACAGTGAATCGGACTCCTACTCTTACTCCATCCGAATCTCAGTCAGCCCTGGTTGTCATGCGTTCGACCCACTTGACGTGCAACTCGATTCCAGGCACTCCATTGGCTGCACCCCACGCCGAAGCCTGACAGCCCATCAGGATTGGAAGGAGGTGATTGAAACGTTGAAGGCGAAGTTCAATACGTAAGTTGCCTGCTGTCTTAACTTTTCTGGACTCTTTATTGATCTCTGCATGCAGTGTGGAACTACCCAAGACCTTCATCGCGGTAAACCTCAGTGACAAGCATAGCCATCATGATGGGAGTTCACCATCGCCTCCACGTGGTCTTTCCCCATCTCAGGAATAAGATCGGTATCCCAGGGACATTGTATTTGTGATAATCTTTTTACTTTATTTTGTGACATATTTGGATCGAGTTGCTTTCTTATGTACCACTGCCTTGTCGAGGCTGTATCATGTATCTAGTAGAACAATGTACCTAGCAAAACGAATATTAGCAATCCCGAATTGGATACGCCCGACATCTACACTTCTATATTCATGCATCATGCATGTATTTCATACCAGGCTATCCTTCCAATCCTAGTCCATATAGATCAAGGCAGTACTGCTAGTACAAGAATCCAACCATATATTTTCTCTCTGTGGTCAACTGGATTAATGATCTATGTGTACATATTATATGTTAATCGATGACCAAGTAATATTTTAATCTCTTGATAGCTAGAAACTCTGTCGTCTTTTTACCCAAGTAGTACGACATAGGTGGAAGTCCGGGTAAGCCGTAAACCCCGCCCTGTCAGCTGTTGGTCTTTTTTTCCCTCACCTACATACTCAGAGATACCAGAGATGTCTGAACCTTTGGCAATCAAAATAGTTGAAAACACCCTGAAATACACATCTCACGCAGGGATTGAATGTTTGGTTGACTTCAACGACATTCTCTGTGTGTTGTCCAACCATGTACCCACGTATAGTGTGCTGTTCTTCCAGAAAACCGAACCAGATGGCCCCAATTCTGAGGACTTTTCTTTGAAAAAGATCGATATCGAGTCCCTACCTGCAGCACTATCTCCGTTTGTGATCAAGATCCCCAGCCACCTTCGACATGAAGATGAACCACCTGTCATCCAAGTTGTGGTATCTAGTGGATCAGGAACGGGGAAAGCCAAGACAATCTTTCAAGATGTTGTACGGCCCCTACTTACATACGTTGGGTTAGAGAATTACGAGCTCTACGAAACACAGTCGGCGCAAACTATCAGCGAGCTCACACGATCGAAATTCCTGGAGCGGGCTCATAATGGCGTCCCTCAGACCATCATCCTTCTTTCTGGTGACGGGGGCCTCATCGACATGCTCGAGGGCTTCTACAAATCCAAGACGGCGATTGGTATATCTCCCAATATTGCGTTGATTCCTTGTGGGACAGGGAATGCCATGGCAAATTCTATTGGATTGCGATCTGGTCCGGTGCCAGGTCTTTCAACACTACTTCGAGGCAGTCCATCTTCTATACCGGTCTTCGCTGCCAAATTCTCACCTGGCAGCCGGCTGGTCATTGATGAAGGTCGTCAGCGAGCCGATATCGACACCGATGTTCACCACACAATATACGGAGCCGTTGTTGCGAGCTGGGGGCTCCATGCTGCATTGGTTGCAGACAGTGATACATTCGAATACCGCAAATTTGGAGTCGATCGTTTTAAGCTGGCTGCAAATGAGCTACTTCATCCTTCGGACGGCACTCCGCCTCACGAATTCAAAGGCAAAATCACATTAACCACCTCGGATGGCCCGGGCGAGGCCCGTTCCCAAGAGGCTGTGGGTGGACTTGAGCACATGTATGCGCTTGCTACACTCGTTCCACGACTTGAGAAGGAGTTCTTGATTTCCCCAGACTCAGTGTCGCTAGATGGACATTTGAGGTTCATCCGCTTCGGCCCCATGTCGGCGGAAGACGCGATGCACTTGATGACTCTAGCCTATCAGGGTGGTCGACATGTGATGGAAGATACGGTCACCTACGCAGACGTTGAGCAAGTTCGAATCGATTTCGAAGAAGACGAGGAGAGGTGGCGACGCGTTTGTATTGATGGGAAGATCGTCGCTGTCGAAAGAAACGGTTGGGTGGAGATTTGTAAACAACCTAGCCGTTTGTTGAACTTGATCAATTAGGTAGAGATTCACTAGATTGCGATCGAAATATATATTAGATTAGAACTGAAGAGTACATTGATATATTGTTCCAAATGTTATAAGTAAGGGCCAGTTCATAGAGTTGTTGATCCCGTAAAGGGAATGTAATCATGTGTTTTCCGTCATCCCCGAGATTGGACCCCCGTAGACCACCACTCTCCACCCATGCCAGCATACGGCATGCGCTAGCAAATGATATTGTTGTCTCGCTAGTCTCTTATCTAGCGCCTTGGAATTTGCTTGATTATAATGGAACAGCCCGTTCGATTCGATGCTGATCACTGCGCGCACCTATTCAGCCTCCCAGACCCCAGACCAAGGCGCAGCACAACCCTGCCATAAAAGGTCGCGATTTCGTACCTTTTCCGGCTGGCAAACAAATCCGCTGGATACAAAGGAAGCGACCAATATGTTGTTAATCCATCAAGTTGGTAGTGTTCGCGTTGGGGAAGTCGTTAGGTGAGACTGGTCCGAACCGTCCCGCAAAGTCTCAAGTCCTTCTGAATCGCTGACAGTAAATCGTCCATCAGATACACGATTACATACACTCCAGCAGCCGACCCGATCTTGCCTATTCCTTCGAATCTTTACGTGAGGGTGAAGAACACATCTGCCATCCCATTGCGCGCCGCATACCTTCATGGTCCGTACACGCTATACGCCGCTTGCTATCCCTCGCATTTTGACCCCAACACCAAATATGAGCGACAGGATCTGGAGGGGACACCGCAGTTTGAGCCCTACCTTAAAGCCGGAGGTGGTTGGGACGCCGTGATCAAGGTGCCGGCTAATCTCCTGGAAGCCCACGACTTTGGCTCTCCGGGTCAAGGTGGACCGGCAAGTGGACAGACCGTTAGCTGGATTGTTGAGATACAATCCCAGGTGATATTCTCAAGTAGCGCAGCGGTGCATTTTGAATTGTTGGTGGGCCGAGATGAAAAATCGCTGGCTTATTTCTCGGGCGGTGCTTGGGGTAGCGGAAATGGCTCTCCGGGGCCTCCGGCGAAGTTACAAGATCACTGGGTGCCTGAAACTAGAGGCAGTCAGGTGCTTGCCTCGAAAGGCGTGTACTCAAAAGCAATCGCTCTACATGTCGACGATACCACTAGTCTATGGAGCAGTCCGCCGTTCCCCTCGGCGAAGCTGGATTCCAAAAGCGCTGACCAGAAGAGTCAAAACTCCCAAGCTTTGTGTGACAATCCAGCGCCGGAGGACTCTACTGAAGCTCCGATGAAGAGCGCCAAGAAGAAGGTTCATCTCGTGTTACTAACACACGGGTTGCACAGCAACCTCGGTGCAGACATGCTCTATTTGAAGGAGAGCATTGATGCAGCCATGAGAAAGTCCAAAAAGGAAGACAGTCATGCTAGGGCTCCCCATGTCAACCCTGTTGATCAGGAAGACCCAACAAGGTATGAACACCCTTTCTGAGTGCTTAAAATTTCTGATCCCTGATTTTGTCGGCAGTAAATCCAGCCATGTTGAGCAGGGGCAAAATAACCGGTGTGACGATAACCACGTCGATGACGATGAAGAGCAAGTTATTGTCAGAGGGTTCTCTGGAAATGCTGTTCGGACTGAACGTGGGATTCAATATCTGGGCAAACGGCTGGCCAAATATGTCCTGCTTCTCACATATCCCGATCAGCCCTATTTCCCTCTGAAGGGCTCAAAGTCGAACCCATTTTCTCGGCCTTTCGGTGCTCCCAAGGAGCGAGCTCAACCTTTTTCTCATTCGGCTGAATCAACCCCTCAAGAGAATGCCCAAGAATTTCAAAGTGAAGACCATGCTTACCAGATTACGAGCATTAGTTTCGTTGGTCATTCTCTTGGGGGGCTGATTCAGACATATGCAATCGCGTATATCCAAAAACACTCGCCCCAGTTCTTTGAGCAAATCAGGCCTGTTAACTTTATTGCTCTTGCAACCCCTTTTCTTGGTCTCAGCAATGAGAATCCAATGTATGTCCGATTTGCATTGGATTTAGGTCTAGTTGGTCGTACCGGCCAGGATCTCGGGCTGAGTTGGACGGCACCGAAAGTTCGAAGTGGCTGGGGGGCCATTATTGCCGGAAGAGGAGAGTCTGCAAAAGAGCCCGGCCATTCAGATCCTGGCTCCAAGCCACTTCTGCGGATTCTTCCCTGTGGTCCTGCCCACGAGGTTCTTAAGAAATTCCAGCATCGTACAGTATACTCGAATGTGGTGAATGATGGGATAGTTCCTCTGCGGACATCTTCTCTTTTGTTCCTAGACTGGAAAGGGTTGGATCGGGTTGAAAAGGCGAGAAGGGACAATGGACTTGTTGGAACTATGGCCGAATGGGGGTGGGCAGAGTTGACAGGCGCCAATTCGAAATCCCCGCGATTCGCTCGCCCCGATGGAGAATCGCCTTTGAGTCTTTCGACAATGGAGGCCGGTCATCAGAATGCGTATTCTGCGACTCAGGTCACCGCAAGGCCCAAAGGCGACACCCTGGATGAGCATACAATCTCTCCGACGCCGGGACAATTTCTAGCACCACCTAGTCGCGTGTCCAACCAGAGAATCCCAGAGGGCGCCGTGAAGGAAAATGGCAGTGCGCCTTCCAGTCCCCTGGACAGCTTCTTTTCGCTATTTCGCCTAAATCAGGGGAAGAACCCCCCCTAATAGCAAGAATGCTAAGATTTATAAACGTAGCCAGACTCTTAGTACTTTTGAGACTGGCGATGGCGATGGCACAATGCCCATTCCTCATGGGCCTTCGTCGCATGAGCACGAAGGAGTGCACACGCCCCCAAAGACAACATTTTTCGAGTCTGCGGGAGACTTGTTGATGCCGCCTTTACCACCCGCGGATTTCATTTTGGACCCTGCCGCGCGACCCCGGACAATCTTCCACGACCGCATCTACCACCCAGGGGATATACCACCCCCTCTACCGACAAAGCGACGCACAATGGCATTTGGTTCGTTACAGGGCAAGCAATCGAAGCCGGAGCCTACTCAGGATCTACCTGCTAGCATCGCGGACAGCGAAAGTGGCCTCAAGGTCGAAGAAAAGATTGCGCGAGCCTATCACCGTGATCTGACTTGGCGTAAAGTTCTTGTTCGACTTGAGCCCGATGCCCACAACAACATTATTGTGCGGCGCATGTTCACCAATGCCTACGGATGGCCTGTTGTGAAACACTTGGTCGATACACATTTCGGCCACACGTCTACTGCAGAAATGGACGATTCTCTGAAGCAAAATGTGGAGTTGGCCAAGTCTCCAGATGTTGGTCCGACTAGTTCGGGTGATGAGGTTGAAGGGCAGTCCGAATCTGTCGATCAAAATTCAGTAAGAAATGCGGACGATTTGCCAAATGTATCCGATCTTCATCTGTCGGAAGACGTACCTTCTGGTCCGAGTGACACCTTACCGGCCGAAGACGAATCGCACATGAGCACCAACGACAGAAGTCTTGTATCGAGGCAGGATTCCGCCCGATGGACTGATCGCGAAGTTGTCGAGGATGACGGCGAGTCCGGCTTCGAAGTGGAAACTAACGCTGGTTTCCGTCACATATAATAGTGCCATCCTGGCTTTCATTGTACATACGGTTCCCTTAGACATATACCCTGTAATTATGCGAGCATTATATTTGTTATATTGAGATTTGAGGTTTCTTCTCCTCCATATCGTATTCAACTAATCCGAGAGGATTTGCGGGGCAGGTAATCAATACTTCAATTCACCTTGGACATGGCTCCAGAACTCCTCCACCATCTCCTTTTGTCCAGCTCCACCTGGAGAACCTCGAACAGCAAGATACTTCCGCCCGTCAAGACGAGCCTCCCAGACTCCCGGGTTGCCGTCTACCATAATGCCCCCGGCTTCAGAGAGGATAACCCACCCGGCGCAGACATCCCAGGACCAGCATCCACCCTCCCAGTACAGATCCAGGGTGCCATCAGCCACAGCACATAAATTCAACGCGGCCGAGCCTAAACTCCGCATCGAGCGCACCATAGCCCCACCGTTTTCCTTAGACTTGCCCAGTTTCTCATATGTCCGAACCTTAGTCTCCCAATTGTTCCCGCTGCGATCCGCACCCCATTCAATAGCAATAAGAGCATTAGCTAGTCCCGACAGGGGCTCGACGTTGTCGCCTTTAAGTGGCAAGCGAGTTTCACGATTGAGGAACGCGCCTTGGCCTCGAATAGCGGAGTAAAGGGTTTTGGTGGAGGGGTTATACACCACCCCCACGGCGGGTATGCGTCCAACAGCGAACCCGAGCGAAACACAGGCAAATGGGAAGCCATGCACGAAGTTCACTGTTCCATCGATGGGGTCTACGATGAACGTAGGGGCATCGGTCAATGGGCGTGCTGGGTCGTAGGTTTCCTCGCCGTGGAATCTGAGAGAATACACATCAGGACCATGCTAGCAGGCACGAAAGAGAAAACACGTACTCGTAGTGTGGGTATTTCTCCCTCAGTGAGGTCGAGATCATGTTTTCGACAGCACGGTCATATTCTGTGACGAGATCGGCACCTACGGGGATCAGCTTTTTTCTCCCTTCTTTTGCTGTTTGTATGGATACAGACTATTCATCTTGGATCCTGTGCCGCTGGTTTCTGGGAGCGCATTGTTGATGATGTCCCCGGCCTTGAAGGCCAATGACACTAGGAAGTCATGAATTTCGTTGAGGTTTGGGTTCTCCATGGTGTAATTGAGATACTGAGATGGTGAACTTGAGTTCTACCTAGGTGTATAGCTGGTTTAAAGGTTGAAGACGGGGAGACGATCTCCGGGAACGCTAGAGGCGGGGCAATTCCAACTACTTTTGAAGGAATAGAGTAACGTCGACATGTAAATTGTTTAAAATGCAGATTGATCAGATGTATTACCTACTACTGAATAACCTCCTCTATTCTTCTTAAGAATTCTATACCTACAAGTAGGACTATGAGTCTTACAAATCGAAAAAGGTCCCTGGAGTATCTCCACGTTTCCAGTGACGTCGAACCCCCCCACTTCCGCCGGAAAAAAAAAATCTTTTGAGATTCGACAGTTTTGGAATTGACGATAACACACACTCAGCCCTTTTTGGCTTGTTGTTTATACTCCAATATGCCGTCCGAACTCGAGGAGGTGCGTAACTGCGGCCTATGATATCGATTATCTCACTCACATTTTTTTATAGCTGGTGGAATTCCTGCACCATGGCAACACCCAAATCAGACAAATCGGTACGGCAACTGCTCTCTCACGACAATATATGATCTAACAGCTCATAGCTTGCGAAAACCTCGTCGGCTTCTCCACGGCTCAGCCTGACTTGTTCAAGCGCCATCAACTCCTACCCGTCCGCGATTTGAAGCTTCTAGCCCGTGATTACATTGTGCGTTATCTGCGATCATGGGGTGCGACTCTCGACTGATATCTTTGTACAGCCAATTGCGAAGAATGCATTGACTATGCTGGTCAACCTGTCTGGCGATGAAGAGGTGCTGAAACTTCTCGCCGAGGATGACAAGTTTATTGAGACCTTGCTTGCGAAATTGACAGTGAGTCATCTCGGATGCCATACCTTTGGATAGTAATGGGACTAACGTGTTTGATCTCAGAATCCCAAGGAGCCCAACGCCGATGAAGTGGCCATGCTTCTGGCCAATCTCGTCAAGTCCGAAACCCTACACAAACTGTTATCCCTCAAGCGCAAAGCCCCCGAATCCGTATCTACCTCCGAAAATGCGATCGATCAGCTGATGGACTGCTTCGTGAAGGGCGCCGAGGGCGCTCTTAACAAGCACGCCAATTATGATTACCTATCGTACGTTTTTGCCGACCTGTCGCAGACGGAAAAGGGCAGAGCCTATTTCACCCAACGCCAGGAGTACGATGACGTGGTCCCCATCACCAAGCTGACGGTCTTCACGGAGCACCGAAGCGATATCCGGAGGAAGGGCGTTGCATCCACAATCAAGAACGTGGCTTTTGAGGTCGATTCGCACCCAATGCTCTTTGACGAGGACGGGGTCAACCTTTTGCCTTACCTGTTACTCCCGCTTGCAGGTCCAGAGGAGCTGTCAGAAGAGGATACGGCGGATATGCTGCCAGATCTCCAACTGTTGCCGCCCGATAAGCAACGAGACAGCGACACCAGCATCATCACCACCCACCTGGAAACCTTGCTTCTCTTGACCACAACTCGTGACGGCCGTGATAAGATGCGAGCGGTCAAGGTTTACCCTTTGATCCGCGAAACTCATCTGCATGTTGAGGATGAGAATGTGACAGAAGCATGCGACCGGTTAGTGCAGGTCCTGATGCGAGACGAGGAAGGTGAAGGCGAAGGGGAGCCCGAACAACCTCAAATCGAGGCGCCTCAGAACGAGGATGAAAAGGTTGTAGAACTGTTTTAGCGATTAGATACCAAATCAATTGTACATATGGAAATGGACACTATACAACACTGTATATTATTCCAACATTGAAAGTTCCGAGGTTGTATATTGTATGTACCTTGTATTCCTTGTATGTAACCTGGAAAGGGAAGATAAATCTGCCGATGTCGGTGGGGCAGCCCACTACGACTTTAGTCCTCCACTAGCTCCGTGATTCTCCCTCTTCTGATTCCTCAATGCCCAGATCGATCTCGAGCTAATGCACGACCTAACCTGAAATACTGAAATACTGAAAGTATTTCATCATCGCCCCCACCATCACGTCGGCCAATATTCCACTGCGGACGCGGAAGCTGTCTTGTCCCTCGGCCTCGAGGCGCAAGTGGCTTCCCGCTGAATCGGATCCAAGTGATTCTAATTTCGATGATTGCCCGAGCGACAATGGAAACTACCCCGAAGTTGACAATCTACCACCCGACGTGAACCCCGACACAGGGATTGTTCAGCGCTTTCGGGCCTTCATGTCGCGCGCCCCTCTTCTTCGCTCGTCGCCCGTCCCCGGGGCACCCTCTTACGGAGCATTGCAAAGCCCAGACGACTCGGAAGAGGATATCTCCATTTCGCGTGGACAGAATGTTCCTCGGGGTTTACAACGAGCGAGCCTCGAAAATGGCGGTGGGAGCTCTTCCAACGTACCAGGATCTACTCCAAGACGATCACATTCCTCTGCCAGGCGACGAAACAGCTTGTACGCAGAGAGACGCAATCGTCGGCCTTCATCCGCCGCGTCCGATATAGGAATGGGTCCTGATTCAAAATACTCGTTTGCCACTGGATTGGCTGTGCCGGGAAACCCGGTGATGCAGGAGACACCGGCGTCTTCGCCATATATGACAAGTGATGATGAAAATGTCGTCGACATTGATGATGATGATTCAAAATCGTCGGCTGAGGATCCTCCGGACAATTCGCCGTATGCCCAAGTACGAGCTTCAGTTCCGGCCACGGATGATATCTCTCTTTCTATTAACAGTAGGCTATCTTCCTGATGCTTTTTTCTGCTTATATCTAAAGTTTTCTAGCACCTCGGATGTGGATTCTTTCTTTATTATTCTCTTTGACGGGGTCCGCCGCCAATCTTTTCTTTTCCTTGCGCTATCCCAGTGTTGCCATTACCCCAATCATTGCCCTTGTTCTAGTCCATCCACTGGGCAAGTTTTGGGATGTGCTTTTCAAACAGGGCGATGACCCTCTGGAGATTTTTGAGAACGGATCCCTTCACCACCGCGAGTTACTCTCCGGTGAGATCGATGCCCCTCCTGTTCCATTGGCGTCCCGAGTCAGACTTTGGTTTGGCCAGGGCCGTTGGAACGAAAAGGAGCATGCTTGCGTCTATATTAGCAGCAACGTTTCTTTTGGATTTGCTTTCGCAACTGATGTTAGTACACCAACGAACTACTCATGACGAAGCTGACCCGGACAGGTTATTGTCGAGCAACATAAATTTTACAACCAAGATGTTCCAATTATATACCAGCTGCTGCTCATCATATCCACCCAGGTTTTGGGATACGCATTCGCGGGTCTAACTCGACGATTCCTCGTGCGGCCATCGGCTATGATCTGGCCGGGAACTCTGATGTCCACTGCAATGTTCTCTACAATGCACAAGTCTGTCAACAAGAAGGCAAATGGGTGGAGCATCTCCCGATATAAATTCTTCGTTGTTGTGTGGGCAGGGGCCTTTGTCTGGTATTTTGTTCCGGGGCTGTTGATGCCTGCTCTAAGTTATTTTAATGTGATCACTTGGTTGGCACCCAAAAATGTGGTGATTTCGAACTTGGTAAGACACTCAGGCCCTTTTCTGCTACTTTGGCTGACTCTCCTAGTTTGGTGTTGCCTCTGGTCTCGGGATGTTCCCCTTGACGTTCGATTGGGCCCAGATTGCCTATATTGGCTCCCCGTTACTCACGCCTTGGTGGGCCGCAGCTAATATCGTGACGGGACTGGTGGTTGTCATCTGGGTAGCCGCCCCGATACTCTGTAAGGTCCCACCCGTCTTCTCTCGTTGACTCTGCTAGCCCCTGCTGACCAAACGAAGATTATAAAAATGTTCTTTTCTCTGCATATATGCCCATAGTTTCAACAGCAGTGTTCGACAATACCGGACGGCCATACAACGTGAGCCGAATCTTGACCGCAGATTTTTTGTTCGATGAAAAGGCCTATCAAGATTACTCCCCAGTCTATCTCCCAATCACCTATGTGCTATCCTACGGTGTGCAGTTTGCCGCTTTGACATCTCTTGTCACTCACACCGTTTGCTGGTATGGGAAGGACATCTGGCATCAGACTAGAAAGGCTTTTGAGGAAAGACGAGATGTGCCAGGCATGGAGACGTACCAGCCGCTTCGTGCAAGCAATGATACAACACGACAGAGTTTTGAATTCCCAAGGACCAGCTCGCATGAACCGAGCCAGGAGATTCCATTGGGAGGGGAGGATGTTCACTGTCGCTTGATGAGGCGCTACAAGGACGCTCCTCTCACGTGGTATCTTCTCGTGTTCATATCTATGCTCGCCATTGCCATATTCACGGTGGAATAGTACGTTTTCCCCTCTCTTTAACCTATTATAGCAGCTGATCCAAGCCTACAGTTATCCAACACACCTACCTTGGTATGGGCTACTCTTGGCTCTTGTTATTACTTGTGTGTTTTTCATCCCAGTCGGCATCATCATGGCCGTCACCAATCAACATAGCAGCCTCTATCTGATCTGCCAACTCCTTTGCGGTATTGTATTCCCGGGAAGGCCTGTAGCGAACATGATTTTTGTGACCTACTCATATATCAGTTCTGCACAAGGGATCAAGTTTTCTTCGGACCTCAAGCTCGGCCATTACATGAAGATCCCACCACGAATTCTGTTTGGCGTCCAGATGATGGCGACTTTGGTCTCAAGTCTGACCCAAATTGGTGTTCTGAACTGGATGTTCACTTTCGTCCCGGGACTTTGTACTCCGGAGGCCATCAATGGTTTCAATTGCCCCATTGCTCGAGTCCATTTCAACGGCAGCATTCTCTGGGGAGTCGTTGGCCCACAGCGCTTCTTTGGCCCAGGAGGGCTATACCGTCCGCTTGTCTGGGCGTTTTTGTTGGGAGCCGTCGCCCCTCTCGGAGCGTGGCTTCTAGGGAGGCACAGAAAGAAGAGCTTCTGGCGTATGGTCAACTTCCCTATCTTGTTTGGCAGTCTGAGCTGGATACCACCTGCAACTGGGCTTAACTTTTCCATCTGGGCCCTTGTATGTTTTGTCTTCAATTATGTGATCCGGCGAAGGAGGACCGCCTGGTGGGAAAAGTACGCAATGACCTTGTCAGCCGCATTGGACTCTGGGTTGGCATTTGCAGTGGTTGTTGTTTTCTTTGCCTTCATTTACCCAGGCTTGGTCGATGGTTTCAAATGGTGGGGTACGGAGATCTATAAACAAGTAAGTCCCTTGATATTCTGGTTGTTTGATGTCTGCTAACTGTGTCAAGGGCTGTGATTGGGTTGCTTGTCCATACAAGCCACTACAACCGGGTCAACGATTCGGTCAGTAAATTTGCATTAATTGAATAAATAGAAATTTTAGTGGAACAGTATGAAACTGTAAATATGCTACATGGGTACCTAGTCAAAGAAAAGCAAGAATAGTCGGCTGCTTGTACTGCCTGTCACTGATGACTTGGGACTTAGACAATATATGTAATTGGCTTGAGGGCATTGTAGAGACATTACAAGTTAGATCAACTACAATGTGTCAATCGTTGTTTTCTTTGTTTCCTTTCCGATTCTATTCTGCTCAATTGTGATTGAAGGTTATTGAGGTATGCCCTGTACAATATAGAGGTGATCTTTTAAGTAAACCTTGGAGCCTCCGGGTGCACGGACCAAACGGCCCGGACACCTCCCCGAGACACGTGATCACATCCGCGGGTCGGGTAAACATTTGCTCCGAGGTCTACCGTCATACCTCCGGTTCAGTGCCTCAGCTCTTTCAAAGTGACTTTCCCATCTCTCACTCTTTTTCAAATCTGCCGCTCCTTGTCGCAACACAAGAGAGGCGATTTTTTACGCATTTCCACTACTGGTGTAATTCGTCGCGTTGTCTTTAACCACTCGTACAACTCTGTTTTGTACGTCGGCAAGATGTCGACTCCAACGAATCCTTCGAATGCTCGCACCCCAACTGGGCCAAATGGTGCCCCGGTGATGAGGATGCGTCGTCCGAAGGCAGCGGATCCACTGGTTCGACCGAAGAGAAGACCTGTCCCCAAACCAGCTGGCGCTGCTCCCGCCGCTCCAGCCCGCAATGGAACAGCCACCAAGGCTCTTCCATCACGACCATCCCAACCCCAGGCGATTTTTCCGTCCGAGCGACCTATGCTTGAGCTTTCAAACAACAACATGGCAGCGAATGGATTCAGCGGTCCTTTGCTTAGCGATAAATACGTGGATTACCCGGTAGTGACAACAAAGCGAGCTCTGATGGAGGGACTGAAACACCACATCGCGCGATTTGCCTCGAAGAAAAGCGTCGACCCACGAGACGAATCACAATTTACACGACCTGTTCGACTCCATCGCCGCGACCCGCGTGCACGAACTCATGACCCAAATGCAGGAAGGTCTGAGATCGATGGCCAGCCGATGGATGAAGCTGAACGCGAAGCCTTTGATGCTCGAAAGGCAGCACGCGAGAAAGAGCGCGCTGAGAACCTTTCTCAAATCGCACCCGCCCTCGGCTCTACCTCGAAACGACCAAATGCCCCTAAGCAGAAGACGCAGCAGGTTTTCAAGTCGGATATGACCCCTGAAGAGATCGCAAGAGCACGGATAAAGTACGAAGAGGCTTTGCCATGGCACCTGGAGGATTTCGACAACCGACACACCTGGGTTGGAAACTACGAAGCAGCTCTGTCCGAAACACATGCAGTCTTTATCCTCGACAACGGAAAGATGAGGATGATTCCGGCCGAAAAGTGGTACAAGTTCAACGCTAAGAGTAACTTCAAGGCTTTGACCATTGATGAAGCAGAGAAATTCATGGCCAAGAGAGTGAAAGACCCTCGATGGTTCATGGAAAAGCAGCAGCAGTTGGAGCAAGAAAAGGAACTGGAAACATACGCCAAGCAGCGCAAAGTTTATGCCGGAAAGCAGGGCACAAGTATCAAGACCGAGGGATTGGAGGCTGGTGAAATGGATTTCGAAGAGGATCGATTTGCCGACGACGAAGAGCATGATGACCTCTTCAATGAGGATGAGGATGCGAAGGATGCCGAAAAGAGGATCAAAGAGGACCAGCTCAAGGCGAATGTTTTCAATCTCAAGGATGAGAAGGAGTACGACGCTGAAGAAATGCGAGAGAAACGTGAACGCGAGGCTCGACGTGTGTTGGGCAAGGGTGTGCGCAAGGCTCTAAAAAGGAGAGAACGGAACTTTGATTACAGCAGCGGTTCGGATGTCAATCCGTACACAGATGAGGAGGTAAGTTTTCACCCCTCTTCGCCAGCAAGTCCAAAGCTAATTTAGACAGAGCTCCGACGACAGCGAAACCGAACGGGCCAAGGAGGAGGAACGGAAGAAGGCAGAAGAAGAAAAGAATCAGAAGGAAGCTCTCTCCTCCAAGGGAACAAATACTCCCTCCGGTCGCCCCAAGCATACGGACGCCCTGAAGAAAGCTTCAGCTGCCGGATCTCGGAAAAGGATTGGATCACCAAACGCTTCCGATGCGAGTGGCACCGATACATCTCGAAAGAAGGCCAAAAGCATGCATCTGTCTACGTCTCAACCCCCATCCCGTCCGATCTCTCCATCCGCTTTGCAGGTATGTACAACCATTCCCCTTTGGCCAATATGTACTGATTTACCTGGGGCAAGAAACGCGTGCGAAACGTTCCTGGTGGCGCTGGATCTGGCAGTGATGTCGACACTGGTGCCGGTTCTGGAGCTGAAATGACCGAGGGTGGCAAGATCAAGAAACTGAAACTCAACCCCCCTACTTCAGTTTCTCGTGGCGGCACCCCACAAGGGTCCCGCGCCGCAAGTCCTTTGCCTCGACCCCCCGGAAGCCGTGCCAACAGCCCCGACGGTCCCAGAGGTCAGTTCTGATCCAAATCTATATTTACAAGAAATAAGCTAACCATCTGCAGGCCCTCGTGTGTCGACTCCAGTTTCTGGAAACCAGACCTTCCCCACGGCCGGAGAAATTCATGCAGCCATCCCAGCATCTGGCATCCTCAGCAGCGACCTCTTGAAGGTTTTCCGTCCTCGTATTGGCGAATCCAAGGAGAACCACCGGAGATTTATTGCCATTGTCAAGGATGTCAGTGTTTACGGAAAAGAGGATCGGATGCTGCGACCTGGTCCCTGGAAGGGCAACTGAGGTTTGCTCAAGGTAGTTCCAAGTTAAAATCAGATGTCGGATGCTTTCCATGTTTTTCACTTTTATTTCCTATCTGTTCATCACTGCCCAGCAGACACCTTGATACCTTGTTTCTTGCCCTGGAATTCTTTAACATGAATATCTCCCGTATGCGATCTATGCTGGTTGTTCACAGTTCATAGTTGAAAATACACCTAATATCCCTACCATGAGCAACCATCCTCTACATATGTACCTATGCAAGACGTACCCTGGGTTGAAACCCTCAGAAACCCTCAGAGAGCAAGGTGAAAGCCCACTGCTACCTGGCTAACTCCATATGGAGGTGTCAAATGTTGATGGCTTGAGGCCAGTCAGTAGTCGGGGTGAGTGAATTCAGTAGAGCGCACCGATCCTCTTTAAATGGAAGTTGGACGGATCCTGCTTAGTGCCTTTAGCGTATGATAACACACTCCATATCCTGGTAGCTGGTGTGTTCGGCTCACGTAGCCCGAGGTCAACATCCCTGTATGATCCCCGTGTAGCTAATCTGATAATGTCCCCGACTCAATAGCAACCACCGAACGCGCATTTCTGGCGAATTATCTCGAATGCCAAATTTGCCTTCTTCAACAATCGGATCCAAGCGAAACGCCCAAGACGATATTGCAAGTCCTCCAGCGCAACGACCTCGTCCTTCTAAAACCGAGTCTCTATTCAACATGTCCCAATCGACAGACAGGAGGCAAGCCCAACCACATTCAATCCAGGCCATTATTCGTGATAATTGCGGGTTACGCCTGTATGTCCCTCCGATAGCATGGACCTCGGACCAACTACGACTTTTGACGTGCCACTTCAACCTCCAGAAAGGGAGAGGAAAACAAGCTCATGATAATGGTGGTAGAGTGACAGACGGCACTACACAGATAAAGCCAGAGAGATGGCGACACAGTCAACTTATGCGCACTGCAACTAAGTTGGCACGGATAAGCACATTGGTGGCCAAGAAGTTCGCTGTTGAAGAAATACTGAATGCTTACGATATTCATATTTCAGAGTAACATATCCCGTGCATTGCGACATTAGTGGTGCTGCTAACAAGTTTCTAGCTACAAATGCCTGTCGTTTTACTTCAACCACCGGCCTGTTGTGAAGCTCGCAACGGACGGTGTCTTCTCAAGCAACTCCGTGACCCCAAGCCTTGCCTACATCACGTTCGATAGTATACAGTCTCTTCGCAAGAAACATGTGTACACGCCACCTTACAGAATGGTCAACGTACCCGGTCTCCGTCTCAGGCAGAAAAAGCTCGATTCTCTTACACCCCAGAATCCCGTCGAAGACCCATACATCGCGGCGATACTGATCGCTTTAGCGCAGGAGCAACGGCGGCGGTTACAGCAGGAAGGATCGCAAGGAGAAGGTGGCAACATCATAACTAAGAATCAGACGAGCCATATGGATGCAGATACCACGAGTACGGCTCGCTCGTCCTCTCCAAGTACAGAGCAAATGGCCTTGAACACAGCAAATTCTTTCAAGGTATGTTCTGCGCAATCTCCGATTTAGTGTGCTGTTTTATTCAACTTAAAAAGGTCCAGGTCCTAGCCCTTTCTGGAGTAGCAGCCGATGCTCTTTACGTCTATACCGCCAACATCCCCTCTGGGTTTCTCGACAAGTTCGATGAGCCGTTGCACTACTCGCCAAGCTGTCCGGTTGCAATAACATATTGTCGTGTCCCGTTGGCAAGCTCAAATCTGTTAAGAAAGTTGCACCGGCTGCTCTGCGCTGGTTCGTGCAGCTTTTGTTCTTGCAATTAGGAACAGCATCCTTGCGCTCCATGATCATTTGCAGTTGTGCCAATGGCAGGATGAACTTGAATTTCTTTTTATCTGTGATACCCTAACTGTCGAACGAATCAGATATTCGACCTGAGATTTATTGATGAAATCGATGATTACAAGAATCAGAGAATTACCAGAATGTGCGCTTTCGTGATAGCAGTGCAGAGTGTTGTGTGAATTAACCGTAACCCATACCTTTACATCGTATACTGGATGGTCTTTGGGTTCTTTTTCTTTTTCTTTTTTTTTTGAAGAAAAAGATCAAATCGTTAGAACATAGACTCTAAATGGCAATTCAAAGAAAGACACAATATCATCATTCCCATTATAAACACAACGAACCAGGAGACGAAGCTGGTTCGGAATCTAAAAACATAAATCACAATCATTACGTCTCAACCCAAGGGAATATTTAGACCCTGGGATCTATATGCGAATACAAAAAGAAAATGCACAGCGCTCTAAAACTGCGAGACCGCAACAGCAACAGCTTGCGAATCACTGTGGCTGATGCTAACGCTGACCTGCTTGACACCCGCCTGCTTGGCAGCGGCGGCGGCAGCACCATGAAGCTGGAGATATGTTAGCATTGTTACTGGAATCATGGGATAAATGGGAAAATCATGCACTTACGTTCACCACCGGAGCGCCGTTGGCATCAACTCCGATCTCAATCTCCTTCAGAGCAGCACCGCCACCCTTGCTGCTGACACCGAGTGACTTGAAGACAGCTTCCTTGGCACTCCAACGGCCTGCAAACGAGGACTGCGGGAGGCGGCCTTGCGGCAGTAGTCTTGTTCACTCTGAGTGAAGTTGCGCTCGACGAAGGTCTCATTCTCAATGTTGACGGAATCGATGTGCTCGACGTCAACACCGATCTTGGAGTTCTCGGCGGCATTGGCCTTGGCGAGGGACTCGAGGGTCTGGCGAGTGCTTTCGGACTCCTTGGTCTCGGGAGCAGTGGCCGAGTACTTGAGCTCGGAGGTCTTCTTGTCGACAGACACGCGGTAGTCGGGGTTCAGGAAGACCTTGCTCTGCAGCTCATCTTCGTAAGGAGCCTTGGTCTTAGCAACGAAGATGCTGTTGTTGATCAGGCCATTGTGGAAGTAGCGGTAGGCCTTCTTCTGGCGAGCCTCGACCTTGGTCTTGTAGGCCTGGTACTGAGCCTGGTCGAGAGTGGCGTACAGGTACTTGGGGTGGATACCAATAACCTGCGCACCCTTCTGACCGAAACCGAAGGAGGTGACGGAGAACGCCTTGACACCGTCGGTCTGGATGCTGCGGCTGGGGTAGACAATGTAGTCGAACTTCTCCATGACCTTGTCAACGTTGTCGGCGTTGCGGTTGCCCGGCACGAGACCGCTCTCCAAGACCTGCAAGCAGCCGTTGAACATCCAGGCACCAGCGGCACCCTTGGGGTGACCAGTGAGGTACTTCTGGAAGATACCCATCACTGCATTACCCTTGGAGCGTCCAAGGTGCTTCATCTGTTGGCAGATGACATCGGACTCGTTCTTGTCGTTTGCGACAGTCGAGGTACCGTGGAAGGATGCGACGTCAATGTCGTCCACTGTGAGACCCCAAGTAGCCATGGCACCACGGAGGGGAGCAATGCGTGGATCCTGCTTCCAGAAGTTGTTACCCAGACTGTATTGGGCATCCTTCTCCTGGCGAATAGCTTCACGCTCAATGTGCTGAGCACGCTCCTGCATGTAATCAGCCTCGTTGAAGGTCTCGTCGCTCTGAGCCTTCATGGCATCAGCCTCCTCCTGGAGGTACAGAAGCTCGGATTCTTGCCATTCCTTGATCTGCTTCTTGCGGAGATCCAATTGACGGCGACGGTACTTGATGTCCAGCAGAGGGGACGGGAACTTGCCGGGGTTCTCGCGGGCGGTGGTCAGGACACCCTGGCCAGGAGCGGGAACGGACCGTCCGATCTTGTCAGTGGCGGTCGTGGTCAGGGCAATGATACCGTGGATGGGCACACCCATGTCGAGAGCAAGCTGTGCGCTCATGATGAGTTGCATACCGCAACCCTGGGACTCCATGAAACCGGCACGGGTGGTGGTAGTGGGTCGTGACATCTCTTGCGGGGTGCGACCGTGAGCGAATTCATCTTCAGCGTTGCTAGTGGCCTTCATGTTGGCAAACTCATAAGAGCCCTCCTCCTGGAAGTCGTCGAAACCACCGACGAAACAAACACGGGCCTTGCCCTCGACAATGGTCTCGTAACCGATATCCACAGACTCCACAGCCGTGGCGCAAGCACCAACGGGAGTCTTGATAGGGCCGGTAGAGGACAACAACAGCATGTTAACCCAGGCGGACATAGTGTTGATGAAGGACTCCTGCAAGATATCCTTTTGCAACGGCTTATCCATGAAGCGATCCTTGTACATACCGCGCAAAGCGTGGGTACCACCAATACCGGAGCCAATGCAGTTACCAACCTCAGACAGGTGGACATACTTGTAGAACTCGTAAGGGTCGGTGATACCGGCGGAAAGCATGGACTCAGCAGTGCAGACCAGAACAAAGAGGGTGACAGGATCCACCTGCTCGATAATATCATCGGGGATACCATAGCGGCTAGCGTCCCAGCCTGTGGGCACCTGACCGGCGACAAGACGATCGAATTGCAGAGCCTTGGGGATGAGCATGGTGGCGCCCTTGCGGAGACGGACGGTGTACTCTCCGGACTCGGGAATCTCGAAGATCTCAACCTTGTCTCCATGCTCACGCTTGAACTCTTCAGCTGTCTCCTTAGAAGACTCGAAAGGTTCGAGGTCCTCCTGGATGACAATTTCTTGAAGGAGCTGCTTCTTCTTAGGATCGTATCCCTTGAACAATTCCGGCTCGATGAGACGGATACCAGTGTGCTCCAAGATGTGCTTCTCATACTTGGGCTTGACATCCTTATCATCAACGGGCTCACCGGTCTTGGCATCAACCCATCCGAGAGTAGGCCTGGCCCTTAAGGGGACCATTGTGGTGTTTGATCAGACCCATGATCCACGCCATCTCAACGCAGCCCTCCAATGAGAACTTGCCCTTGGATTCCATCTCCCATCGGGTACGGGAGTTACCCCAAGGACCGACTTCAGAGAAACCAGTGACAACGACCACCTTGTCCAGGTTGACCATGCCCTTAAGAGACTCGTTGAGGGGCTTGACTTCCTTCTCCCAGTCGGGCAGGTTGGGGAATTCAAACTTGATGTTGGCACGGGGCTCTGCAACAACCTTCTTATAAAGGACTCCGCTGTCTTCGCCGTTGACGACCTTGTGCTCGATAGCGGTCTCCTTGATGACAGCCTGGCGGACGTCGCTGGTCTCCATGATGTCGGTGCGAAGCTTGGTCATCAGACCCTTCAAGTCCGGAATGAATTGCAGACCACCGTTAAGATCCGCAAAGACCGGGTCAAGCTGGCAAAGGTTGACGATGGCCGGAGCCATCAGGCCGAGAAGATTGAAAGCCATCTCCTGCTGGGAGAACGTACGGACGCCCAGCTTCTCGACACCTTCAGCGACCATGTTGTTGCCACTCATCAGACCAGTACCGCGGGTCCAGCCAATGACCGCACCACAGATAGTGAGGTAGTGGCCCCAGTTCTTCGAGTACCAACGGTTGAAGAGAGTCTCCAGAGCAAGTTTGGACTCGGAGTACAAGCCATCGTTACCAAAGGTGCCGTGGTTTGGCGACAGGGGCAAGACAACTTGAGCGGGGCGAGTCTCGAAGCCATGAGCTTGCTTCTGGGTCTTGACCGAGCCCAAAAGACGGAGTAGGTTGGTCAACATGATACGATGAGCAAGCTCGGACTTGGAATCGATAGAGTCGATCTCGCGGCCGTTCTCGGGGATAGCAGCGAAAGGAACGATAAAGTCCAAGTCCCAGCCAAGTCCCTTCTTGGTGTCGTAGATGTAGTCAACCAAAGCCTCAACATCCTGCTTGCTGCCTTGGTTGAACGGCACAACCACCAGCTGGGAACCACGAGCACCGTAACGGGCGTACATGGCCTGGTAGTACTCGGTCACCTCGCGCGAGAAGCGACTAGTAGTGACAATGACCTGAGCACCACCGCTGATCAAACCTTGGAGGACCTCGGCACCGATGGAACCGGCACCGGCACCGGTCATCAGAACGTTCTTGCCCTGGAAGCTGAGACCGTCCTTGGCAGCCGACTCCATCACATTCAGATAGATGCCAGTCAGCTTCTTGTTGTAGTCCCAGCCGTGTTCGGTCTTCTTCTTCAAGTGCAAGAATGGAATGGTCTCCACCTTCCCAGGGCGGGTGGCAGTAGTGCGTTTGGTAGCACTACGGCCGCCCTTCTTGGAGTGGCCGGTCTCCTGGGGGATGATGTGGCTCTCGTTCATGCCGAGAGCATGGACGACGTCCTTGTACAGTGCATCAAACTGGATTTGCGAGGACTTCGAGAGACGATGCTGCTTGCGAATGAGCTTGTAAACATTCTTCAGGTCGTTCTGAACCTTAGTGCGGTTGCTGTACTCGGAGATCGGGCCTCCCTCAGCCATGTGCTTGACGTAATGCTCAAGCTTGCGAGCGCTGGTGCGAGGAACTTCCTTGTATCCAATGTTGCCACGGGCATCAATAGTTGTCTGGGGGCCAGTAGGCACAGCAACGTCCTTGTAGACTGGAGCCACCTCCAACACTTCGCGACAGTTCTCAATCAGCTGCTGTCCAAGTTCTTTGGCAAGCTGGTATGTTTCTCCACGCTCAGCTGGGCAGTTGTCGATGTGATACTGCATAAAGTCGAGGAGGAGGGGGTTGGAGCGGTTCATGATGCGGATACACTGGCTGACAATTTCGCGGTCCACCACCTGCAGGCGACCAAAGATGATATCGTAATACATGCTCAAGGCATCTTGACGAGCCCAGTTCCATGAGGAGTCGTAGACACGGGCCTTCAGCTGATCGAAGGATGGCTCAATGCCGGAAGCGTAGAAATCGCCGTGCTCTGCTTGCCACAAGTCCAACTGAGCCTGCAGCGCTTTCTGGGTTTCTTGAGATGTTACGTAGGCCTTTTCACCACCACGGAGGTCCATCTTGAGGTAGCGGGCAATGATCTCCAGCTGCTGTTTGAACAGAGCTCGTTGGTCCTTGGTCAGGGCATCAATGGCTGCAGGGTCCATGACCATGCCACCACCACCACCGGCGTCACCACCGGCAGCTGGGGTGGAAAGACTGACTCCGGCGCTGGCTGCATACTTGTTGGTTACGTCGTCGAGGTAAGCCTTAGCATCCGCTTCCGATCCAAGACGCGCAGCAGGCTCCATGGTGAGAGCAAGCAGGAGCACACCATCCTGGCGGCCGGATCCCAGACCCCACCGCGTCTCCAGGTATTTTCTAACAGAAGTGATGTTGAAGCCACCGGGCATCTTGGAGGAGACCATTCTGGCGATGAGCGAGGAAGACTGTTTGCCAAGTTGGCCGTTGAATGTGGCTTGCATCGAGGCACCCAACTCATCGAGGGGGACGTCCTCGGGCTTTTCGGGGTGGAACCGAATTCCTTACCCAGGTCACCTAGGATTTCATTTTGTAATGTGGACTTGCCTATTCACATGTTAGACCGAACGAAGGTTATAATTTTGGCCTGTACTTACCTCCAACAAGATCCTTAATGGCTTTTGACAATGGCACATCTGCAAGGCTCTTCTTTAGCTTCTGAGCAACCAGTGTCCGCAGGATATCGACTGCTGTGACTGGGACATCTTCCACTGCGGCAGCGGGGCCTGCACTGGGGGGTGGAGGAGGAGCTCCAGCTGCGGGGGCGGCAGCTGGTGCTGCCCCAGGAGCAGGCGAGGAAGCAGGTTCTGCGGCAGCCTCTGGTTCTTCCTCCACGGGCTCGACATCATAGTAGATCTCATTGGCATCCTTATTATAGCAGAGAATCTGGCGCTGGACTGAAGTGGCAGCATCATAGGCCTCGTACTTGGAGGCAAGCGTCCGTCGCGCCATTCCTCCAAGGGTATCTGCGGGACCGATCTCGACAATGCGCTCGGTGCGCTGTTCGGCGAGGATCACATCTTGGGTCTCAATCCATCGGACGGGGGAGGCGAATTGGTAGGCAAGCAGCTCCACCAACAAGGTGTGAGCCAGCTCTTGTTCAACTTCCGGACGCATGATAGAAGTAATGGGTATCAATTGATTAAACAGAAGGACGAAATTAGGACAAATGTCCGGGTTTGGGGGCGCGACGGAGTCGTCGTAGAGTGCCCAAGCGGAGAAAGGAGTGAGTAGGGGAGGATGACTCGAAGAAAAAGTAATAGGAGAGAATTAGAATAGGAGTCAATCCTATGTATGAAAGGTAATCAGTGAAAGTCCCCAAGACAATTGGATTGATCCAGAAAGAAGAAGGGAAAAAAAAGGTGGGAAAGGAAATGGAGCACGGAGATAGATGTGGTAACAAATAATACCGGTTGGTAATTTTCCAGTTTTATCAACATAGAAATAATGGCAAAAAAGGAAGAAAAAAAGGAACCACTCACCCTATCGACAACGGTAGAATTGTAAAGATGATATTGGGAGAATGAGAAAAGTAATAATGCTGATGATCCCATAAAAATTATCAAGTCATAGGCAGCGATGTTCGGATGAATGGGGAGGGACAAGGTCAAATTGGTGAGGGCGTTGGGGTTCCAGAGCTTCGGCCGAAGGATCTGACACTAAGCAACGATTTGCGGCATTGCGTGGATCATTTTTGATAGCTAGCTGGGGTCAGGGGGGGAATATACGGAGAGATGTTGGAGAGATCCCAACAGCAATCACCAACTCAATGGACTACATATGTATGTAGATTAGATACAGTTAGACTGATATTTGGATATTAATATAGATGTGATACAATGAAAATATCAAAACTAAAACTATAAAAAAACGATATTTCAAGGCTCAATTACAATACAGCGGTAACACAGTGTAACCATTCCCAACGGGTTCAACCCAAGTCAAAACCCATTGGGGCGGGTCTCCTACCACGCTAAACCCTTTTGAGCTGTCTGCAGTTCAACCAGACCTTTTTTTTCTTTCCCCTATTGCTTTCCCCTTCAGGCTCAATTGTGCTCTGGACCTCTTTCCTTATTTCATATTGTATATCTGTTGAAGTTGTGTCCCTTTACTTGTCTTTATTCCTTTGATAATACCCCCCTTCCTTTTTACTTTAGACCTTCAGGACTCAGGTCACCCAGTGAGTTTAACCCCTCGAGATGGTGTTATTGAAATCTAACACAGAATCAGGAAACCCCTCTTCAATTTTAGGGTCCCTCTGGTCTTTTTCTTAATCTCCTATTCCTTTCAACAGAGAGAGAGCCACATCATGTACGGCACATCGACCGGTCCCCAAACCGGTATCAACACCCCTCGATCCTCTCAATCCCTCCGCCCTCTCATCCTCTCGCATGGATCCCTCGAGTTCTCTTTCCTCGTCCCTACCTCGCTTCACTTCCATGCATCGCAGTTGAAAGATAGCTTCACTGCATCTTTACCCGAGCCCACAGACGAATTGGCCCAAGATGATGAACCATCATCAGTGACCGAGTTGGTCGCCCGCTACATTGGGCATGTGGCCCACGAGCTCGAGGAGGAAGACGATGCACAGGGCAACTACCTGGACGTTCTGAAGCTCGTTTTGAATGAATTTGAACGTGCCTTCATGCGCGGTAATGACGTTCACGCCGTGGCAGCTGCGCTCCCCGGCATTGTTGCCAAGAAGAACCAAGTCGTTGAGGCCTACTATGCCGGGCGAGCTGCGGCGGGCCGGCCCACCAAGCCCTACGACTCTGCCTTGTTCCGTGCGGCATCCGACGAGGCTGCAGGCATCTACTCTGTGTTCGGTGGTCAAGGCAATATTGAGGAGTACTTTGATGAATTGCGCAACATCTACACCACGTACCCTTCCTTTGTCGAAGAGCTCATTACTACCTCCGCCGAATTGCTCCAAACGCTCTCTCGTGAGCCAGAGGCTAGCAAGCTCTACCCGAAGGGCATGGATATCATGCAATGGCTGCAAGATCGGGATGCACAGCCCGATATCGATTACCTGGTCTCCGCCCCCGTCAGTCTGCCATTGATTGGTCTGGTCCAGTTGGCCCACTATATGGTTACCTGCAAGGTCCTTGGCCGCCAACCTGGTGATGTCCTGGAACGCATCCTCGGTACCACAGGTCACTCCCAGGGAGTGGTCACCGCTGCCGTTATTGCAACCGCTACCAGCTGGGACTCCTTTGCCACAGCGGCCCAGGATGCCCTGACCATGTTGTTCTGGATTGGTCTGCGCAGTCAGCAGGCCTACCCTCGCACCTCAATCGCCCCGTCGGTTCTCCAGGACTCGATTGAGAATGGCGAGGGAACCCCTACTCCCATGCTGTCTATCCGCGACCTCTCCCTCACCGCCGTTCAGGAGCACATCGATGCCACCAACCAACATTTGCCCGAGGACCGCCACATCTCCATTTCCCTAGTGAACAGTGCTCGCAACTTTGTCGTGACTGGTCCTCCCATCTCGCTTTACGGTCTGAATGTTCGCCTGCGTAAAGTCAAGGCGGCCACCGGACTTGACCAGAACCGTATGCCATTCACCCAGCGCAAGGTTCGCTTTGTGAACCGTTTCCTCCCCATTACTGCTCCTTTCCACAGCCAGTACCTTGTTTCTGCTTACGACCGCATTCTCGAGGATCTGGAGGATGTTGTTGAGATCCCCGCCAAGTCACTGGAGATCCCCGTCTTCCACACCAAAACTGGAGAGGATCTGCGGCAACTGGGAGACAAGGACATTGTGCCCTCACTGGTTCGCATGATCACCCACGATGCGGTCAACTGGGAGCAAGCCACTGTCTTCCCCCGTGCAACCCACATCGTTGACTTCGGCCCAGGTGGCATCTCTGGTCTGGGCGTCCTGACTAACAGGAACAAGGACGGCACCGGTGTTCGGGTCATTCTCGCTGGTGAAATGGACGGAACCAATGCGGAGGTCGGTTACAAGCCAGAACTCTTTGACCGTGATGAGCATTCCGTCAAGTTTGCTGTTGACTGGGTCAAGGAACACGGCCCTCGCCTGACGCAGACATCTACCGGTCAAACTTACGTGGACACCAAGATGAGCCGTCTGTTGGGAATTCCTCCCGTCATGGTGGCTGGTATGACACCCACCACCGTCGCCTGGGACTTTGTGGCTGCTACTATGAATGCCGGTTATCACATCGAGTTGGCTGGTGGTGGCTACTACAACGCGAAGACGATGACGGAGGCCATTACCAAGATTGAGAAGGCTATCCCTCCTGGTCGTGGTATTACTATCAACCTGATCTATGTCAACCCCCGTGCGATGGCCTGGCAGATTCCATTGATCGGTCGGTTGCGCGCAGAGGGCGTGCCGATTGAGGGTCTGACCATTGGGGCCGGTGTGCCATCCATTGAGGTTGCCAATGAATACATTGAAACTCTTGGTATCAAGCACATTGCCTTCAAGCCTGGCTCCGTCGATGCGATTCAGCAAGTCATCAATGTTGCCAAGGCCAACCCTAAGTTCCCTATCATCCTTCAGTGGACTGGTGGCCGTGGCGGTGGTCACCACTCCTTCGAGGACTTCCACCAGCCCATTCTCCAAATGTACAGCCGTATTCGCAAGCAAGATAACATTGTGCTTGTTGCTGGCAGTGGCTTCGGTGGTTCGGAGGACACTTACCCTTACCTCTCGGGTAAGTGGTCCGCCAAGTACGGCTACCCTCCTATGCCCTTTGACGGCTGTCTCTTCGGCTCTCGCATGATGATTGCGAAGGAGGCACACACCTCTTACAATGCCAAGAAGGCAATTGCTGATGCCCCTGGTGTGGACGATGCGGAATGGGAGAAGACCTACCAGAAAGCAACAGGTGGTGTGATCACTGTTCTGTCTGAAATGGGTGAGCCCATCCATAAGCTGGCCACTCGCGGCGTGCTGTTCTGGCAGGAAATGGACCAGAAGATCTTCAAGCTCGACAAGGCCAAGCGTGTCCCCGAACTGAAGAAGCAACGGAACTACATCATCAAGAAGCTGAATGATGACTTCCACAAGGTCTGGTTCGGTCGCAATGCTGCAGGCGAGACTGTTGATCTGGAAGATATGACTTATGCTGAGGTCGTTCGCCGCATGGTGGACCTCATGTACATCAAGCACGAGTCGCGATGGATCGATCCCTCGCTCAAGCGCCTGACGGGTGACTTCATCCGTCGTGTCGAGGAGCGTTTCACTACTGCCCAAGGCCAGGCCTCGCTTCTCCAGAGTTATTCCGATATTGATACCCCCTACCCTACCGTTGACAATATTTTGTCTGCTTATCCCGAAGCTGCCAATCAGCTGATCAACGCGCAGGATGTGCAGCACTTCCTGCTGCTCTGCCAAAAGCGTGGCCAGAAGCCCGTTCCGTTCGTCCCCGTGCTGGATGAGAACTTTGAGTTCTTCTTCAAGAAGGATTCTCTGTGGCAGAGTGAGGACCTTGAGGCTGTTGTCGATCAAGACGTCGGCCGAACCTGTATTCTTCAGGGTCCTATGGCTGCCCGCTTCTCTAACGTCATTGATGAGCCTGTTAAGGACATTCTTGACGGTGTTCACCAGGGACACATCGCTGGCCTCCTGCGCGATGTCTACGGTGGCGACAGCGCCAAGATTCCTGTCATTGAGTACTTCGGCGGGCAGCTTATGAGCACCACTGACTCGGACTCTGACGGTTTGGTTATCTCGGAAGAGCCAAGCAAGACCAGCTTCCGCTTGTCTTCTACTGCGGCCTTGCCAGACTTGGACCGCTGGCTCAGTCTTCTTGCCGGCAACGTCTACTCCTGGAGACATGCTCTGTTCTTGGCCGATGTTTACGTTCAGGGCCACCGCTTCCAGACCAACCCCATGAAGCGGATTGTCGCTCCCACCGCAGGCATGTATGTGGAAGTTTCCAACCCCAATGATCCTGCCAAGACTGTTATCAGTGTGCGCGAGCCGTACCAGTCTGGCAAATTGGTCAAGACAGTCGAGGCCAAGATCAACGAGAAGGGGCAGATCAGTCTGAGCCTGTTCGAGGGCCGCACCGCCGAGAATGGCGTTGTTCCTTTGAACTTCTTGTTCACCTATCACCCCGAGACTGGATACGCTCCCATTCGTGAAGTTATGGGTGACCGCAACGATCGCATCAAGGAGTTCTACTACCGGGTGTGGTTCGGCAACAAGGACGTGCCTTTCGACACCCCCACTACTGCCACTTTCAGTGGTGGCCAGAAGACCATCACTGCCCAGGATGTTGCCGACTTTGTTCACGCCGTTGGCAACACCGGTGAGGCTTTCGTTGACCGTCCTGGCAAGGAGGTCTTTGCCCCTATGGACTTTGCCATCGTGGCAGGCTGGCAGGCAATCACCAAGCCTATCTTCCCTCGCACCATTGACGGAGATTTGCTGAAGCTTGTTCACTTGTCCAACGGGTTCAAGATGGTTCCCGGCGCCCAGCCCCTGAAGGTTGGCGACGTTCTGGACACAACAGCCCAGATTAACTCTGTCATCAACCAGGATTCTGGTAAAATGGTCGAGGTCTGCGGTACCATCAAGCGAGAGAACAAAGCGATCATGCATGTTACCAGTCAGTTCCTGTACCGGGGTGCTTACACGGACTACGAGAACACCTTCCAGCGCAAGGATGAGGTCCCCATGCAGGTTCACCTTGCAACCAGCCGGGACGTCGCCGTTCTCCGTTCGAAGGAATGGTTCCGCATGGATGACGCTGAGATTGAGCTTCTGGGCCAGACCCTGACATTCCGCTTGCAGAGCTTGATCCGTTTCAAGAACGCCACTGTCTTCAGCAACGTGCAGACCGTTGGACAGGTTCTTCTCGAGCTTCCCACCAAGGAGGTCATCCAAGTTGCGTCTGTCGAATACGAGGCAGGTGACTCGCACGGTAACCCCGTGGTTGACTACCTGCAGCGTAACGGAACCTCCATTGAGCAGCCGGTCTACTTTGAGAACCCCATCCCGCTCAGTGGCAAGACCGCTCTGGAACTGCGTGCCCCCGCCTCTAACGAGACCTACGCCCGCGTGTCCGGTGACTACAACCCCATCCACGTGTCCCGTGTCTTCTCCAGCTACGCCAACTTGCCCGGAACCATCACCCACGGCATGTACAGCAGTGCCGCTGTTCGCAGCCTGGTCGAGACCTGGGCCGCTGAGAACAACATTGGCCGTGTCCGCGGTTTCCAGGTCTCTCTGGTCGGTATGGTTCTGCCCAACGACATGATCACTGTCAAGCTGCAGCATGTCGGCATGATTGCTGGTCGCAAGATCATCAAGGTTGAAGCCAGCAACAAGGAGACCGAAGAGAAGGTTCTGCAAGGTGAGGCCGAGGTTGAGCAGCCCGTCACTTCCTACGTCTTCACCGGCCAGGGCTCTCAGGAGCAGGGCATGGGTATGGAGCTGTATGGCTCTAGCCCAGTGGCCCAGGAGGTCTGGGACCGGGCTGATCGCCACTTCATGGAGAACTACGGTCTCTCCATTATCGACATTGTCAAGAACAACCCCAAGGAGCTGACAGTCTACTTCGGTGGTCCTCGGGGTAAGGCCATCCGGCAGAACTACATGGCCATGACCTTCGAGTCAGTGAACGCCGATGGGTCCATCAAGTCCGAGAAGATCTTCAAGGAGGTCGATGAGAATACCGCCTCGTACACCTACCGGTCTCCCACAGGTCTTCTCTCTGCCACCCAGTTCACTCAGCCGGCCTTGACTCTGATGGAGAAGGCCAGCTTCGAGGACATGCGCGCCAAGGGATTGGTGCAGCGCGACAGCAGCTTCGCTGGCCACTCGCTTGGTGAATACTCGGCTTTGGCCGCCCTGGCTGATGTCATGCCCATTGAGAGCTTGGTGTCCGTTGTGTTCTACCGTGGTCTGACCATGCAAGTCGCTGTCGAGCGTGATGCACAGGGTCGCTCCAACTACTCCATGTGCGCTGTCAACCCCAGCCGTATCTCCAAGACATTCAACGAGCAGGCACTGCAGTACGTTGTTGAGAACATCTCCGAGACCACTGGCTGGCTGCTGGAGATTGTCAACTACAACGTTGCCAACATGCAATACGTCGCAGCCGGTGACCTCCGTGCTCTTGACTGCCTCACCAACCTGCTGAACTTCTTGAAGGCGCAGAACATTGACATCCCCGCTCTTATGGAGAGCATGTCGTTGGAGGACGTCAAGGAGCACCTGGTCAGCATCATCCAGGAGTGTGTCAAGCAAACCGAGGCCAAGCCCCGTCCTATCTCCCTGGAGCGTGGTTTCGCCACCATTCCTCTCAAGGGTATCGATGTTCCCTTCCACAGCACCTTCCTGCGCTCTGGTGTGAAGCCCTTCCGTTCCTTCTTGCTGAAGAAGATCAACAAGACCACCATCGACCCCAGCAAGTTGGTCGGCAAGTACATCCCCAACGTCACTGCCCGTCCTTTCGAGATCACCAAGGAATACTTCGAGGATGTCTACCGCCTCACCAACTCGCCCCGTATTGCCTCTATCTTGGCGAACTGGGAGAAGTACGAAGAGGGCAACGAAAATGTTGCGAAATGATCTATTCCTGTTGATATCCTCTTTATAATGTTGTGTTTTTGATAGACCTTTTTTTTTTTTCGTTTCATGGGTCATTATGTGATATGTCTCAGAGCCTTGGAGTTCAAATGTGTTTATGTGCATGTATATGAGTTTCAGTTTGCATTTTTAATACAGTTTTCGAGATCAGTTGTACAGTGCTTTCGCTCTCTAGAATAGTGCCTGTGTTCTACAATATATAAATGGAACCTCACGCAATGTATTCAACTTCAAAATGATAGATAGTTACATGATCATCAGTTTATGGGAGTGGCAACATGCCAGTAAATTGATCAGCCCCCTCAATGGGACTCACCCACTTCAATCGTTGCTCAGTATATATCTCCACCACAGGCGTCCGTTCGTGCAAAATCCCAACATTATCAAATATCCCTGCCCGGATGACTGTGGTCTCGTCACGATCTCCGTTGGGCTTTATTTTCAGTCCATAAAGCGGCGTTCCTATTACTTTAGTTAGATGCTATCTTCTCACAATTTTAGTATAACACAAACCACAGTCAGGACAGAAATAATTCTTAATCGCATTCCCACTGTCCGATGTCTTCGGCACTTCTTTCGGACTTCCAGAAACATGCAGGTCTGCAGTTTGGACGATGAAATTGAAGCTATAGGGTGACCCGGTGAGCTTGCGACAGTCGAGACAGTGGCACAGTGCCTAATGGGAAATATATTAGCTTGGATTAACGAAGGACAATGCTACCTAGGTATGAATCCTATGGGTTATACTAACCGATGCTAGAGGCTGGCCAATGTATTCGATTCGGACTTTGCCGCAGAAACAACCACCAACAGCCATTCTTGTAGAGTATAGAGGAGTATGGAGTATTTATCCCAGAGTCAATCCAAGAAGACCTTCAGACAGACATAAATAGTTCCAAATTAGTGCTTACGTCGATTCCGAGGTTCAAGATTCTTAATTAACTTGTGACTAAGCACTTGGTGACCCCAACAAGAAAGTATTGGGTCAAACACTTGGGGCCATTTCACCCATTGGGATGAGTCATGGATATAGGAATAGGACTGATAGCATGGAGTATTCAGTCGCATAGCCTCTATCATTAACGACGTGCTTTAGGGATCCGATTTATCAAGACGATACTAAGGACGGTATACGTAAGAACACACTGTTCCTTTTAGATGTCCTTGTATATATATATACGAAAGCAGTAAAAAGCATACACCGTACAGAGGACTTTTATATGTATAACTATGGGATATCTAAACATCAGCGCCCCGCACGGTTGAGAGGACCCCAGTTAGCACGAGGATTGAGCTGGTACCGCACCAATCGTTTCTTGGTATGCGCAGCAGACACCTGACGACCTAAAGTCTCATCAAACACCACCTCGAGGGTACTGGGATGGGGCCGCTTGAAGGGCTGTGCAGGTGCCTTTTCCTTTTCCGGTACAGGCTGGGGATCGGCATCGGGATGAGGCTCTGCAGGAGCAAGAGCAGGAGCACGTTGCCAGGAGGTTCGCGATCCGGACCGGTAGAGAGCCGCTTCGACTTTGGTGACCAAGTCACTGACATCTCTGCCAGCCTCAACGGCAGACGTCAGGTCCTGTTTGAGGAGCGATAGCCATTGATCCTCATCGCCCAATTTACGCAGGTTTTCACGGCCCTTGCTCATAATCGCTGCACCGGGGGTTCCAGGCTTCAGGGAGGCCTCCTTGATAGGCGATCTCTGACGGACCCACTCGCGCATGATCTCCCAAATCACCTCCCAGGGTGCATCGGTGCGGATGGAGTTTGGCTTCGTGTGGCTACGAGTGGAACGATATCCCAGGTGGCTGAGAGCACCGCGGAACTCGTCGATTGGAATGGTGGTTGCGTGGATAACCTTGGCGAGAGCACTGAGTGTAAGGAAGAAAGGGTATTTTTCCCGAGCGGCAACGTCCATTCGAGGGATGATGGCAGGGTATGCAGGATCATGCTGGTTCTTTTTGCTTGGCGCAGGTTGTTTAGGACTTGATGGCTCGGAGTTAGATGGCGTTAGGTCCAAATCCTCTTCAAGGGCAGTGGTCAACATTCCCTCAATCCGATCACAGGTCTGATATGTGTCGCGATCAGCTCCAGGAAGCATGTCCAAAATCTTCTGGATAAAGTCGGGATTGTGTAGCGGACCACCCCACATGGGTCCTGCAAGATGTGTTTTCGTGCCGCAATGCTCGCAGTGCGGTCCAACTGCGGGCCCTTGGGCTAGACCGTGGTGGTATATGGGGTTTCCCTTGCGGTCCAATTTGGATCTAGTAGACCCAATGGGTTGTGTTGACCATGCGCCACAACCGACATCGCAATTGTAAACGAGCATCATGTTGCCCGCGGTGAACTTGACCTGGGCGGGAGATCGATGGATCCGAACAAAGACGCGAGCATAAAAGTCGATAGACAGAGACAATAATGGCTCGATGGCCACTCCATACTTAGCTGCAGACATGGCAATGGCATTCAAGATCAATCGCAGGCCACCTTCGTGGGAGTGGAGGCCTTTCATAGGGATACCGCCATACAGAGAGAATGCTTTTTCCGAATAGCCGGTCGAGGCCCAGACACCGGCATCAGTGCAAGTAACACATAAAAGGCCGCCATCTTTGGCTGCTTGCACTGCGGCATCCAAAAACGGAGATGCTGTGCCATATGGATCCAAATCAATGACGTCGAACTTGCTCGCATCGTCGAGCCCATACATGTAAACTCGGGCATCGGCCAGATTGGGTTGAATCGTGTTAAGATTGTTGTACTCAATATTCTTCTTCATGGACTTGATTGCTGACCGTGACAGGTCATTAGCCACGACCTTTGTGACAAACGGAAGCTCCGAGGCATAGCGGAGAGCGCGGAGCCCAGTTGCAGACAGAGCATCAAGAACAGTGAAGGAAGTTGCGGGTTGCTCTGGTCGGGCTTCTGATTTCGGTTCTTGATCAGCCGGGGAGCGGGGACCGGCTGGTCATTTGTCTCTGTGTTTTCCTTGTGTTCTGCTTTCGGGGCGGGCCTTGGGTTTTCGGTCTGGTCGTCCTCACGCTTCCGTTTCTTTTCCCCATTGCCTGCCTGCCTCTTCAGCTTCTGGGCCGCTTTTTGTTTCTTCAGGTCGATAATATGCTCTCCGTGAGCGCGAATGGCAAGCACACTGAGGTCGCGATTAAATTGTTGAATTGGGTTGTAGAAGACGGATTGCACTTGGTCATCGCCTTTGAGATCCTTCTTCGTGCCTTTCGAAGCAGCCTCTTGGGCGGGCGGATTAAGAATCTTGGCCAAGCCTTCCTTGACGACGTTGTATTTGTCTCCCTGGTATTCCACCAGCTTGATCTGAGGATCCTCCATGGCACTAGAAGTGGAAAGGGTTCGGACAAAAGATTGGATCGCAGTGGGCGTCGAGCGGGGGAATTGGGTGAGAATCAGGGTAGGAAGGAATCTTCGCTTAGCGCATTTCGTTGCTGAACCAAAAATCAACGAGGGGTTCATGAGCGAAGCCTTTCACAGCATGTCGCAACGAGACATTCAATGCGACGGAGAAAAAGATTCTACGCACGGACCAACATGCAGTACACAACAATACCTGTTTTGTAATTTATACTATAAGACGTTGATGTGCTGTATAAGAACATTTTGAATCAACTCTCACAATGAGAGACTAAGAAGTCCCAGTATATATCTAGTATATATGCTATAGGCAATTATCGTGGTAATATCGGAGGACAAGACTTGACGTTGGTAAATAATGTTCATAGTAGAGAAAGACAATTTCAGTAATGTCCTCAGGCTCTTTTTATACATTAGGATTAAGTCTATGTAGATAATATGCACGATCATACAAAGTTGTCACAGCCAATCCCCGATGACCGGGACGTGACTATACATCTCATTCCACCCCTTGGCCTCCCAGCCCGCGCCTTCGCCAGCACGGCCAACAACACCGAGAGCACCTGCAAGCCAGAGGGCCGCGCCAGCGGCGGCGATCCCATTGACAACCCACCACATCTTGCGCTGTCTCTTTGACTTCGTTTCTGTAAGCCCAAGGTAACCATCCAATGAGCCTTTTTGGCCACGCTCCTTGCGCGCTGTGGTCACTCTCCAGCCCATCCAGGTCGCCCAGCCACCAACGAAGTGCCATACACTGGCAGTTACAAAGAAGAAATAAAAGACATTCCAGAACACAGGACTCCGAGCAAAGCCATGGGCAATATATCCAAGTCCCACACCAGAGCTTCCTCCTTCGACGATCAATGGTGTGGCACGGTTGACGAATGCGTGGAATGCAATCAGCGGTGTAACAAAGTATCCCGTGCGTGCCTGTAAAGACATGCGCGGCCAGAAATATAACGTGCTCCGCTGTGCGCGAGTCTCGGCGCCGTACAGACGTGCTCTACGCGCAGCACGAATGTTGCGGAGAGCAATTCCTGAGGCAATATGCGCAATTATAGGAATAGTCAAGACAAGATGCTCTAGCCCCGGGGCCTGATATATGGGTCGTGTGAGTAGAAGGTAGGATTCGCTCGCGGGTACGGAGCGAGTCACGAGTGGGATGAGAGAGGTGTTGGCGAGATGTAGGATGAAGAAAGCTGTAGGTGGGTATGTTGAGTATTTTTGAATCCCAGTCACTAAATAATAATTGTGGTTAGAGAATATCAACTAGCTTTGGTCGCTTGACGTACGCCATGAATCCCAGCCATGACCACTAAGGCCGAGTTTGGGCATTGAAATCCCAACTCCATGTTGCGTGGGAGAGGGGGCCCTAGGAAAGTATTCGCCGCTTTCGATGTCCAGGGAATCACGAACAGGCGACGGCTCTAATTCTTGCAAAGAGATGATGGACTTGGTATCGATATCCTCCGGTTTGGAGGGCACGTGGGACGGCATTGTATGATTTTCGGGATTTTTGGTTTCAGGAGCTGGGGGAAAGCATAAAGATAAAACTCGTAAGAAAGGAATTCGTCAATCATGCATCCATATTGTATAGGCTAACTGGGGGAAAACAGGGAATATTGACCTCGGGAAGATCCAGGGCTGAGTCGCAAAAAAATACGGCGGCTGTGATTGGTCACTTCCCTTGCGGGTAATGACGATGCCCGATCGAGGATCATGTGACTCGGTATGTATACGTACCTAATAATGCAGGTATATTAGGTACTATAGCAGTTTGCCTTAGTTGATGTACTATAAAGGGTTGGAAATTAAGTATAGGTTCAATTTTTGCCATGCCTAAAACAGAACCTATATACTAGCTAGCTAATGATTAAAAATAGGGCATCATGAACATATATATGCCTGACTCCACAGGCAGCGACACGTTAGACCCGCCAGGTAACTTAACTAGTTAGTTATTAATACGCAGATGGTCGCAACGCTCTGCCGTACAAAACGCTCTCTCGCTGAACTTCACCTAGTGCTCTTGTTCAAGAACAATGGCGCCGGTATGCTCTTCTTTTTTTGGTCCAAATATGATGCCCAGCTAATAAATATAGCGTGGTTTCACGAATCCCGCCCCTCAGGGTAATCAATCATATATCTCTGCCATATCTGTTATCGCCAAGCTAACCCTTATAGACCGAGTCAGCGCGGTCTGCACTCAGCTCCTTCACCTGCACCCTTTGCAATAAATCTTATTCGCGCCACCCAGAATACGAAGCACACATCGGCTCATATGATCACCAGCACAAAAAGCGTTTGCAAGATCTCAAACAGCTAACACGTGATCCAAATGCCATCGAGAAGAACCGCCGGGCAGAACGTAAAGCCGATGCGCAGGCCGGTCTGAAAGTCATCGAGACTCCTGTGGATAATGTATCAAGTGGAGGAAGCTCAGGTTTCAAGAAGGGAGGTTTCAAAAGCTCATTCGCCGCTGTCAAGGGAACGGTGGCCCCGGCAGCCCCAGTCAAGAAGAACGTCCTAGGAGACGACGATGAAGATAGTGGCCCGAAACCTCAAGCCGATGATCCCTCCCATGTGAGGAGAGCCAAAAAGGGTGAATATGGTGATATGGAAAGTGACACCGATGAGGAATATGGCCAAGAAGGATATTATGATCCTCGCCAGCCAACGGACTGTTTTGCTGGGTGTACTGCCCCAAGGGTCTGATGGATACCTTGACGCCGGAAATGGCTCGCGAATTGAACCAAGTATCATGTATCAAATGCATATGCAATGGCGTTGAAGGGTACGGGGTTATCTTTTATCCTTTTTTATTTTTACGTTATTGGGCAGCAATGAATTTCCGTCTAAGCTGTTTAAGCACATTTACGCTGGTCCTGATATGGATGTAATGGTACATGCTTTCCAAGAGACTGTCTAAACGATAAAACAACAAAAGCAGAATAAAACAACATAAGATGGAACAGATGAAAGGGTACTAGGCACATAGCTATATTATTGCGAGCTCCTCACTCGCCCTCGTTTATTGGCTTACAAGCGCAGAAGCTTGGCGGCCTGGCTGACAATGGTGTCCTCCTGGGGGAAGGCCATGGCCTCAAGGCCAGCGGCGTAAGGAGTAGGAACCTCAGCACCGGTGACACGGACGGCAGGGGCGGTCAGGTAATCGAAGCCGTACTCCATGGACAGAGCCAGGATTTCGGACGAAACACCGAACATGGGGTAGCCAGACTCAACGACCATGATGCGGCCGGTCTTCTTGAGGGAGGCAATAATGGTCTCAACATCAAGGGGCTTAATGGAGCGCAGGTTGATAACCTCAGCGTCGACGCCGTACTTCTGCTTGAGCTCGGCGGCGGCGGTCATGGACTGACCGACGCAGCGAGACACAGAGACGATGGTAAGGTCCTTTCCGGGGCGCTCAATCTTGGCCTTTCCAAGGGGAACGACGAAGTCGTTCTTTTGGGCAGCCTCGCTCATAGGGAAAGACTGACCGTACATGAGCCTAGCATTGGTTAGTTTACGCGAATTCCGGCAAAATGAGTGGATGGGACCTTACTCGTTCTCCAGAACAACAACGGGGTTGGGGTCACGGATAGCAGCCTTCAACAGACCCTTGGCATCCTCGGAGCTCCAGGGGGAGACAACCTTCAAACCGGGAATGCTGCCGTACCAGGCGGAGTAGTCCTGGGAGTGCTGAGCGGCGACACCGGCGGCGAAGCCGTTGGGACCGCGGAAAGTGATGTTGCAGGGCTGGATACCACCGGACATGTAGTGAGTCTTAGCGGCGGAGTTGATAATCTGATCGATGGCCTGCATGGCGAAGTTGAAGGTCATGAACTCGCACTAAATCGAACGATTAGAATGCGCATCTTGGATCAACGGTCCCTTCCGAAAACACTCACAATAGGGTGCAGACCAGCGAGAGCAGCACCAACGGCGATACCACAGAAGCCGGCCTCTGTGATGGGAGTATCGATAACCCGCTTGGGACCGAAGCGGTCGAGCAGACCCTTGGTCACCTTGTATCTGTAGAGGCGGAAGTTCAGCGTCGGTCTGGATTCAACCGGACCTCAATGATTACTCACGCTCCGTTGTACTGCGCAACTTCCTCACCGAGGACGAAGGTCTTCTGGTTGGCTTCCAACTCCTCCGCCAAAGCCTCGTTCAAGGCATCACGAACAGTGACCTCCTTAGTACCGGTCTCGGTGGCATATCCGCGGCGCAGAAGTGAAGGAGCACAGGCGGACTGGCGGAGATTCGAGCGCAGAGCGGTGGAAGCAAGGCGCGAGGAAAACAGACGAGCTGTTGGGCGGAAAAGTCGGGGAGCTGCCATTGCGGAAATATGATCGAATTGGAGAATATGGAAAACTAAAAAGAAAGAAAAGAAGGATTCAATCAAAGATCACAGACCAAATTCGGACCGCAAAAGCAATTGAATCGAAGAACGTTATAGATAAAGGTGAAGGGAAAACTTATCGCCGTCCGAATAATCGAGATGCAAATCCGAAGATGTTGGGCAACACGTGATATCAGAGCTCACCGGTACTGTGACCGTAACCATACAAGAAATTGGAGAGGAGCTCGGAGGCATCTTGTTTACACTCCTCATATATCTTCTGGAGAGCTATCTACCTTTAGGTTCTTATGCATAACTAGCTTCCTTCCAGTCGTTGAAGTTCTTCCAATATTTTTTCTTGCAAACTCATGCTTTTATACACTCTTCCAAGGGTGTATTATTGGTAATGATGTTGTCTTTGCTCTGGCTACTTCCGTCGGCACTCGCCGCTCAACCCTCCGCACCCGATCCCATCTCCGCTCCGCTACGAGACCTTGAATTCGGGCAACTGAATTTCATTCATACTACCGATACCCATGGCTGGCTGGCGGGTCATTTGCAGGAGTAGGCTTTGGGTCCTGCTAAGATTTGAATTGCACTAACAATCACAGACCGTCCTATTCCGCAGACTGGGGGGACTATATATCGTTTACCACGCGCATGCGGGAAAAGGCAGAAGCCCAAGGACAAGATCTACTAGTTATAGATACTGGTGACCGAGTTGAAGGGAATGGTCTATATGATTCGTCCGAGCCTAAGGGTATTTACCTTTCAGACATCCTCCGGCACCAGCACATCGACCTATTGACGTCTGGAAATCACGAGCTATACAAGCAAAACACATCAGAGGCTGAGCTTCTTGTCACTGTTCCTAATTTCCGGGGCAACTACCTGGCTTCGAATATTGATATTATTCACCCGACCACGAAAGAGCTTGTGCCTCTGGCCCCACGGTTTAAGAAGTTCACTACCAAGAAGCAAGGCATCCGTATAGTAGCGTTTGGCTTCCTCTTTGATTTCAACGGAAATTACAACAACACTGTGGTGCAAAGAGTATCTTCTACTATCAAAGAGGATTGGTTCCAAGAAGCAATTCGAGATAAAGAAGTGGATCTGTTTTTGGTGGTCGGCCATGTGCCTGTTCATTCGCCGGAATACCGGGCGATCTTCAAGGAGATCCGAGGAATTCGTTGGGACACTCCAATCCAATTCTTTGGCGGGCACCAGCATGTGCGTGACTATGCGCAGTTTGATTCCAAAGCCTTTGGGCTAGCGAGCGGTCGATTCATGGAAACTGTTGGCTTCATGTCAATCGATGGCCTCGCCAGCAAGACAAGCCATCAGTCTGCCGCTGGGCCCGCCTTCAAGCGCAGATACATTGACAACAACCTCTTTTCTTATTATCATCACACCGGTCTTGATCAAGAGACCTTCCCAACCGAAAAGGGCCTTAATGTCTCCGGATTGATCGCCGAAGCACGGACCGATCTTCATCTGGACCACGTTCATGGGTGTGCTCCACATGATTTATGGATGTCGCGGGCCAAGTATCCGGACCCTAACAGCATCTACACCTGGCTTGAAACTCAAGTTTTGGAGGACTTGAGAGATGAGTCTCGTGGCGACATGCCTAGACTAGCCATTGTCAATACGGGGGCTATAAGGTTTGATATCTTCAAGGGGCCTTTTACCCAAGACTCGGCCTTCATTGTATCTCCATTCACCAGCACCTTCCGCTATGTGAAAGATGTTCCATATGACAAGGCACAGCTTGTTGTCGACGTGTTGAACGGGCAGCCTCAAGTTCTATCTACGGACGAATCTTCATTGACAACGTTGGCCCCTCCCGAGCAACTTGCTTATCCGGAAGACGTGATTGCCCAAACATGGTCTTCAGCTAGCGAGCAAATCCCCATGTCAGGTCCGGACCTCGTGCCCGGATATACGACAAAAGATGATGCGGGCACAGATGGTGACGATACCATCCATTCACCCATCACCTTTTATCGCGTGCCGAACTGTATTCGAACCCTCGTACCTGCCAACACATCCGAGACACCAAAGACAGTTGATTTGGTCTACCTTGATTTCATAGAGAAAAATGTGATATTGGCCGCCAAGTTTGCTGGTCTCGATGTCGATATTGCGAAGGAAAGCGATGCGTACATGCCAGGCACGACTCTAACAAACCTGATCCTTGACTGGGTAAAGAAGAACTGGGAGTGTTGATAGATATAATTCCTAGCTCAATTCATTTTGTTACAATTCATTCCTAGTTTCCAGACCCATATTATACGGCCCAATTGACCGCGATGTAAATCTCGGAGGAAGACAGCTTAGCTTTATGATACATCCATACTGGCTATTCACTCAATCGCCACCGCTGAAGGTGAAGACGCCCTTCCCGCTGCGGTAGCCGCCCAAAGTGCCCTGCACACTCTCTGCCAATTCCGGGCCCTCGGTCTCCCAGTTCCACTTGACCTCATCCACGGGGATATCCTTGAACTTCCCAGAGCGAGTCAATTGAAGCACATCCTTGATGGTGCTCTCCTTCAGCTGGGGGTTCTTGTCACCCCACTTGCTGACCCAGAACCCGTCAAACGCAAGGTTCTTAAAAATCAGCAGGCCCGAGGGCAATGCAACAGGTTGCTTCGACATGGCTCCGTAGGTCACCATGTGCGAATCAGGGGCCAAAGTCTTTGCCAGAGCGGTAGCATTCTTCCCGCCTACGCAGTTCAGCGCCAGACGAATGGGCTCCCGGCCCTTGCGAGTGAACTCGTGGACCATATCCCGGAAGTTGCCATTAAGCATCTCCTCCTCGGTGATAACCACGGTAGCTCCCAAATCCCGAAGCTCCTGCTTGAGAGCCTCGGTCTCTTCGGGTGTCTTGCGCTGCCGAATGACATTGAGCGTCTTGATTCCCCACTCGCGGCCCAGCTGAATAGCTGCTCGTCCGACACCGCTGTTGGCGCCGTTTTGGATCACCCATTCCTCGCCGGCACGCATCCAATCCCATTCACAGAAATCCCGGAGCATGCGGTACGCAGTGACGGGATTGACGCTGACAGTGCCAACCTGCAGCGGGGTCAGGCCCTCCTTGTTCTCAATCTTGATCAGCTGGGACTCGTCCAGCTGCGCGTGGGTTCGCCAGGTACCCAGGCCTGTACGCTTCATAATGACCCAGTCACCTTTGCTAAGGTTCTTGACGCCCGCACCTGTTGACAGCACCTCGAATGCGCCCTCATTTCCGCCGACTGCAGCGGGCTCCACGTTTCCGAGCTCTGTTTGGAAAGGAGGTTTGCTGGGGTAGACACCCTGGATCTGGTTCACGTCGGCTGGGTTCATCGGCGCGGTCAACAGGCGCAGGTTC